CATATCTGGCTGGAGGCTCCTTCTCATCAACCCTCTATCCTGATTACACAGGGTTAAAAACTGGGATTGTCCCCTGTCGAAAATTTATGATTTCTGGAATATCCTGAGCAGTCCTTGCTCCTCGCAAGTAAGTTTGAGACACTTAAGATTGCCTGCTGTAAGGTTTTTTAGAGAAGAAACTATTTTCTTTTTTATGTTAGCTGTTTCCCCCTTCAGTTCTTTTCCTCTATCCTTAATCTTAAAAACAAAGTCCATAATTTGGAAGCTGGGGTTCTTAACTGTATTCTTTTGATGATGAACAGAGCATCTCTACATCCTGCGCTATAACAAACTTGATTGTTCTAATGCCTCTTCTCAAAACAGGGCTGATGCAGTCATTAGGTGAAGCCAGGGCCGGATTTAGGTTTGATGAGGCCCTAAACTACTGAAGGTAATGGGGCCCTTTATATGTCCAGCTGCCCTTTGTCAACAACAAATTGTCACTGTTTTTTGTGTTGAATATATGCTCTATGGTAATTTACGGACCTAATAGGTATCTAAAGCCATTTGCACATAACAAATAGGAGCCTACACAACGCAAAACACTGTTGCTGTATGTAGGTTTTATTTTATTTGTTTTTTATCTTATAGTTTGGAAATGTACATCTAGTTTTTTCCCTTTTAATTTTTTTGGGGGCCCCCAAGAGAGTGGGGCCCTAAGCTATAGCTTGTTTAGCTTATACATAAAATCTGGCACTGGCCTTGAAGCTGCACAACCATCCATAAAAGAAGCTGAGCCATCCACCCATCAGTCCTCTGAGACGGTGGAGACTCTGATTTTAGCTCCACTGTTTTTCTCATTTTGCCCTTGTCAGCTACTCCAACTGAGAACACCCCGGGCGTGACTTCCTCTGTTTGGCCCTCATATTTCTACAAGCATAGTCAGACTTCTTCCTTCACATACTCTTCTGCCTTCTACCCCCAAGGCAGTTACAGATGCATGCATATTCCATACTTGAAGCCTGTTGTCGATCAAAAAAGGCTTGGCATGAAGCCGTGGTCAAGTGGTTCCTCTCTGAAAAACATATTATGGATGTTTAGCACTCAAGGTTCCTGTGTTTCTGCTCCTTAGAGGAGGATGTAGTATTAGTTAGTATAAGGCACGTGACACTATTTCCCCCCACCCATTTCCCATGGCTGGTTATCTCGCCCTCCTCCATCGTATTTACAAAGCAAGCAGTATTGTCTGCAGAGTGATGGCAGCAGGTGCTGCTGTCGGAATGTGGCCTGTGATCCCTCACAAGATTAGCTTCCCCCTCGTCCTCCGATTCCACGCCAGCTGAAAGGGAAGAACTGTGACGATAACAGCAGGCTCTCCAAGTGCGTTTCATTTCCAGTGGGATACCTCTCTGCACAGAGTTTAATTTCAGCCAAGGGGTCACCATGCCTCTGCTCAGAAACATGTTTTTGTGTCCGAAGCATGTGATGTAATGAGAAATAAACGGGTCTTTGAGCACGTTCAGAGTGCATTCCCAAAACCATCCCTGGTGCTTTCAGGATTATGGAAGAGTGGTTCTTAGACATGTGATGTTTCTAGTCATTCTGAGCTATAGCAATTTCCACTTTAGAAAGTTACCAGTGGCTATACTTAAAATGTTCACAAGAAAACCACAAACCATCAACTTGCTATTGGGTTTCTGTGATGTTTGCAAGGGTAAGAACATCCACCCAGAGTTAAGGGTGGGGAAGAAATCAAACCAGTATTTGCAGAGAGATGCAGCTGCCCTTCAAAATCCGCAAGCTCCAAATTTCACAGCCCTGTTCTCGCCCCCCCACCCCAGAAAATAATAATTATACAAACTTGTGGATATTCCAAAAAGATACACACAAAAATGGATATATTTAATGTACCAAGAACAATATCTGTGAGTGTACCCATCTCAGGTGCTCAGTAGACACAGACACACACTCCCCAACCCAGCTTCCCATTCTTCAGTTAAAGCTTTGGAGAAGAGAACTTCATGAGATAACTTCTCCCACGGGGATTTTTCAGAGCAGGAAGTAGAGGCAGCCAAGGAGGTTGCACAGAATTGGAGAAAGTTTAATGGAAAGAAGGACACAGTCACTGCTCACAGGCACCTCACAAGAATAAGGTAAGCCCACCAAAATTCTTAAGTGCCCCCAGAAAGAGGAAAAATAAAAATAAAATGGAAGACTCTTTGGCAGGGGAAGAAAAGTTCTGAGCAATTGGAGGACAGGATTCAGCACAGCATTAAGGGATTATAAAAGGTCTCTAAGCAGCTGACTTTTTAAAAGATAACTACATTATACCTTTGCAAATTCATAGAAAACATGAACATGCTCATAGAGACACCCACAATCCAAATTCATGTCCAAAAGCAAAACACTGTCAGGTTGGGTTTTGCAAGAAATAGCAGGGAAGTGACCTACCAAAAAAGAAAAGAAAAATGAATTATTTCAATGAAAGCATGTAGTTTACTGCACATTAATAATCTGAGGCATCATATTATCTGGAGTGAAGTTATGGGGGATTAAAAACAAAAACAAAAAACCACACATACCATGATTTTTAAAAATTTCTTTTTGCATTGGCATCTAGTAGGCTAGAACGCACGTTTGGTTTAAATATGACACTGTTCACTTTTCACTGCCCTGTTAATAGCATTCATAAGTGTACAAAAATAGGGCATGAGAGACTCGCAGGCGCTTTTAGTGCGATGTGTGAAAACACCCTCAGACAAGTTGTTCCTGCTACTGGGCATGCTCTCCTACTACTGGCTGCTAGCTGTTGCCCAAATGGCTCTGAAGCACTTCCAAGGCAGCCCTGCTTTCGTTGGTGTAGCAACCAAAGGGTGTGTTGTTGTTGTGAACCTAGGAATCTCACTCTGTGCGCCAGGGAATGATCCCCCTCCCAGCAGAGTTACTAATATTGGACTGCTGACTTTTATCAGCCATGAACTGCTGCCAGGTTATTCTTCTACAACTAACTAGACATCAGAGCCTGCATCCCATGCTATGCAAAAGGCTTTGCGTGTGTGTCTGTACATATTCAATAAAATACTACTAAACCAAATCTCAAATTTTTTTTATTGGTTGTCCATATACAGAGGGAAATGTTTTGTAATGATGAAGTGACCTTTGAAAGATTTGAGAATGGTTTTCTAAGATTTAAACTCCTGTTCTGAAGTGTAAAACACGTTTTTTAAAATGTAATTAAATCTTGGTTTTTTTATTTATATAGCACCATTGATACGCCACGGTGTTTTACAGAATGACAAGTCCTTGCCTTGAGCTGCTTGCAGTCTAACATTCATTACTAAGGAGGCCAAGAGTGGGAGGGATATTAGGATAATGGAAGGAAGCATATTCTTTTCATTTCAGTTAAATGGACTTCTGCTTGGGTTGCCTGCATCTTACAGCTTGCTAGCAATTCTGAGGCATTGCTTTTCTCAAGCATCTAAAAGCAGAGTTTAAAAGGTGGTACTTGAAATACAGACAAGGGACGCAGGTGGCGTTGTGGTCTAAACCACTGAGCCCCTTGGGCTTGCTGATCAGAAGGTCGGCAGTTTGAATCTGCATGATGGGGTGAACTCCTGTTGCTTGGTCCCAGCTCCTGCCAACCTAGCAGCTCGAAAGCACACCAGTGCAAGTAGGTACCGCTGCAGTGGGAAGGTAAAGGGCATTTCCATGCACTCTGGTTTCCGTCACGGTGTTCCATTGCACCAGAAGCAGTTTAGTCATGTTGGCCACATGACCCGGAAAGCTGTCTCTGGACGAACGCCGGCTCCCTCGGCCTGAAAATCGAGATGAGTGCCATACCCCATAGTTGCCTTTGACAGGACTTAACCATCCAGGGGTCCTTTACTTAAAATTCTACTATATTCTCATTAAATATCCAGCAGTGCCCAACCTCACCAACAAGGTCCTGATATATGTTTGCTCAGAAGTAACTCATATTCAAAGGTCTGCTTCTCTCTGCAATTGACCTTTTAATTAGTATTGTCTTCCAGTCACCTTACTTTGAAATAGCTTCTGCTTCTCATCTTCTAACTGGCAGGTTTCCATTTTCATGGTGTTCCTTAAATTTATTGATCTATTTCTATTCCTTGCAAGTGTGTGTGTGTGCGTGCACACACATGTGAGCCTTTAATTAATAATTTCCTTTTTACAAGAGAGTGAAAAAAAAAATTATTTTTAAGACTGCCATTTTGCAACGAGTACTCTGCTCTTTCAGTACAGTTAAAAGACATCTGAAACTAAAATTCTGAAAGTTGTGGTCACTTTAAGAAATTGTACGCGCTTCTCCTTTCAGGTATTGCACTGGTATCATGCAGCTGCAATGAATAATGGGACATTTCAATTAGCTAATTCGTTTGCGAGTGAATGAATAGCATATCTGCCTATCTAGCAAAAAATTCAAATATAAGACACTTTGGGACTAGAACTTGCTCCCACGTCTGAGAAGTTTTAATTACTTTGGTTCAGTTCTCCATCACTTTTATATCCACTTCAAATGACTCTTTTGATAGCTGCCTCACTTGAAGTTGTAATCAACATGTTTCCATAGATTTCCGCAACCTCCCCCCAATAAAGAGAGTGGAAAGTTTTGCATATTTCTTGATTGTAATAATGCCTGAGTGCACTTGCTTGCATCGTACTGTAAGATGTGGAGCAAACTTTACCATCTACCTCACTGAGAAATGTGGTCATAATGATTCCTGGCACAGCTTTGGAAATTATCAAATAATATCCCCACATGTTCTGTGGCGTCAAGTGTTATGGGGAACCTGCTGTTAGGAAAAGAGTCAGAAGCAGGCAGCTCTTTCGATCCTGCCCTGTGGATGCTGATGGTGTCTGAGTAGGGGTGCCAACTTGAATAAAATATTGGGGGGAGGGAGGTTAAACAGGTAAGCCCCACCCTGCATAATCGATCACATGATGTAGCACACACACACCATTTGAATGACAATGCCCTAGTCCCTCCCCCCCAAAAAGCTTTTGCTTTTTAGAAGTTGCCCTCGAGGACACCACCAAATTCTAAACTCACATTCAAAACATAGTTTGGAGGGTTGAACAATTTCAGTGAAAAACTGCTGCTGAATACTCTTTTCCCTTAACAAAGCTCTTAAGCCAGATCCCCAAACTAGATTTTGAGCTTTAAATAACAATTTGGACCGTTCTTCTAGGAAAAGTATGTCTTAGGTGTTTGATGTCCCTCTGGGCTGCAGCCAAAGATTACCCAGGGAGGTGGCATTTTGTTGTCTGAACTTCTATTGCAGACTTGTATCTCTGAGGTCCTTCCTGTTTCATCAGGGAATCCTTAAGCAGAGTTTATTTCACGATCCCCAGGTAATCAAAATTGTGTGGTGCTGATAGTGCCAAATGCTAACCAGCTTTTTTGATGCCAGCCTGGCATTTATTGTTATCTGAAGCTAGTTGCTTGCCTTCCCTCCAGGGTTCTATTTGTGAATTTTCTACGTCTATAAATGGAAACCCTAGCTAACAAGAAATTATCGCCTGGGCAGCCTGATGCAGTTCTGTCTCACAACTTGAGTATGTGATGTGGTAGGGTGTCTAACATGTAGCCGGCTAAGGCGCTGCTTTGTGGGATCTGAATCCCTTCTCTTCCTTGGAAATGGAGTTAGGAAAGCACAAACCAGAAGCTTCAACAAGAAACACTTTGTGGAATGAGAAGCTAAAGGTAACAAGTGGTTTACCTTAAAATAATGGGGTGGCTTGGAGTTGTTGAGAACATGGAAGAAATGCAAAGTACGGTAGCTCTTGCATGGCTGAGACGTTCCAGTTACTATTTTGATACTTCCTCGAGTCAGTGACCTTGAAGATTAACAGGTTCAATAACAGTGTGTAGAAATTAATTCTGCTGTTATCTCTCAGTCGGAATGATGGGGGTGGTGTTACAGACGTTTCGGTACTTTGGAGTTGCGTGTTAAAATGATAAAGCTATAGATCTGCTCCTGTATCTTCTGAAGTATTCTGTATATATTTTAACAAGTCTTTCAACACGGTGCATGCCTTCCACTATGTGTCCAATACTGCATAAGGCAGAGAAGAATCCAAAATCCCCCAGATTTGCTTTTGTTTACAGTATATGTTGACTTAGATTCCGGGGTGATAAATGGAATTTGCTTGTGCCAAATTTGTTTTCCCGGTAGCACGAAAGGGCTGCGTTATTCTTGACCCTGGGAATGGGTAAGCTGTGTTGCCTGTCGCTTCCACCGAATGATGAATTAGAAATTGCATCGTGTTCTTGAGAAGGAAGGCAATACAATTGAGGGATCAGTTTTGTTGCCTTCTCCTAATTCACTGTGAAAATTGCTAGTTTTTACTTTGCTGGCTTTGACTTGGAACTTCCCCCAAATGCCAGTGAAAGAAATAAAATCATTTGTGGACAACAATGCAAACATTTTATTCTACTCAAGGAGTCTTTGTCTGAGGCCCTGTTAGTCTCAACCCTTCACCTAGAGATTATTTTCTCCATTATCATGGGGGTGTTTTTGTGCTACATTATTTAAGTTCTGACACAGAGATGTGTTCACCTAGTAACCTAGGGACAAGGCCACTGCCACCCTCAGGCTGGACCTAGAATCCTTCTTTAGAATTAGTGTTTACTTGATGTAGGCGTACCTGTCAATACCTGGACCTGTTGGTATACTGCAGTAAATTGTATACATAGAGTTCCATAATATATACAAATTTATCAGTTCATTTTCTCTATCTTTTATACAAAACTACTATACATCATTATGAACATACCGGTACATACAATACTGTTACCTAGATTTTACTATGTCGTGTTATACAATTTTCTTTCCTACATATTAAAAAATGCAGCTCTATATGTAAGTTCACCTATTTTTCCAACCTTGCAATAATATATTTCTTTAATACTTTCATTCTGAATTTTAAAGCAAAAATAGGACTTTAAGCTGTGCAACGAAGTCCAACATTTATTTTCCCATTTTGCTGCAGTAGGTACTTCCATTTTTATTTTCAGTTTAAGGGCTAGCAACCTATTTGCCGCTGAAAGCAAAAATGAAACACTACGTCAACTGCCTCTTTACACCCAACTTTTAAAAATAATAATACAGTGGTACCTCTGGTTGTGAACGTGATCCGTTCCGGAGGCCCGTTCGCAACATGAAAAGCCCGCAACCTGAAGCGCCATATTTGCGCAGGTGCACACCGCGATTTGGCGCTTCTGCGCATGCGTGAGCGGTGAAACCCAGAAGTAACCCTTTCTGGTACTTCCGGGTCACCGCCGGATGCAACCTGAAAGAACGTAACACTTGGCTTCTGCAAGATCTGGCCCTGAAAGACACACGTCCCAGTTTTCCTTTGGGGCATGTTGGTGGGCATGCTTCATGCATCTAAAAAAGTGGCCTTGAGTCCACAAAAACGATACCATCATAAATTGGTTGTTTTTAAGGTACCTAGGATATAAACCTCACCAGACACAATGAGACGTACTTCTGGGTAAGCCTGCAAAAGACTGTACTGTGAAAAGCCTAGGAAATGAATGTTCATTTGAAGCCTCCTTCCCATTTCTCCTCAGTTGTACTGTTCTCCAGGACCTCTTCCAGGCCAGTTGCAATTGCCTCCCTTTCTCCTTCACAGCTTATTTGATGCTGTGAATGAAGACATGAAGTAAGAGTGGGAGTAGCAACTTGCCCCTTCATCAATAGCGTGTAAAAAATTGTTTTCGGAAGACCAGGCACAGATCCACTACAGCTCTATGCGCAAGAGGGAAAATGTAACGGGGAGCCTCAGTGCTTTAGCTGGTTTTCTTCAGGACTGTGACTGCAAGTTTCTCATTCTTTCTCTTCTCAGGAAGGAGAGGCAGGCAGACAGAGTGCCCTGTCTGGTAAAGGGCATTAGCCATAGCACTGCTTGTATTTTCCTCCCCAAAGACTTCCTCACCTTTTAATGTGCCCTTTCGTTTAAAAGTACTCTATGTTACCGCTACAGCTGCTGCGTCAGTGCTTCAGCTTTGCCCTACCTGAATATTTTGTCATTTCCCTGGCCCAGCGAGAGGTGGGAGATGATTGATACGAAGGGGTAGGATCAAAGGCAAACGGACTTGCAAGCCCCGCATCTTTAGTGTGACATTTGTTACATACAGTACATGCAGTAAACATATTTTCCATCTTCGCTTTGCACTGAATTTCACGTACCTAAATATGTCAGGCTCCCTTTGCCAATATAATATCCACAGGGAGAAATTGAAATAGATTCTTGCTGGAGATAAGATTACTGTCTGGCACCTCAGTCCAAAACATTTTCACGATGGCATGAGATGTTGGGCGTCCCCACAACATGCAGCTAGCTTCATGTTTTGAGATGTTGCACTGGTGTGAGAGCTTATCAATGAATTTCCTTCCCGTCTCTTTATTCGCCTTTACTTAAAAGAACATTTATAAGCTGCCAATTCATTAAGAATCATGGCTATGTACATGAAGACGTTGTAAGAGTATAAAATGCAGAACCAAATGACCACTGGCTCCTATTAATTCTCTTTAAAAAATGGTTGGCGAAATGTTTGTGACAGGTGTCAAGATGACAGAATTGTAGGTGCCCGACTTCAATATTACTTGACGCCCCTGCACTAAAAAGCCCGAGTTCATGTAGAAACTAATGGAATATCACTTACTGTAACTGCAAGACAGTCAGAAGAGCTTCTCCAGATGATTTCAGTGATGAAAGCAGAAGTCTGCTATAGTGCAAGGATTCCCAAGCTGTGGTCTATGGGCCACCAGTGGCCTGTGAGCTTCATTCAGGTGGTCCACAGCATGTTGGTGGATTTGTGATTGAAGATGGCACATATATTGCATTAGATAGTCATATCCATTTTTAATTGTATTTCTTGGCCATAGATTCATAGAATTGTAGAGTTGGAAGGGACCGTGAGGGTCATCCAGTCCAACTCCTTTATTACTTCTTTTATTTATTATATTATATTGTATTACAATTTGAATCTGAACACACTCAAATGCAATCTTTAAGAAACGATCTATGAAACACACTTGAAACTCCCACAACACCTAGTTCAGCACATTGCAATTGCTACAAGAGGCAGAAAAATCAACCGGTGGTCCACCAATATTGTACCACCAGCAATTTCAGGTGGTCCATGGGGGAAAATCTTTGGAAGCTGCCGTAATAAGTGTATTCTAACCACATAGCTGTTGCAGAAAATCTGTGGACTGATGTGATTTTACTCTTGAATCTTCGCAGAATAGCAGACCCATGGATTAAGTTGTGAGAACTTGTAATTTGTGGTACTTGGATGGTTTTGCTCATCACAGGTGACTAAGTGTGTAGCTACTTATGAGTCTGCAGTAAGTAGTCTAATTTCAGACTGAATTTCAAGGTAGCTGCAGTACTTCTGAGATCAGCACCAATCAATAGATTTGAATTCACAATCTGGATCTTGTTCTATAATACAGCTTTATAAGATGATCCCTGACTGTTTCCACTTGATGGAGCTTGAAGCATTACAGAGTCATCTGAACGAGAGACTGACATTAGATAAAGGCTTTTAATGCCAGTCTCTGATTATCAGTACAGCAACAATGATGCTGACTTTCCTTACAGAAAGACGTTTCAGAATGCCATAGACACTCCTGACTTGCTTTGATTAATCATTCTCTTACTATCTGTTGGCAGCTTAGTCAACTTCTGTTGGCAGCTTGGTCAACTTCACTGATAGATGTGTCACAACTTGATTCATTAAGGGCTAGAGGCAAATGTATCTTATTTCTTTCTGGTAGTTGGGTAGGACAAGGTACACTGACCTCAAGTAGCACCACACTCCTTGGCTGAAGGAGAAGTCAAAGTTCACTGCCTTTCAGTTCAAACTGAACATCCCCGGGTTGTGCAAATGATAGATAGGAATGAATGCTGTTTATTTTGGACCAGGGTGTTTATTGCAAGGTGCTCTGCTAAGTGGGAAGCTCACACTGAAAGTAAACTGCGACATCTTAATAGCATTCTTTGCTAAAAATGCAAGTTGCAGCCCAAGATGGATTGGATTTTTGTGGTGCTTTCTCAGGAAGAGATGGGCAAGCCCAGCTTTACATCTGAACATTAGCTGACTGATGAAAAGGAAAAGGAGGAGCCTTGGGAAGAGGATATGGGAAAGTCTGGAATATGTGGTGATAAGTGAATTCTGGAAACCAGCCCTGCTGCTGTAAAATGCTGGTAATTTCAAAAACTGCCTCATTCACCTGAGACTTATGCTTCCAGTGTCTTATCCAAGGAGGGAAATCACGTAGGCATGGGCATCAAATTCACATGGAGCACACATCACTCTCAACTCTTTGGACTTCACCCTGGATATGGGAAAAAACTTTGCACATACCCTCCACCTTCCAAAGCTACTTGTTAATTACAGTGGTACCTCAGGTTACATACACTTCAGGTTACATACGCTTCAGGTTACAGACTCCACTAGCCCAGAAATAGTACCTCGGGTTAAGAACTTTGCTTCAGGATGAGAACAGAAATCGTGCTCTGGCGGCCCGGCGGCAGTGGGAGGCCCCATTAGCTAAAGTGGTGCTTCAGGTTAAGAACAGTTTCAAGTTAAGAACGGACCTCCGGAACAAATTAAGTACTTAACCCGAGGTACCACTGTACTTATATAACTGATTTCCTTCAAAGCAACACATTTTTACAAAAGCAAATGAAATACTTGGTATCAGGCTAGGGATGTCAGAGAATTCTGAAGAAAATAGGAGCAGAAATTGCCAAAGTTCATTTATTCATCTATGTCCGGCATGCAAATCAATCCAGTGAATCTGATTGGTATTCACAATTGTTTTCAGTCCATAAATTATGTGTACTTGACGACTCCTACCCTCCAATCTGCACTGAATCTTCTTTTTACTGAAACAATGTGGCCTAATGTCAGAATAATGCAGTTAATTATGTAGAATTTTACCACCATGGGCAGAATGGAAATCGATGCCTTCTTACATTCCTAACTGAGACTGAGCAACGATTTGCAAAGAATCTCTGCTTCAAACCAGTCAACTGTCCCAACAGCAAGGTGACCCCACCATGCATCCAAATGGTATATAAGCTGTGATTTTTTAATTGATTAATGTACCACTTAATCAAAGGGCTCATTAAAACGGTAGATAAAATACAGCTAAAACCTACAAAACTATTTTTTTAAAAACCCCAAATATACATAAAATCTTTGAAACACAGATAGCACCAGTAAAACTTTTAAAACAAATGTAGGTAGCTATGCTATGTTTGAGTAAGGTTGCTGAACTAGAAAGGTTTTCTCCAGTTGTCTAAAACAAGGTAACAAAGACACGGAACTAGTGGAATTTAGTAAATTTCATCCTGTTGATTATCTTACTAGTTTAAATCATAATTAGTAGTTAAAGGGGGCAGAAACAAACATGCATCACACAGATATTCTGTCTGTTTTCCCTTTCCCTTCCAGCAATGAAGTTGGTTTATTGGTTAAAATTAGTAAGGTAGAAGCCTAGCCCTGCCTTGATGTCATCTGTATGACTCATCAACAGGATAGCATGTTAACCCTCCACCGTAGGGTGTGGTACTCTAAGAATAGTGACAGAACTTGACTCCAGCAACAACAGCTATTACATGACTCTCTCTAGTTGACTGAAGTGTCACAGTGGCAGCACTGAGGAGAGAAAGAAGAAGAAAAGACTTGCATATCAATAGTGTGTGTGGGGGGGAACGAAAAGGAAATACAAAACAGAGCTCTTCCTGTCCTCAGTGGAGAACATTATAATGTTAACTCTATGGCAGTATCCACAGGACCTTGGGAGTTATAGTTCTGCACAGAGGGCAAGGAATCTCTAACAGAATTCTTGACATCCTTAGCATTCTGTAAAAAAAGTGAAAGTTGATTAGCTCGGGGGGGGGCAAGTTATTGAGCCTTTTAAAAAAAGTTTTACCTATTTTTAAGGAGATTTGCCAAAATCTAGACTTCCAACATCAGTTGCCATACGTCCGGATTTTCCTGGACATTTCAGCGATTTCCGCCCAGACACTGCTTCCGGCTATAGTATTCTGGCTATATCTGGGAAATTCCGGACATAGGGCAACCCTAGTTGAAGTGAAAGATGCCAGAAGAGAAAGCAAGCAGTCAGAGGCTGCTGTCTGGCCAGGCAACCCATCACCACTGGGATCTGGCTAGGCTAGCAGCTGGCTAGAGTGCCAGGCCTGGTTTTAGCCACCCACCAACTGAAGCTGAAACTCTGTTACTGGATCACAAGACATTGCTACAGGCTCCGTAAAATCTCCCAGGACTTGAGAGTGCTTCTCTGTGGTGCCAGCAAGTAAGGACAGACTGCTGGCAGTCCTGGGGGAGGGTGGTAGCAGGTGCCCCTGCTGCCCCTGGTAAATTGGCTTGCCATGACCCTGAGAATGCTTCTTTCGCTAAAGAGAGAAATTTGGATATGAAGCAGGGATTTTAAGTGGGTGGGGAGAAACTGAGGACAGAGTGGTGGGGAACTGCAACAAACCTTTGGAGTGTGATTTACTACTCTGCAGGATACTCCATTCCACCCCAGACCCTGTGATCATCACCTGAGGACCTTCTTTGTTTTCCTCCTCTGAGAGAAGTCTGGAGGGTGGAAACATGAGAGACTTTTCTGAGGTGGTTCCCCACTTGTGGAACACCTCCCCCTCAGCAGGCTTGCCTGGCGCCTTCATTACATATCTTTAGGTGCCAGGCAAAAACATTCCTCTTCTCGTCCTTTGGCTAATTAAACAACCTATGGCCTTTAAAACTGAGTTTGTGAGGGGTATTATTTTTGTTTGTTATGTGTTCTTATACTGTAACATTTATGTGTTCTTATATTGTAAATGACTCTGTGATCCTTGGATGAAGGGTGGAAGAGAAACTAACAACAACAACAACAACAACACATAAGAAACAAGCAGGGATTAAAGATCTACATTGGGAACAACTGTCTCTATATATCTTGCTGCCTGAGGCTGTTACCTCACCTTGCTTCATAGATGGGGTGGCCCTGAGTTTAGTTGCCTTTTATACATGGAGTGGAGCATCATATTATCCATTACCAGCAAAATATCTTGGAGATGCTTACTTTTATACACCTTCAGTTGAGACCTAGGTTGCTTCCAAGCATGTGCTCAGCTCTAGAATTTGTTTTCAGGATCAAAACTCATCTCACTCCATGCTTGGTTTCCCTCTCAGTTGTCTTACTTTTTGGCAATTCCCCCCCCCCCAGAGGCTTTTGATGTTGTTAAACGGATATGAGTAAAACTAAAAATCCACCTCTTGATGATCTACTGCAAACCACCTCCAAGATCTACCAGTAGATCACAATTTTCCTTCTTCTGAGCTTTGGGAAAGCAGACAGACTGTTAGAATTAGCATATAAAATGTATTCAGAAATTGGCCGTGGCTTCCTGTGAAAATAATGTTTCCTTGTATATTGATTATCCCTGGAGTACAGCTGGGTTGACTCTAAGCCTGCATGTGAGACAATTACAAAGCCCCCAGCCTTGCCTCCATTTTCAGATGTTAATCTAAAGTTACTCCCTTCCATTTTAATAACTTTTACTGCTGGATTCCAAATTCCTCCTCATTGAATTACAGATTTTATAGTGGCCTATTTAACATCACTGACACAGCTCACATGATTTTAGAAAATGGCCAGACTGGGGTAGAAAAGAGTAAACAATCTCCAACAACTCAGCTGTAGAATAATAATAAGATTTTAAATTAGAATCAGTTGGCTACTTTAAACTGAGGAATAGAACGGGCATATGCTTTCCTGTTACATCAGTTCATATTAATGTTTTAAAACTTTCCAAATGTGATGTTACCCTCTTGCCTCTTGTAAATGAAATAAAAGAGCTACAGAAAGCAGAGGAAAATTTAACAATGTCTCGGTCCAGAGATGCTTTACAGATGAAGTCTCTGATGTACATACAGTGTCCCTTACTTACAAGACTCCAGTCGTACCTCGGAAGTCAAACGCCTTCAAGTCGAACATTTGGGCTCCCAAATGCTGCAAGCCTGGAAATGAGTGTGAACATTCTTTGGAACCCGAACGTCCAACGCGGGTTCCGCAGCTTCCGATTGGCTGCAGGAGCTTCTGCAGGACTTCTGGAGCAGATTCCATTCGACTTCCGAGATACTACTGTATTCTCATTCATTTTAGTTGATGGGAAAGCTCTGTGAGCCTATCATTTGGATGCAAAAGTCTCCTCTATGCATCTTTGTATTATTGAACTTGCACACGGAGTTTGTAGCAAAACAGCACCCTTTATGACAATGCACATAAGGGAGGTGTCAGAAGGTTTGGGGGATTCACAAATTGTGCAGACGTATAAAATATTCAATGGGGGAAGAAACCCTAATGGAGTCAAAACAGCAGAAGAGGCCCAATAAGGACTAAGGCTGTGTACACACACCAGAGTTTAGTCTGTATCCAGTGTACTCTGCATGTTGGTTTGTTCCTTGTCAGTTTTGTACACATGATGTCAAACTCAATCCAAATATATCCTGTTTGATTCTATGAGTTGCTGAGTTTTGTTTTTTCACAAGCCAGGGTTGATGCAAAGAGAGATTTTAAAACGGAATGAATTTACACTTCAACCCACATATGTGTGATGTGCATGTGAACAGTACGTTTTTCCAGTGGTTGTCCCCTACTGTGGTGACATTGCAGTGAGTGTACACCACAGTGGAGCATTCCACTTCCTTTCTGTGTCAACTTAGTTTCTACTTTACCAGTGGGGTGCTGGCAGAGATTTACATTTAAACAATTAAAAGGGGGGAGAATAACATTGTTTTCTGAAAGTCTAGTATATTGGAAAATTTGTACCTCAAGATATATATATATATATTTTTAATGGCTGTGCAGAGAAATACCTGCATGCATGTACACAATGACTACTTACCCAGTCCTGGGGTGGGTGGCAGTTGCAGCCTGTCACAACGGGTCATGACCTCCAGGAGCAACGGTGGGATGGGTGACCAACAGTTTGGAAATCCTCATTCTGGACGCAGAGTAGGACGATAGTTCTTGCCAGTCCCAATTTTAAATCCTGGGTCTTGGGGGCAGGCCTTGGTCCCATGATTGACCCTGTCAGGCCTGCCTCCACTAGGAGACTAAGGAGGGATACAAACCCAATGCTTAAGCCAAATCCTATCTACTTCTGGAATCAATAAAGTTGTGGCCAATTTCAAATCCGAGAACGTTGTCCTTGTCCAGTTTGCTCACCTTAGACCAGGCCTTGCTGCCAGGGGAGGGGTCACTGCGAATGGGACCACAATGGGGCATGGAAATGCTAATTGAGGGAGGGAGCAGAGAAAACCGCTGTGAGCTACTTGCAAAGTGATGTGAACAACGCTAAGCAATGCATCCGGCAGCGTTGTGAGAAACCCGGAGTCCCAGTAAGGACAACAGAACGCTGAATGGCTGTTCAGAGGGGGGAAGCGGAAAACTGAGGAGTGGAGGAAATGATACTTCTGATAGGGTGAAAAGGAGGACAGAGTTCCCACCCTTTTAATGCTTGTATTAAAAAAAGGGAATTTCAGCTGGAGCAGCTTACATGATAAGCTGCTGGAATTGCACCGCAAAGGTGGAGGAGCCCTGCCCTCTTCACTGGGGAGAATGCCAAATGGGTGAGCCCAGAGAAGAGGGCCGGTGGCGGTGCTGCTACTGTGGTTGTTAAAGGTGATGGCTCTTTCTAGCACCCAGGATAAACCCTGAGCTAAAGCTGTGTGACATTTTTAGCCGAAAATGCTTTTGGTTTCCCACTGAGGCAGTTGTCAATTATTTGTGCTAAGTGGATCTATCCCAGAGGGACTAATTACGCTGCTCTTTTCTCAGACATAACTGGTAAATGCAGGTTCATGGTATTCCCTTGTTAGATGTGTAAAAAAAAAGGGGGGGAGATGTTCCAAAAAAACTTTGGGAAATAGAAAACAAGCCTGGATGATTGCCTTGGAGAGTTAAGTGACAGCTCTTCCTTTGATCTTTCTCTTGTTTCTAAAAGCTCCTGATTTGATGTAGGTACTGTGCTGTTAACAGAGGTCATTAAGATAAAGGTCCTCTTCACATGTTCAACCAGCTGTGTGGGAAATGCTTGCTGCTGGTGCTGTGTACAACCAACCTCATAACTATCTTCCATCTGATTGGCAGCCCTCCAGAAGGGAAGTTGCTGATTGGCTAGGAAAACCATATGTGAGCTGCTCTTCCCACATGGATGCTTTACACACAGAGACACACAGGAGCAATACTGTGATAGCACTGGTGGAAATAAGCTCCCTCAAGGCTGGGTGAATGTGTGAAGCTGAACAATAAGCTCTCAAAACCTTGGGTTCTCAGCTCCCCTAAAACAGGAATAGAGAATCTATGGCCCTCCAGATGTTGTTGGGCAGTAAACTCATTTAGATTATCTGAGGGCATTCTACTCATGGCACCAGATCCTACAGAATATCATAGGGCGGTGATATGAAAATAGGCTTTTTTCTGCTTTTGTTCCTGTACTATGGAATACTCTTCCCTCAGCCATGTATAAAATGGCAACCACCAGTTGCTTCAGACATCTTGTAGAGATATATCTGTTTGCTCAGGCTTTCCTTGACCTAGAAGATTGAACCATGTTTGAATCCCTTGAATTCCTAATTTGTTTTTATATGCTGATATGCTGCTGTTTTATTGGTTTTGGGTTGTATTTTTGTTCTAATGACGCCAGTGGTTTTTACATGGCACAATGCTTAGAGATTTGTAAAACATGAAGCAGTTTATCAATGCTTTTAAGTAAAATAAGCATCAGACCATTCACCATACTGGTTGGGGCTGGTGGAAGTTAGAGTCCAACAACATCTGGGCAACCAGATGTTTCTTATCCAAGTCCTAAAGGAAGCATTAGCATCCTGTAATCAGCTCCTCATCCCCCAAACCAGTTGCTTGTCTGAATGGAACCAGTAACATTTGACCAATTGGCTCTGGGACACAGCTATTATTTATGATGTTTTTGAAAAGCAGGTAAAACATGGATTTCTAATAAGTGATAGAGCATTGGTCCTTGGCAGCATCACTAGGTAGGGTTGGGAAACAATTTCGGCCTAAAAAAGAGAAGACCTGCTTCCATAAGTGTACTGTAGTCAATACTGAGCTAGGTAGACCAACAGTCCGAATCAGTAGAAGGCATTTTCCTGTTTTCTTAAGTAGAGACCTGAGTGAGAACTGTCTCAGTGTATTTGAATCAGAGATCTTGTTATAAAACATTTTAAATTGTCTTAGCAATTATGTTATCATAATGGCAATTTTATAAATTTATAAATATATCATGAAGAATAAGATATTATTATAGGGTCTTACATTACTTTCAAAACTGCATTTTTCTCTTGTGCAGATTCCTTGAAGCCAGCTAGGCGAGACACTTTAGGGCCATAATTTTAACCATCAGCTTATTTGGGGTCTGATACACTGTAGCATAATCTTTGTAGAAGTGTTTCAATTTGGAGCAATTTTCTTTAAAAACACCAAGATGACTTTGCTAGGCACTTTTTTTTACTTTACAATCACTTGAGTTTTGTTACAGTAAAGCAGTTTTTGTGTGGCTGACTTCTATTCTGAAGGGCATTCTCAGTTTATGCCAGCACCATACACCTACACACGAATATTTTAAACCATTGTTATTCATATAAAACACACAAAGTTTTATAGGTCCAAACAAGCAAAGCAAGAATTCTGTGCCTTAAAAGAAGCAACATTCACTTGTGTTGTCTCCCTCCCTTTTCCCATTGTAGGTAAAATAAAATGCATCCTTTGTAATTTCATATGATCAGTGCTACAGACTGGTGATGTTCCAAGTATTCACTTAGGCAAAGCTGTGTGCCTTTTCTAGGTAACACGATAATCTGTGTCATTATCTGTAGAGCTGTCATCATGTGCGAGCAACAAGCAGGTGGCACTTGAATCCTTCAGCGGAATAAAAAAATATAATAGAATAGGTTTCAAGACAATGAATCCACTTAGTCCTAGAGGTCTAATGTGGCTTTGGTTATGATATGCCTCCTGATGTTGCTGAACTACAACTCCCATCAGCCCAGACCACAGGACACAATGGCTGGGATAGATGGATGTTGGAGTCCCAATGCATAGGAATGGCCACCGGGCCACTATCTCTGTCCTAGAAGTAAGTTTAAGAATTAAATGTTGTGGACTGTTTTATAGGGTTGCCATACATCTGGGACGCGGGTGGCGCTGTGGGTTAAACCACAGAGCCTAGGACTTGCCGATCAGAAGGTCGGTGGTTCGAATCCCCGTGACGGGGTGAGCTCCCGTTGCTCTGTCCCTGCTCCTGCCAACCTAGCAGTTCAAAAGCACGTCAAAGTGCAAGTAGATAAATAGGTACCACTCCGGCGGGAAGGTAAATGGCATTTCCATGTGCTGCTCTGGTTCGCCAGAAGGGGCTTAGTCATGCTGGCCACATGACCCGGAAGCTGTATGCCGGCTCCCTCGGCCAATAAAGCGAGATGAGCGCCGCAACCCCAGAGTCGGCCACAACTGGATCTAATGGTCAGGGGCCCCTTTACCTTTACCTATACGTCTGGGAAATCACAGACATGTCTTGGGGGGGGGCAGCATGCCCATGGGGGGATTTTAAAATTTAAAATGAAATGTCAGGTTTTTGGGGGGGTTTATTCATTTTTTAATTTTTTTTGCTTGGGCTTGGGCTCGGGTGTGGGTGGCGTGGGTTGCTCTGCATGCCACAGAAGCTGCCAACCCGAGCCAGAAAAAGAGGTGCATGGGTTCAGTGGCCCCGTGTGCCTTTTTTCCCTGGCTCAGGCCAGCAGCGCCTTGGGCTGCCATCTTTTTTGCTCTTCAAGATATGGCAACCCTACTGTTTAGAACCCCAGCATAGGATTTTACCATTTGCAATAAAGTGCTCCTGATCTTCTTTGAAAATCAATGCATCCATCATTTTCTTTTAAACTGTCACTTCTTAAATTATATCCCATTGAATGATGATAACTTATTTTCCCCAGTGAAATGTTCAGAAATCTATCTTCCTCATCTCATAGGATGCTTAAGTGCTTTTACAAAATTATCCATAAAACCTTCTGGTTGAACAAACAAATAAATGAATTTCTGTTGAATTTCTGCATTGTAAAAGTTCTAACATCTATTCTCTTCTCTCATTTTGCTATTCTGAAGTATTTTCCATTATAGGTAAAATGCATTCTTAGTAGTTCAGTATGATAAATGACTTTTTGATGTTTCAAATAGTCACTTAGGCAAAGTGCCTAGCTTTTTTAGGTAACACAATATTCTGTCTCATTGCAGAGCTGCTACGTGCAAGCAGTGAGCAGGTAGAACTTTAATATTTCAAAAAATTGAAAGGAAATAAAAGGATAGATTTTAAAACTTTGACAATACAGAACATTCAAGTGCTGTCTAAGTATGTTTCATTCGATTTATTTGTTCACCAGAATTTTTTTATGGATAACTCTGTGAAAGCCCTTAAGCCTTCTATGGACTGAAATATGTCAATTGCTGAATATTTAAACCAAGAAAGATAGGTTAGCATCATTCAATGGGATACAATTTAAGAAGCAATACTTAAAAAGAAAACCATTTTTGCACTATCTTGCAAAGATAATCATAAGCGCCTTATTGCAAATGTTAAAAGAGAGGACTACAAAATACTGGGATTAAAACAGGACACAACTTTCATTTGACTTCAAAAATTATTACTGTGGCTCTTTAGATATTGTTGTCTCCAATTCCAATCACTCCCTGCTATCATGGCCTGTGGTCTGGGATGATGGGAAGAAGAAGAGTTTGGATGTGATATCCCTTTTTATCACTACCCTAAGGAGTCTCAAAGCAGCTAACATTCTCCTTTCCCTTCCTCCCCCACAACAAACACTTTGTGAGGTGAGTGAGGCTGAAAGACTTCAGAGAAGTGTGACTAGGCCAAGGTCACCCAGCAGCTGCATGTGGAGGAGCGGAGAAGCGAACCCAGCTCAGCAGATTACAAGTCCACCGCTCTTTACCACTACACCACACTGGGAGTTCAACAACATCAGGAGGGACACCATAACCAAAGCCACATCAAACCTCCAGGATAAGTGGATTCATTGTATTCTATATAATGGATCCAGCATATTTAATATTGGGAAGATAAAGGTTTTAATTATCTTAACAGTTTCATATAAATATCTTGCCTAGTGAAAATCTTTTGCTGACACCTCTGGCCCATGACTTTAGGAAGCAGCCATTTTGCCTTTAACAATGTCACATTTTAGCAACTGGATGTAGCTGAACAAGCTGAGCCTTTGTGTCCCAAATTCTTCCTATGCCCACACAAACTGCCTACTCCTAGAATATCCCATTAATGGAATCTCTAGCTAGAAATATATTAATTCCCTAAGACACAGGCATAAATCTACAGCATTATTTTATTTGGTTCCCCCCGCCCTCTTGTAAATAGCAACCCATACAACATGGAGAACAGACTGAGGCAAGAAATGTGAGAGACAGTTCCTCCTTTAATTTCCTTTACAGAGAACAGGTATGAAGTCTTTTTGAATGTAATGGCCTATTGTATATTTTAAAAAACATTCTAGGACTTGAACACTGCTGTAGGTATAATGCTGTTCTGTTAGGATGTTAAATTTTTTAATCATTGTATTGGTACTCCTGGTATAAATGTTTCATGTCTAAGATGGAAATCCCCATAGCATAGCTAGAGGAAGCAAGCCCCTTTTGAACTCACAGTGGCTTGCTTCCAGGTAGATAGGCTTAAGATGAGGCTTTAAATGTTGTGCTGGTTTTATGCAGTGGGTTCTGAATACAGATTTTTATTTTGGATGCCTGTTCACATGCTACCCATTTGCAGATGCAGATAAGTCCGTTCACCCCTTTTGGTGCAGCAGCATTGCAGGATGGCAAAGGCTTTACTAGAGCCCTGAGGGGGGAACTGGAACAGTGGTGCCCTTCCTGATAAGCGGTGGGGGCTTATCAGGAACTGGATCCTGGCCTGCACCCAGCTTTGTCTAATGGGGATGCGGCTGGGGACTTGGGCTGTGCCAGGGGGCAGAGCCGACGGAGCAGGTAGGCTTCCTTCGGATCTGCCCCTTGCCCATTTAAGCAACCCACCCCTGAGGCACTACCTGTTTGTTCCTTCGCCAGATTTTTCCCCTGCCCACCCACCCTCAGTTTAAGCTTATAGTCAATGACTTTGCTGTGGCTACGGTGGTCGCCGTTCTTTAAGGGGGCCAGGTAGAAATTTCCCCACTGGGCTAATTGCCACTGACCCGGTGGTTTTGCCTACCTAATAGCAATCGTCACAACTGGTTGAGCATGGGGGCAATCCTGCCCCTCCATCCAAATGTTGGGGTATCCCGTTAAAGGGATCCGGGGGGAGTGGCCATGTCTGTGTGCTTGGGGGTGGGGCAGGGCCGAAGCAACTCCCTCAGAAGAAGGTCCCTGAGGGGGCTCACCCTATTTGATGTAAGTCTCAGGAACCCCCATCTGGATTGACCACGCCTCACTTCCAGCAGGCAGGCTGGAAGTATTTTGATTGCCCCATGCCCAAGCCAAGCCTCTTTCATCTGTATTCATCTGTGGTGACTACGCGGGGCCAAATATGTGGACTACAAAACTTAAATCGATTCCCTATATCTGTGCCACGTGTTGCTGGCTAGAACACCCTGCAGTTCCAGATGGTGAGGCTTTGGGAAAACTTCTTCATGCTCCAGATAACCCCAAATGAGAGTGATCTGAATGGACCCGTAAAAATGTAAAATTGTAGCATGTGGGCCTGATAGTTCTGTGAAATCCTTAGCTTGGTGCCCTCCAAGTGACTGACAGCTATGTCAGCCATTGGTACTTCCCCAGAGGAGTGTGTCAAATCAACGTCTTGCAGTACTAAGCAGTACCGAACTCACTCTCCTGCCTTTTCTGCCTGTATCCCTGACATTTTGAGATTAACATCTCACGCTGATGGGTGATGTGAGTTTATGTCTGTGTACACACTACCAGCTTAAAACACAGCTAGGTGCTTCTTTTTCTCAATTCAGATCAGTAATAATTTTTTATTTATATGCTGCCCATCTGACTGAGTTTCCCCGACCACTCTGGGTAGCAGTATGTGCACGGCCTATATCTCAAGAAATGTGGTGTTCTCTAATTTACCACAAGACTGCTATTGAGTTCCCCTGTGTTTACAAATTTGTGATAGACTGTTGCCACACATATCCTGCCCCATATTTTTTTTTTACCAGCTGCTATGGAGGCCAAGCATTTTTATTGCTTTCTGTACACATACAAGCAAACACAAGAATTATATAATATCTGTGGGACAACTCTCTCCACATAATTAGTAGTTAGAAGGACTCAGTTTTAGTATAACACATCTTGAAAGTCTGTGGGTGTTCTATAATCAGCAGTTCTTAAGGGAGAAAGGCACCAGAGTCGTGGAAGGAAGCTTACATTACACTTATATCGAAAACAGAGACTGAAAAGACACAGCTCAAGAACTACCGCCCCATATTGCTGCTAAATGTGGATTATAAAATTTTTGCAGATATTCTGGCTAAAAGATTTAAAAAGGTGTTAGTAGAAGAAATTCACAAAGATCAAGCGGGCTTTCTCCCGGGCAGACATTTGTCTGACAATATGAGGAATATAATTAATATTCTAGAAAAACTTTAAGTGAATATCAATTCTAAGGCTGTCTTGATATTTGTGGATGCGGAGAAAGCCTTTGACAACATCTCCTGGAGCTTTATGAAGAAGAATTTGCAGGGGACGGGGGTAGGTCAAGGTTTTGAAAATGGTATAGGTGCAATTTATTCAGAACAAAAGGCAAAATTAATTGTGAACAATGTAGTGACAGAAGAGTTTAAGACTGAGAAAGGGACACGACAAGGTTGCCCAATTTCTCCACTGCTCTTTATATCGGTCCTTGAGGTTTTGTTAAACATGATAAGAAAGGACCAAGAGGTCAAAGGTATACAAGCGGGAGCGAAACAGTATAAACTGAAAGCATTTGCTGATGATTTAGTATTGACCTTACAGGAGCCAGAATCCAGTACAAAAAGAGTATTGGAACTGATTCAAGAATTTGGACAAGTAGCAGGTTTTAAGCTGAATAAGACGAAAACTAAGGTCTTAGAGAAAAATTTAACTGTGAACGAGAGAGAGAAGTTTCAGGAAGAGACAGGACTAACACTGGTTAAGAAAGTGAAATACTTAGGGGTTAACATGACTGCCAAAAATGTGAATCTATTTAAGGATAAATATGAAAAATGTTGGATTGAAGTGAAAAAGGATTTAGAAATATGGTCAAATTTGAAGTTATCATTGTTAGGCCGAATTGCTGTGATAAAAATGAACGTGTTGCCAAGGGTGTTGTTTTTGTTTCAAACATTACAAATTTTGGATAAGATGGATTGTTTCAAGAAGTGGCAGAAAGATATTTCCAGATTTGTTTGGCAGGGCAAGAAGCCTCGAATAAAATTTAAGATATTAACTGATGCTAAAGAAAGAGGTGGATTTGCCCTGCCAGACTTCAAACTTTATTATGAATCAGCGGCTTTTTGCTGGCTGAGAGAATGGCTGCTTCTTGAAAACACTGACGTGTTGGATTTAGAAGGTTTCAATAATGCATTTGGTTGGCATGCATATTTGTGGTACGATAAGGTAAAAGTACATAAAGCGTTTAAAAATCATATTGTTAGAAAAGCATTGTTTAATGTTTGGATAAGATATAAAGATTTGTTAGAAAAGAAAACCCCAAGATGGTTGTCACCAATGGAAGCGAAGGCACAGAAAAAACTCAATATGGAGGCCAAATGGCCGAAATATTGGGAAATTCTGGATCAAGATGGAGACAGAATAAAATTGCAGAGCTTTGAAAAATTGAAAAATAAAGTGTGAGATTATTATCAAATAATGGAGGCATATAATTTGGACAAAAAAGTTGATTTCCAGGTGGAAAAATCAAAATTGGAAACAGAATTGTTAGATTCCAAAACTAAGAATTTGTCAAAAATGTATAACTTGCTGTTGAAATGGAACACTCAGGATGAAACGGTGAAATCAGCTATGATTAAATGGGCACAAGATGTTGGACATAGCATAATGATGGGAACAGTTATGGACCACAGGTATGAAATTCACGGCATGTAATGCCCTAAGAGAAAATTTAATGAAAATGATTTATAGGTGGTACATGACACCAGTCAAGCTTGCAAAAATTTACCATTTGCCCGACAATAAATGTTGGAAATGTAATGAGACTGAAGGTACATTCTTTCACCTTTGGTGGACATGCCCAAGGATTAAGACATTCTGGGAGATGATTTATAACGAAATGAAAAAGGTATTCAAATATACCTTCCTGAAGAAACCAGAGGCCTTTCTCCTGGGCATGGTCGGCCAATTGGTGCCAAAGAAGGATAGAACTTTTTTATGTATGCAACAACAGCAGCAAGAATACTCATCGCGAAGTATTGGAAGACACAAGATTTACCCACCCGGGAAGAATGGCAGATGAAGTTGATGGACTATATGGAACTGGCGGAAATGATTGGCAGAATCCGAGACCAGGGAGAAGAGTCGGTGGAAGAAGACTGGAAAAAGTTTAAAGACTATTTACAGAAATACTGTAAAATTAATGAATGTTAGAAAAATGTTGGAATGAAGTTATATGGCTTTAGTAGAAAAGTTATAAGGAATTAAGTATAAATAGATTAATAGAGTATTAAAGGAAAAAATAAGGTTAGAATGAGTTAAGATAATTATAGGATAGAAAACAGAGGAAGATGGAAAGGAATTGCTGAAATAATTAACAGAAGTGGAATACAAAAAGGGAGGTGTGAGAAGGTCGTGGAAATAAGTGAATGAAAGATGGGATAATGAAATTGTTTGATTTATTTTATTGCTTTTGTTTCGTTTTGTTAGTTTAATGTATTGTATTGTCTTTTTAGTGTTTAAATTTTTGGAAAAGCAATAAATATTATTTTAAATATATATATATATAATCAGCAGTTCTTTTCATGAAAAGTTTCTTGATCATGTTGAGTATTTAAAAAATAAAAAAATCAGTTTGGGGCCATAGAGTATTCTTCTGCTAAGCTGCATAGGAATGTTGAGTTGGCTCTGGCTATGTAGCCTCAACTGTAAAACTGCATTCTTTTTACAAGGTAATGAAAGCATCTAACTGAAGGCTTTATTTGCTGAGGGAGAGCTTGGCTTAACATTTTCCAATATGCCAGTGGTTAAACTGATGAGATAATTTAAAATGAGTCATATGTCTCTCTTGTAAAATGGTGCTGCTAATTGCAAAAGCATGGAGTGAATCCTTTCTATCTGTTTAGTGTGCTTATAAAACGGAGTATTCCCACTGGAAGCATAAATGCTGATCTGATTATGGCACCACCCCCACAATTGAAACTTTAGATTGACTAGTAAAATCCTGTGGTGTGTGCTGCAGGAAAAGTGGGGGGGGGGGGGAGAGAGAGATAAAAAGAAAGTATTGTGGACTGCTTGAACTGTTCCATCTCCATTTACTTGCTTTTCTACCTATGCTTCTAAAAGACAGACGAACAGCAACAAAAACGAACCATTACTTTTCCAGTTCACAGTAGTAATAATAATAATAATAATAATAATAATAATTTATTTATACCCTGCCCATCTGGCTGAGTTTCGTCAGCCACTCTGGGCGGCTCCCAATCAAGTGTTAAAAACAGTACAGCGTTAAATATTAAAAACTTCCCTGAACAGGGCTGCCTTCAAATGTCTTTTAAAGATAGGATAGCTGCTTATTTCCTTCACATCTGAAGGGAGGGTGTTCCACAGGGTGGGTGCCACTACCGAGAAGGCCCTCTGTCTGGTTCCCTGTAACCTCACTTCTCGCAATGAGGGAACCGCCAGAAGGTCCTTGGCGCTGGATCTCAGTGTCTGGGCTGAACGATGGGGGTGGAGATGCTCCTTCAGGTATACAGGACCAAGGCCGTTTAGGGGTTTAAAGGCCAGCACCAACACTTTGAATTGTGCTCAGAAACGTACTGGGAGCCAATGCAGATCTCTCAGAACCGGTGTTATGTGGTCCCGGCGGCTACTCCAAGTCACCAGTCTAGCTGCCGCACATGGCAGGAGCTTGGGGAAAACATAGTTTCCCAGGCAAGGTATTCCTATTACAAGAGTATAAGGAAAGCAAAGGAGGGCAAACAAGAAGATCAAGGGCATGGAAACCAAGCCTTATGAGGAATGGTTGAGGGAGCTGGGTATGTTTAACTTGGAAAAGAGGAGGCTGAGAGGAGATATGACTCCCAGTGGCGAAGCTGCATGCTCCGCTACTGGGGGCAGAGAGCAGGTGGGGGGTGTGGCTGGCACCCTCTGGGGGCATGACGTGTGCCCCAGGGGTGTGACACGCCACCCACAGGGGCATGGTGCACATCCCAGGGGCGTGGTACGCCGCCCATAAGGGCATGGCGTGCATTCTGGGGGTATGACGAGCTGCTTGTGGGGGCATGGCGCCCAGTGGGCGGGGGGGTGCACGGCGCATGTCCGGGGGGGGGGCTACACGATGGCACCCTACTGAAATAGTGGTGCCGGGGGTGGTCCGCTCCCTCCGCATTCCCGTTCCTCTGCCAGTGATGACACCTATCTTCAAATATCTCAAGGGCTGTCACATGGAAGATGGAACAAACTTGTTTTCTCCTGCTCCAGAGAGTAGGACTTGAATCTATGGATTCAAGTTACAAGAAAGGAGATTTCAGCTAAGCATCAGGAAAAACATTCTGACGGGAAGAGCTGTTTGACAGTGGAATGGACTCCCTCATGATTTTTGTGGGCTTGTTTTCCAGGCTGATTCTTTGAAACCCTGAATCTAACTTTTTAAAACACTGAGGGCTTATCCACGGTTACCTTTCCCCCACTCTTTCCAGGCAGAGTTCTGCACTGATGCTCCATGTCCAAGCATTTGTTCTGTATGTTTTGCTTTTGCCATGAGCTTTCCCTGAAAACCCCCCCACTCTTTTAAGATGAATTGGAGCAAACATCAAATCAGGTTTTCCAAGAGTTGCCATTTGCTCCAACTGAGCTTTAAAGAGCAGGTTTTCAAAAGGGGAGGGCTTGAACATGGACTTCTAAATTGTGGACCATGCCTGGAAAGAAGAGAGGAAAAGTGTGGATAAGGCCTGAGTCAGCAAGGGCAAATTCAGCCTGGGTTGACTAGGAAAAGCTGATATAGATGAGAAAATATGAACAGTAAAATAGTCAGAAGAGATGATCCTCACTCCAGTTTGTCAGAGAAAATATTGACCTGAAGTTAGGTCCAGTGAAATGACTGCAAAGTGGTTCAGACGTGGTAATTCAGCATTACTATATGTTCTTTGTTAAATATCCTCTTCACATGCAAATATATATATTTTGTAGGTTCCTTCTGAATCTGAATTTCTGAGGTTCACTTTTGTTCCTTCGTTTGGAAGGCTTCCAACTCAGTTCTACATCGCCGATGCCACAACATTTCTTGCAGAGGGACTTGTGGATAGAAACTCTCGAGAAATTACTGGGCACAAGGTAGGGTTTTTTTCTTTTTTATATTTTCATACTGATTTATGTTTGTGCGGAGACAGTCTTTCAAACTGTCTTGAAATAGGTTGGCTGCCATCTGCACAGGTCCTCTTTGCTTGTAATCTTTACTGTTTACAAGCAATATCAACTGCTGTTATTTTCAGGTTGGATTCACTCACATGCCAGCAAACCTAGTTTTGTAATTAAAGTTTATTTGGTGCTGTAGTGCAACAGACCCACTTTCTGAAACCCCCCCCCCAAAAAAAAACCTGGACATTTTGTGAAAAGCAAACAGGTGGGGAAATGTACTGCAAAGTGTAGGATAACTGTGATTGATTTAATGTCAAAAAACATCTCCATAATCAAATCAGATGAATGCTCAATAAATCATGGAAGTCATCTAACCCTCCCCACAAACTTTGTGCAAACAAATTATGACAAAATGCTCAACTTGTGGGTTTCCTGGAAGTCATCTTTATGTCAGCACTGCATTAATGTTTGAACCTTCTTCAAAAATGGGCCTTCTGGTGGTTCTCTCATTGCGAGAAGTGAGGCTACAGGGAACCAGACAGAGGGCCTTCTCGGTAGTGGCGCCCGCCCTGTGGAACGCCCTCCCATCAGATGTCAAAGAGATAAATAATTACCTGACATTCAGAAGACATCTTAAGGCAGCCCTGTTCAGGGAAGTTTTTAATATGTAACGCTGTACTGTTTTTAACACTGATTGGGAGCCGCCCAGAGTGGCTGGGGAAACTCAGCCAGATGGGCGGGGTATAAATAATAAATTATTATTATTATTATTATTATTATTATTATTATTATTATTATAGCTTTGGCTGCATTATAGCTGTCCTTTGTTCTTCATCACACCTTGATGACATCACAACCAGCCAGGAGGGATAGGGAAAGCCTGCCCATTTCAGCTCACCTTTGGGAAGCATATCCAGCTCGTAAATTCTTTGGCAACCAGTCACCTGTACTCTCTTTAGTCTTGCAAAGAGACGCTTAACAGAATTGCCTAGAGCCACTAACTTAACAGAGACAGCTTTGACCATTTGGGCATTCTCATTTTCTACAGAACCCAGTTTTACAGATATAAAACCACAGGCTTGGAGGGGGACCCCTAAAATGACATCAATACTAATCCCAATCCTATAGCAATGTTCTGTAAGTATGCTCTGCTGGATTAAGCAGAATGTCTTTCCAATCATGCCTTCAGTTGTGCTCTTTAAATCCCCAATGGAGGTGACTTTAAGGAGTGCCGACTCTGTTTCTCCAAGCCAATGTATTTACACAAGAAGTTCCTAGGAGGTATTCCTGAACGAGCACAATGTGTACTAGGGTTAAGTGTACAGTACTTAAGAGCTATTCCCCTGTGGAGTCCTACCTTGTGAAACAAGCTAAGACATTGTATTTGTGGTTTAAAATATATGGTGCCTTGTTGGGGACAGCCTCCAGTCTCTAATTCAGGAGCCACAGCAAAGCTGTTTCTGGCATTTGAGGGGTTAATGGCCAAAACCTGCAGGACCACTGAATGGGTCCCTGTAACAAAACAATGGTGCTTTGTACTAAAATGCCCACCCTTAACAAGTACAGTCAAGCTCCCTGACTGCAAATCCTTTTGTTTTGTCTGCTCAGAGAATGTCCTGGTTTTGAAGTCTTTTTGTGGCTTCAATGTCTATATGGGGCTTTGCCCCAGATTTTTCCCTCTGAGCAGCGTGGGAGCCAGTCTTTTGGTTTCGTGCAGCCCACAGCCAGAACCCAGTCTCCGCCGTGCCTGCTTTAAAGGGGTCTCGTAGTCCATTCTGCTCGAATGCACCTGCCTCCACCCCAGTTCCTTTATTGCTCCTAATAAAATGTGAACGATTTCTTCTGGAGTCTACCCTCCTCATTGTTTTGGTGCTGCTTGAAAGCGACAAGTGTCTTCCCTTGTATCAGGCCATATTTATGGGAAAGTGTGTTGAGGGAAGAGGAAAGTCACCAACAGTGGAAAGCTCATTATGTCAACAATACAAGCCCCACTTTCTTTGTCTGTGACCCTCCCCATCTTTTCTGGTGCCTGAGACGTTGGACATGTTTTCCAATGCACTGTAACATTAGCTTGTAGTACAAATTCTTAATTCTTTGGCTGGTAAAGAAAATGAGCTTATGAAAGTAAAACAATTGACCCAAGTCTGGTTTGTTTTTGTTATTTTACAATAGGCCGAAGCAGTTCCTGGAGGTCAGGCCGTAGGAAGTGGAAACAAGGGAAACGGCGGCTCTGCCAGTTGCACAAACAGTCGCCACAAACTTTTCCAAGCCAAAGATCACAAGTCAAGCAGAGGGGAAATGGAAGGGGATGACCTTTTCAAAGCTGAATTTGTCTTCATTACGGACTCGGATGAGGACAAAAACACTCCCCTAGGCAACGGATATGGACATGGAAGATCTAAGGGTCTGGATGCATCCTGTTTGTCTCCGAGGGATGAATCCAGAGGACATCCGACAGCCCCACAGTTACCACTGCATACTGAGATCTCTTACAGTTCTGTCAGCCAACAGAAACAGTCTCAGGTATCTTGTTTTCCTAATTGTGAGCATGCATGGGAAAGGAAATATTGCCATCTCTATGAAAACCTGTCTGTTTGTACTCTTCTTGGTTAGACTTGCTGTTTATTCGTTACCCTGCTCAATTACGAATTAGTCCCTCCTGTATTTTCTTGCCTTCCATGGCTGAGAGAAGTTGCTTGTCTAGTGGAGGAGATTGGTGTGGTGGTGGAAAAAGCACATGGCACTGCAACATTTTTTGTACTTCCTTTTTTTTTTTTAAATGATATTTATTGAAAAAAGATTTTTTTAAAAAAATTACAAAGAAAAAAGACAAAACAGAAAAAGAAAAAGAAAAAATAAAACCATCATTTTCAAATTCTCCACTTTCATTACCTTCTTTCTATGACCTCCTCCTCCTCCCTTTTCTTGTATCTTGATTAATAGTTGTCACAGCAAATCCTTTCCATAATTCATAGTATTCTGTCATTACATTACCTTACTCTATTTTCATCTTATCTTATAAAAACCTTAAAGCTTAAGACTTAAATCTTATTTTTACCAACTTCTCATAACCATTACCTTTTTACCTAATTCTTTAAACATTTTTACAAGAGCCAAGTAATTTCATTTCAACATTTTCCTAACATTCATCAATTTTATAAAACATTCCTAATGATAGAAAAAAGAAATAAGAACAATCCAATCTTCTTCCAGCGTCCCTTCCTCCTGGTCCTGGGTTTGTCAGTCCTTTTTATCCCATTAGTCTGGCACATTAACCTGGTGATCTTATATCCGAGGCCTTCAAGTCTCTTCCATGTCCCTTCCGCAGCTCTTCTTCATATTTTCCTTTCACTCGTGGGAACTCCAGCTTGGTAGTGTTTTTGACCCTTTTCAACAAATCAGCCCCTTTCCCATAATCCAGACTAGACTCCATGTGGTATTTTAAGACATGTTTCAAATTCCCTCCAAAATTGGGAGCCCCCACAGCTCCAAACATCTGACGGCCCATTGCCAGACTCGGAAAGTCCAAACATCTCTGCATAGGGGGGTCAGTCCAACCCCCCATTTCCAAATCAACCCAAACTTTATCTTTCCAAATCTGGTTTTTTCCAAGTTCATTTGTCAAATCCAAAGGCTCATTTTCCTGCAGGGCCAAAAGTTCCTCCCTTTCTGGCGCCCAAGATTCAGCAACATCCTCTTCTCTCAACTGTTCTGTCATGGCACACTCCTGTTTAAATTCCTGAGTGGGCTCCATATAGTTTCCCACTACCTGTTCTAATGTTCTGGCCGCATTAGTCATCAAATCCGTCTTCTGGCTTAACTGATCCAATAGGGCATTTATTTTACAGAAAGCACCCAACAGTGCTTCTGAAAACATTGTCCTGCAAGGTCACAAGTCCTTTCCCACGGTTGTAATCTGTGGCAGCTGCAAGCTCCCTAGAATTAGTTACAGTTTCACAGTCCCCCTCTAGGGGGGAAACTTCTGGTTGTTCTTTCTTTTAAAGACAATAGCAACAAAGTTTCTTTTTTTTAAAGATATTTTGTCAATATTTGTTCCTTTAAAATGCGAAAGGAAACAGTGGAATCACAATGTTACTCTTCTTTTAACTGTCTGTCAAAAACATTTGTCTCTGGTCAATGAGCTTCAAACGTCAATTCTGACACCCTGCTCCAGCATCAGGACGGTGGAAAGTTACTTTACTTTAAACTCACTTCTGCAGGTTTAAACAGTCCAAAAAAGATCCCCCTTCTTCTCCTGCTACCGAAGGGGGGTTCAACGATTTTAAATGGTGAAAACCAATCCTTTGAAAGTGATTTTCTAAGCTCTGGTTTACGTTGTCTTTGCTTTCTTCTGACTACAAGGAAATGGAAGGCTGACTTCCTGTTTAGACCTTCCCGTTTCAGTACCAAATTAAGGTAAATTTTTAAGTCCAATTCGTTTCTAATCGCCAGTTCTTATTTGAAGTCCAATTGTTCAATGTTTAAGTACAGTGGTGCCCCGCAAGACGAATGCCTCGCAAGACGGAAAACTCGCTAGACGAAAGAGTTTTCTGTTTTGGAGGTGCTTCGCAAAACGAAGCTCCTATGGGCTTGCTTCGCAAGACGAAAATGTCTTGCGAGTTCCTGCGGTTTTTTCCCCCTTTCCCCCCCTTTTTCTAAGCCGTTAAGCCGCTTATCTGCTTATCCGATAAGCTGATAAGCCGCTAAAAGCCGCTAAAAGCCGCTAATAGCGCTAATAGCGCTAATCCGCTAATCCGTCAATGGGCATGCTTCGCAAGACAAAAAAACCGCTAGACGAAGAGACTCACAGAACGGATTCTTTTCGTCTTGCGAGGCACCACTGTACTCACGGGTGATTATTTTAGATGCCAAATTGTCCCAGGAAAAAGGCAGCGCTCTCCGGCAACGGCTATGCGGCTTCGCTCCACGGAAAAAGCAATTGACTCACAGCACCGCGCCACTTCCCCCTCTTCGCTTCGGAGCCCGTTAGTGGGTTCCTTTGCGGGTTGGGGGTGCTAAGGGTGCCCGCCGAGTCCCACGGTCACAGGCTTCATCCGCCTGTGATTTCTAAAAGGGTCCCCGCTTCGCCGCAGCGGAAAAGACCCGTTTTGCGCGGAGCTGGTCCCTCCGGTTCAGAGGGAGTCCGCCATTGCCGATGGCGCCACCCCGGAAGTCCCATTTTTTGTACTTCCAATGACACTTTGCAGTTATGGCAAATGGGAGTAGTCCAGCCTTCACCAAGCTGGTATCCTTCAGGTGTTTTGGACACTCATCAGCCCCTACCAGCATGGCCAGTGGCCAGAGATGGTGGGATTTATAGTCCATAATATCTGGAAATCACCACTTTGGAGAAGGTTGGTGTAGACTGTTACTATACCACTTCACCTAATGATGGCTGAAACAACACTTAACCTGAGCACACATTCTACTTAGGACTATTTTACAGATGACAAAAATCCTCTCTCTCTATATATATATATATTTGGGTAGGGGCCATTAAGGAAACAAAGGAAGGGAAGGGCTGTTGCTCAGTAGCACAGCACAGGCTTTATATCCCAAAGATCCCAGGCTCAATCTCTGCCATTTCTAGGAAACTCTGGTAAAGATTCCTATCTGAAACACTCTAGAGCCACTGGCACTCAGTGCAGACTATGCTTCATGGACCAATATAAGGCAACTTCGTAATTCATTTTGACGTAGGAAATTGCAACTCTCTTGCGTGCGGATCATCATGTGTAAATTGCTTCCTAGTGTGTGCAAACAAAAAATTCACATGACTTATTTGAATATGAGATTTGCTGGCATTCTGTGTAGGCATTGAGTGAAGTGTGAAGCATCCTACAGATCAATGAACAACTGTGACTGCTTTTAGTCTCACAGTATTACTCTGAAGCAGCCAGAACTATTCACTGGACCAAGCAGTCTGGGAATGTCATCAACAAAACTAACTTTTGCTGATAATCATGGGCTGGATCCAGCGGTTCCCTTCCTCTAGTGGAAGAAGCTGGATCCAGTACCAAATCTCCAGGCTTCTTCATACGTTATGTTTTTTAGATTGCTGTACACCTACGTTTATTTTTAACTGTAGACATGAAATGGTAAACGATGAATGTGGCAAGCATGTGTTGGTAAACACGGGGACTGTATTAACCATACACACTTGTTTCAGAGTTGAGATTGGCTGCAGATCTGTCTCAAATCCATTTGGGGGGGCTGCCTAACTTGTGGCACTGTAACTTGTAAAATAAAGATTTTGAGGGGGTGGGGAATGTTTCAAATGTAGTTAGTAGACTCGTACCTTATCTGCTTTGAGATATATGTGTAAGGATTGCTTCCTATAGACCAGGACTCTTGCATCTTGTGTCTACTTTGTTTTTTGTTTTCGTTTTTTGGAAACCTGAGGTTCATCATTGAGAGCTGGGTGCAAAATTGGGTCTCAGCTGAGCAAACATACAGTAAGAATTAAAGGACAGGGTGCTTCTGAACACATGTCCAAGCCAAGATTTGTGATCAGCACCAGAACCAAGTGTACAATCTCTCTCTCTCTCTCTCTCTCTCTCTCTCTCTCTCTCTCTCTCTCTCACACACACACACACACACCCCATTCCTGGTTGCCCCTTTAAAATTCATTTTTCAACAACATAATTTACGAGCAGAACAGCTTTGTGGTTGTTCCTAATGTCAAAAACTCTTGCTGATTTACTGAAAATCAATACCCCTCACCACCCCAGTTAAAGGCCATAGGTTGTTTAAATAATTAAAGGCCTGGGAGAAGATAAATGTTTTTGCCTGGTGCCTAAAGATATGCAATGAAGGCACCAGGTGAGACTCCCTGGGGAGAGCATTCCGCAAGTAGGGACCACCACAGGCCTCTTGTGGAGGAGGCACACAAAGAAGGGCCTCCGGTGATGATCACTGGGTCCAGGGTTGGTTCATATGAGAAGAGGTGGTCCTTAAGGTGTTACGGTTCTGAGCTGTTTAAGACTTTCTATGTCAAAAACAGCACTTTGAATTGGGCCCAGAAATTAATTGGCAGCCAGTGCTATCGGGCCAGGATAGGCGTCATATGCTCAAACTGTCTTTCAGCAGTGAGCAACCTGCCCACTGAATTCTGCACCAAACTATCTTCAGATGCAACCCCACGTTTAACGCAGTAATCTAGCCTATAGTAGAGCATAGATGACAATAGGTAGGCTGTCCCTGTCTAGACAGGGGTGCAGCTGGGCCACCAACCAAAACTGATGGAAGGCACTCTGCACCACGGAGGCCACCGGAGCCACAAGCAACACAAATGGACCCAGGCATACCCACAAGCTGCACATCCACTCCTTTTAGTATTATTCAGCTGCACTTTACCTGGAGTCATTCTTAAATGTATAAAATGCTGCTTATATTGTGCTCAGCCAACCAAGAAGAACCTTACTCTTTTAGAGAACTCTGTATATATGGAATTCCATATATATATAATAGGTACTAGTTTGCATCCCATGCCAGTGGGTTAGTCATGATTAATAATAATAATAATAATAATAATAATAATAATAATAATAATTTTATTATTATACCCTGCCCATCTGGTTTCCCCAGCCACTCTGGGTGGCTTACAGCATATATAAAACATAGTAAAACATGTTATACTGTATATGCTGGTGTGTGTGTGTGTGTGTGTATGAGATTTGTAAGCTGTTAGAGAATCCCTCAAGCAGCAATTGTTTTCATGGGTAAAGTGTTTAGCCAGATGGTGCTAAGGAATGTGCTTGGTGTCTTCAAGCCAGGACACAGCAATGCTTATGTCTTCACATCAACTTCTTGGGGAGATGTGCATGTATAACTGTGAGCCCATTTGCAGCCATTGGGTCCCTTTGCAATTCCACATAACACCAAGGTGTCTGCTAATAAAATCCTTCGTGGGTTTGCATTTTAAAAACCTGAAGCTTTTTACATCTTCTGTTTACAACCCACAGTTGTGAATGGCATTTATTATTATTATTACTATTTGTGGGAAAGGGGGGGACAAATTAGTATTGAATCTAGAACACTGATATCTTTCTTTTATGTAAAGCAAAGTGCCAACAAATTATGTGCATGGATTATTTAATATTAAATAGCAATCTCTTAGCAATGCAGCACACAATATAATCACTGGTAATTAAAGGAGGTGTTATGCTGTTAAAGCACATGGCAGATGTAGTGAATGGAAATAGGATGCATAATTTGAAGAACATCATGGTTGCTGCTCTGTATTAACATTTCTTTTTCTTTTCCCCTCTCCAGTTAACTTCTCCTCTGTCTACCTCTGATCATCCTTCTTATAAGCCACTTGTTGCTCATTTGCTTTTTCCAACTAACCTGACGGTAGAACAGGACCCGTCTCCCGCTGTCCACCAAGCCTCTTCTCTTCAAGAATCCCACAGCCAATGGCAGTCTGCAAATGGGTCCTCTGTGCGCCAGACATCTACCTATTTACAGTCTACTGCTTCTTACAGCCTCCCTTCTCCCATATTGCAAAGACCTTCTTTCCCAAGTCACAGCCTTTCAGATGGGGCTCAGTTGCCCAGTGGTCTCCAGGCTAGGAATCTTCCCCAGAAATATGAGCTCACCTCATCCCCTTTATCAAGCAAAGACTCGTGCCCTTCTTCCCCACAGGCTCACAGTTCAGCAGACACGCTTCAGAGCTCATCCCCTCAGGCCGCTTCTCCTCTCCCGCCCAAGAGGTTTGCCCCCTTGTCTGTGGTTCCCATCTATATCATGACACACTTATTATCCCCTAGTCCAAAGCCTCTGTCTTCTCCTCTTCATGGTTCCTCCTCCACCATCTATAGTGTCAACAACCCCGGCAGCCAAATGTCTTCCAGTGGGAACCTTCTGAAATCCGGAACTAAGTCGCCACTACCAACCAGACTCTCTCTTCTGACTGCTATTTTGAAGTCAGGATCCACTCCGAAAAGACCCTTTTCTCCTGCATCTTGCCCTGCTACGTTTTCTCCCAATTCCCTGGGCTCTTCAACGCTGGCAATAGACCAAAAGTTTAAAATGACCCCACCGACCCCTAAGAAAGCTGCCTCAGAGTATTCAATTAGGTCCGCCTCTCCAAGTCAAGAGGAATTTCGTCTTTCGGTGTTTTCTACCGTGCCCAATCGCATGGCCTCATTTTCAAAATCCAGCCCTACTCTTAGAACCAGGTCCCCGTCTCCTAAAAAGCACCTTGACACCAGGGCGCTTTCCCCTGACAAATTGCGCCCTTTGTCGCCCACCATTTCTTCCTATAGAAAAACAGTTGTGTCTCCTCTGTTACAGTCGAAATCTCCCACTTTCTCCTTGCCTCCCCACGCCCCTAGGAAAGGGGCCCACTCTCCTGCCCACAAAGCCCGAGGGCCTGAAAAGTCTAAGAAGGTGCATACCTATTCCCCCACTTTTACTGCTAAGTCCTATCCACTGTCTCCTCCCGGTGTTAGCCAAAGGGACGCCGTTTCCCCCACTGCAGACAAGGGCTCTCTCTCTCCAACCGTAATACATTCTAGCTGCCGGTCAAATGGATGTTTACCGCAAGCCATTGTTAAGGACCCAGCTATCAATTCGCCAGGTCTTTCACCTCATTGGCAAACTTCTCATACAGATTCGACTTCACCCACTCCTCCAGGCTATCGTATTAAAGCCCCTTCTCCACACAGAGAGTCCTCTGTTCATTCAAACTTCCGAGCTTGCCCTCCATCTTCAAGACCCAGGACCCCAACAGTACCACAGCACAGATCTCCTGCCACGGTGCGCTCACCTTGTTCATTGTTGTCAGGATCCAGGGAGGTGACTTCACCACTGTCTTTCTCTCTGCCTTCTGCCTCTGAGAATAAGAAGCCCCAGGTATTCAATATTTGCTTGCCTGCTTGCTTGCTTGCTTGCTTGCTTTCAGGGATGGGAGAGTCCATCCAGTTTGGTTGTTTCGGTGTCTCATTTTCCCGGACTTAAATTAAGTTATCCACATTATGCAGCAATTAGCATTTTTTATATATTTTTTTAAAATCCTCATGGAAATCACCAGCATTTTAGCACTAATTTCTTCTAATAATCACATGTAGTTTGACACATTTTTGCAAGCAATTTATCCTAATGCTTCTTTGCATGTTATTTTACTAATACGTCCAGTTTTATGCCTACTTTCCACTAATAGACGCATTTTTGTAAACACTGGTTGGAGAACAGCACTGCAAAATTTGGAGAAGTGTGACATAACTGTGTTTCGGTTTGCATGTGGCTTGGAATAAATGGAAATGTGATAGATTTGGCTTTAAATGTGCACTGAATCGAATTTCTCCTCCATCCCTACTAGCTTCCCTGCTGGTCTTCCCTTTCTTCTCCACTGCAGGAAAATGGTGCCCAAAGAATGAAAAAGAGAGAGAATCAAAGTTCTGAGCGATATCAATTATATCTTTGATAATTGAGATAATCCTCATCCAGCAATGTTTTCCAAGCACCTTGAGCCAAAGTATAGAAAAACTTTGCATAGGAGCAGTGAGGGAGCCAAGCTAACTGCTGGTATCAAATTGTTCAAGGTGGTTGAAACAAAAAGATATTGTGAGGAGCTCCTAAAGGTTCTCTTGAAACTGAGTGGGTGGGCAGGAAACTGGCAAATGCAATTCAGTGGCCTGGTTTGCTCATCACAGTATGGCTTCCCATGACTGTGTGAATATGCCACCTCCCAGAGATGCAGGGTAGAACCTTGTTTGTTCCTCCCTGGGTGTGGGGTGGCAGCTAAGCCAAGGTTTAGCTCAGCTCAGATTGTGGTTAAGGTCTCTCTTCCTTCACCATGATCTATCACCCTAGAGTAAACCTTTATAGCGACTTTCTCCCTCCACCATATGCCTCTGAATACCAGTTGCACCAGTTGCAGACCAGATGAGCTGCTGGCCTGATCCAACAGGGGTCTTCTTAGGTTCTTCTCAATATCTTTGACTAAATGAAAATAATGCAGGCCCTCATTATTTTGCATACATGGCTTGTACCACTGATGAAGGAACGGTATATGCATCCGAGTACCCATGAATTAGGGACGCAAATGGCACTGTGGGTTAAACCACAGAGCCTAGAACTTGCCGATCAGAAGGTTGGCGGTTTGAATCCCCGTGACGGGGTGAGCTCCCGTTGTTCAGTCCCAGCTCCTGCCAACCTAGCAGTTCGAAAGCACGTCAGAGTGCAAGTAGATAAATAGGTACCGCTCTGGTGGGAAGGTAAACAGCGTTTCCGTGCGCTGCTCTGGTTCGCCAGAAGCAGCTTAGTCATGCTGGACACATGACCCGGAAGCTGTACGCCGGCTCCCTCAGCCAATAAAGCAAGATGAGCGCTGCAACCCCAGAGTCGGTCACGACTGGACCTAATGGTCAGGGGTACCTTTACCTTTACCTTTATCCATGAATTTCTGCATCATAGGATAACTGTATTTGTGGTTTTGACACCACATGTCATTAACAGTGTGCACCAGATTGCTCAGCAACTACTTTTAAGGCTTTGTTTCAAAATCCCTTCAGTTGAACCGGTGACCATTTACATACACGAAATCTTTTGGCATTGTTGGCACACGTTCCAGCTTGTTAAAAAGAGAACTTTCCCCCCTTTCTGCTTTGTTCACGATAGAATGACAGTTCTAATCTGTACTCATCAGTAAGTGGAAATAACCATGAGCTGCTCTGGATTAATTAATTTTGAAATTGAATTTTTTGTGTGTGATGCAACCTGTTTTCTGAAGCAAGTAGGGCATTGTCTTCAATCCCACTTTTCAATCCAATCAATTGCAGCACAATTCAAACTTGCATCAACAATAGGCTGATTTGCACATGCTGTTGATGGATATTATAATTATTGTTGGCGGGAACTAACTTTGTGGCTGGTTCCATAGAAATAGCTTTAATCAAATTCAATTAAAAATGCAGCAGTTGTGTTACTGGATACAAATATTTATAAACCATTGTCCATATAAATCTCAAGCATGGTTCATTTTGTGAGGAAGTGTTTCCCCACACAAAAGCAGAGCATGCCTTCTTAAAGGCTGCTAATAATTCATGGCCTGCTATTACTACAGTCATCTCACTGTGCAAGGGATTGAAAAGCATGTGATTCTATGCAGTTTGCACAAAATGCTTGAATAGATTTTGCAGACATACAGGACAGAAGTCTTTCTGCCACATTCATGTGTGTGCACACACAGACACACACATGTGGCTACCTGCAAAATAAATATGCTGTATGTGCAGCCCACAATTCTCTCACACATCTTATGTGCATTCCATAAATCACTTTAGTGCATGGACATCCACAGTGGAGTAGTGGGCAGGCGAGGGCAGTTGCCCCATGCATGGTTTAACCATAATTCCCAGATTTTCTTTTTTTTAAGATAGGAAGTAAATTTCTACATTTGTAGAACCTGATATATGAGGCAAAACAGACAGGTATCATTCATATTTTTGTGAGAAATTAGCATGTCTTAATACATGGACTTAGGGGACGCAGGTGGTGCTGTGGTCTAAACCACAGAGCCTAGGGCTTGCCGATCAGAAGGTCAGCGGTTCAAATCCCCACAATGGGGTGAGCTCCCATTGCTCGGTCCCAGCTCCTGCCCACCTAGCAGTTCGAAAGCACATCAAAGTGCAAGTAGATAAATAGGTACCGCTCCAGTGGGAAGGTAAACGGTGTTTCCATGCACTGCTCTGGTTTCGCCAGAAGTGGCTTCGTCATGCTGGCCACACGACCCGGAAAAACTGTCTGTGGACAAACATCGGCTGCCTCGGCCAGTAAAGCGAGATGAGTGGCGCAACCGCAGAGTCGTTCACGACTGGACTTAACTGTCAGGGGTACCTTTACCTTTACCTTTAACACATGGACTTATGTTTCATGAATAAACAGCATCTCTCATAGGATTGGTATTTTGAGTGCATGGAACTGCTCTCTAGAACATTGTGCCTTCAGAACTTCTAATGAGAGTCATGGTTTCAGGGGAACAGCTTATTGGGAGGAACACGGCGGAAATCCTCATCAAATAACACATTTATTCATAGAAAGAAAGAAAAATAATAATTTGATGCCAGCTTTATTGTTATGAGTCACTGACAACTCTACGCAGTGCAAATTCATGAGCTGTCAAATCCAGTTTGTCCCTTAAGAGTTTCTCTAATCTGACTCTGATAACTCTGCATCCCATGATGCTAGGGTAAAGACACTGGGGGAGGAGAATTGGGGGGAAGGAATAGACTATGAGGAATTAAGAAAATGAAACTTTGTATTTTAATCCTTCCTGGTGTGTCAGAAAGAAGTTCCAAAGCAGTGATTTGGAAGGAAAAGTGTTTTCTTGTGCATTGTAACACTGACTGTTTGGACCATGTGTGTCACATGCCAAGAAAAGCACAGGAACTTACAGCAGGGTAAAGGTAAAGGTACCCCTGACCATTAGGTCCAGTCGTGACTGACTCTGGGGTTGCGGTGCTCATCTCGCTTTATTGGCCGAGGGAGCTGGCGTACAGCTTCCGGGTCATGTGGCCAGCATGACTAAGCAGCAAACCAGAGCAGCACACGGAAACACCATTTACCTTCCTGCTGGAGTGGTATCTATTTATCCATTTGCACTTTGACATGCTTTCAAACTGCTAGGGGGGCAGGAGCTGGGACAGAGCAACGGGAGCTCAACCCATCGCAGGGATTCGAATCGCCAACCTTCCGATCGGCAAGCCCTGCTGTCGCTATTTTTGGGTGGGATTCAGTCACATACTGGCAAATTCGGGTTGACCAAATAATGTTCATTTGGACCCCTTACACAGCAAACCTGCTTTCCTAAGAGATCAGAGTTTTTGCACTAAGGAAAATGATGGGGAGATGCACTGGAAAGTGAAAGTCATATAGACTCCCCACAAACAAATCTGAATGGATGCTCATTAAATAGTTATCTAAGCTCCCTGCAAATCAGTTGTGATGAGTGCTCAATATACAGGTTGTCTGGAAAAGTGTTCCTAGTGTGTTTACCTTTTCCTTGGGAGTGAAATTGATTAGATGAAAAGGTGCTTGCTATCTGGTCCAAGGGACTTCACCACCGTCTAGCAAACAGAGCTAAGGAAGGCAACTGCAAGTCAGAATGGAGAAAGTCACAAATAGGCCTCTCCACCCTCCACCTCCACTTCAGTGGTTGTCTGTGTCTCAGCTCCATTATATTTGTATTATTATCAAACTACCAGTGTTGGCTCTCTTTGCAAAGCAAAGAGTTATCGCTATTGCTCTGTGAAAGTGATCACCTGTCTTTATCTGGAGCGGTCTTCACTGACCCTGTCAGCAAAAGGGCATCCTTTCACACATGTGGGCTGCATGGATTGTATTTGCAGCAAAGCATAAAATGAATATTGTGTGCACCCTAATAGACAAATGAATGCATGCCAATGAATAGTGAAATGAATGTGTGAGCTAGTGTTCTATAAAAGTCAGAACAACATATTCACACAGCATGTAAGCCCCCTTAATGTTGACAATATTTACAGTTGAGATTTTAATGTATAATATGTTTTCTTTTTCCATTCTCACCGCCCCCTTTTGTTTATGATTTGTAGTCACACAAGATCAAGACAAGCTACAAGGCTTTTGCAGCAATCCCTACAAACACGCTACTTCTCGAACAGAAGGTTAGTTTATTGAAAAAACCTATTCCAGTGATAGTGGTAATTTTATAATTAGGAGTAGCTTGATAAAATCACTTATTTGGGGTACCAAAACATATGACCAATGCTCTGCTGTTTGTGGTAGATGATTGCCAGCTGTTTAGCCCTAAGCGTTGATAGTCACTCTAAACTACTGGCTACATTTACAGAGCATCCATCCTCAGGGATACTTGCCACCATTTGTGTGTGCTGTCTTGAAGAACTGGAGGTCCAGATTGGTTTCTGTTAATCTTTCTAAGGAGCTTAACATTACAATAATCCAGGTTCCCCACCATAAGAATTCTGTTTGGAACCCTGGACAGAGGCAAATTTGGGAGAGCGCATCTGGTTCACTTGCACTGGGTGCCACAACAATGACAAACAATGGAATGTGAGAGGAAGTGGAGCACCACATTTTGGTGAAATGTTAAAGCCTGAAGTCTTTCACTGCCCTGGGGAGCCCCTGCCATTCAGCATAGCCAGTGTTGTGCTAGATGGGCAGGATGACTAGGTTCAGAGCAAAAGCAGCTTCAAGTGTCCCTATGGGAGAAAGTAAACATCAGTGTACATGCTCCCTCTAGAGGACAGGTGGGCACAGTGCATCAGAACGGCAGCATGACTAAGAACCAGAAGTCACATTGGTTGTGGCCAGGCCCTTGGATCTCTCTCTTGATTGTGGAACCTGGCTGGGAGAAATTAGCTTAAAGTAAACTCATGTTTTCCTAAATTTACTCCTTAGATTCTACTGCTTCTACAAATGTGTGCATGGAGATTAAGATTATAATACTACAAGTGCGGTTTATTATTATTTTTGTTGTTGTTCCCCTGCGGTACTTTGCAAAATGAGTTGGGGTTACGGTAACAGCTGATTTGACGGAATTCTTTTCTTTGGGACTTTGTATGCATGTTGCTTAGGGTGCTTGGACAGATGGGTGCAATCTCAACAAAAGAAAGAAACAGGTTAACAAATGAATAAAATTTGCATTGTAGTTCTGCCTTTGTTTTTTATTTTTCCAATGCTGCCTTGATCTCAGAATAATTTGAATTAATCCGTAGGCACTCGATGAACCAGCCAAAGCAGAAGAAGTCGCAGAAAACAAATCTTTGGATACACATTCAGAGGTGACTCTATTCTTCTCTCTGAATTCAACCCATCCCTATGAAAATCCCTTTATTTCTGGTCATATCTCCATTTGACTGATCTTGTCCACAGTGAATAAATGTTAGAATTTGCACTTTTAGGTCGCATCCACGCCATTCATTGGAGAGCATTTCAAACACACTCCTACCTCGAAAGAATCTTGAAAATGGTCATGTACCTTTCAGAGATCTACAATTCCCAGTCACCTTAACAAACTATAGTTCCCAGGATCTTTGGGGGGGGGGAGCAATACGTTTTAAATGAGCTTTAGATGTATGATGTGGATGTGATAGTTGTGGTTCCCAAAAGATGCAGGCTATTACAAAATGCTGATAGCTGTGTTTTTGCCCACTTCTAATGAAAACTTTGTAATGGTAAGAGCTGTCTGCCAGTGGAAACGATAGCCATGGGAGATGGCAGACTCTCCTTCACTTGATGGCATTTAAGGAGATGCTAGATGGTCACTTGCCAAGGATGCTATGGTCCAAGGGAAACCAGTGCTCTCCAGATATATATTTTTTTCAATTTTTTCAATTGATTTTCACATTTATCACAAGGAAAAAGGAAAAACATTACAAAACACAAAACAAAGGAAAAAAAGACACAAAAAAGAATTATTACTTCAAATCCCTAATTTCATTACATTGAAAACTGACTTCTTCAAATCCCCTCTATCTGAATTTCATTATATCACCTATTTAACAGTTCTCCAAATTCATATTTCTAATGATATTAACTCCTTTCATTTACTTACCGCATATCCTTTATTGATATTGTAATCCTTAATATTTACTAGCACATATTCTTATTCTACCCCTAAGCCTATTAATTTCTTCCAAGAATTTTCTATTTATCTTATATTACAGTATTTAGCTAAATATTCTTTAAATTTCTTCCAATCCTCTTGTATCTCCTCTTCCTTCTGGTCGCGGATTTTTCCAGTCAGGTTGGCCAGCTCCAAAAAGTCCAACATCTTCATCTGCCATTCTTCTGTTGTTGGTATCTCTTGCGATTTCCAATTTTTGGCTAGTCCTCTCCAGATATTTTGGGCTATAACTCCCATCATTCCTAACCATTAGCCAAGCTGGTTGGTAGTTGTAGTCGACAATATCCAGAGGACAGAACATTGGCTCCCTCTGCTGTAGTTGCATTTTGCATTATAGTTCTTGCATTGAGAAGGTAGCTGGTCTACATACCCCCACATGCCCCCTTTAAGCTCTGATTCTAGAATTTCAAGGGCATTTCAGATATTTGTGTGAAATTTGTCGAAAGACCAAAAAGGGGTTGGGAGATACATGCATGATCTGGGTGGTGTTGGGTCATGATACATCTTTGGGGAGCTTAAAGTGTTGTGTTTTTGTGTTCAAGACAAATAAACAAATAACCCAAACGCTTAGTTGTGTTGAACTTGAGCATTCTTGCCTGGAGAAAAATGGAGGCGAAGAGATGGAATAGATAATAGGATGTAGCAAGAAGAAAGATGGTGAAGGAGCAGAAAATGAATGGAGGCTGAAAAGCCATACGTTGGGCTTTGCAAGCACACTGAAATTGACAACACAATGCGGTTTGCACTTGGTAAAGTCAAGAGAAGGCGACCTATTGTTGTTGATTATAGAAGAGATGCAAGTTGTGGAACAGGACTTGAACAAGACAAAGACAAATTATGCGATATTCATGGCACAAGCTAGTCCCAGTAATAAAAGCAGGAGATCATATGCAAAGGAGATGGTGAGCTGCAAATACATCCTTGGGGTGAAATTGAGAATCATGTTGTAGGTAACCGTCTCTCTTTTAAAATCTTCTAGATGTGCTCCCCTGCTCAGCTCAGGCAACAAACTGAAGAGCTATGTGCTGCTATTGATCAAGTCTTACAGGACCCCCTGTCTATGGTAACCAGATATTTAAAGCATCTTGTTTGTCTCTATGCTTTCTCCCCAACCCCTTTTGGTTTCTGCAACTGAGCACTTGCCATTTTCAACTCATCCTTTCTAGCGCCGTTGTGAATCTTCTCCAGGCTCCCTGCAGAACATACTGGATTCAGATGCAGGCAAAGTAAGTGGGCATGGATACCAGAATGCATGTTGTCTTACCCAGATGTCCACAGCAAAACATTTCTTCCCTGAAAACATGAACAAAGCAAGCTAAGGGTGTTCAAATTCAAGTTAATACGAAATTGTACTTTTCCATCTGACAAATGCACAATAGTCTGGGGTCGTTAATACACCCCATGCTTCATCTTTGACACAAGTTCAGGGGTGGGGGGGACTTGTGACCCTCCAGAGGTGGTTTGACTGCTGCTCCCATCAGCCCCCAACCAGCATGGCCAATTGCCCGGGATAATGATGGGATCCATAGTCCAACAACAACGGGAGGGTTACAGATTCCTGCTCTGGTGTGAAATACCCTGAAGGTTTTTCACTCTGTGGGTGGAACTACATACACATAAGGCCAGAAGTGACTAACCACCAATTTGGGGGCCTCATCCGCCCCTCCCCCAAATTTTTCAGGGCCCCTAAGATCCTCCCCTGATTTTGGAGATGAGAATAATAATAATAATAATAATAATAATAATAATAGGAGGGAGGAGGAGGAGGGAGGCACAGTGCTGTGGTGGACTGATAAGGATGCAATTTTTTCCTCTACCTTGCATTCAATGCCCTTTTAAAATGTGTTATTGGGTTGTTCTTGTTTTTATTTTGATTATATATTTTGTGTTTCGATATTGGTGTTTTATCCTGTGAACCACCCAATTTGTTCTACCTGTCTACTATTACCAAATGGGGATAATTATGTGGTCCTTCTAGTTCCTCACAATGGGAGCAATGTGCTAACTAACTCTGATGTTTTTAATTCCCAGAAGGAAAAATAAACATATTCCAGGGTAAGGTTAAATAATGTTCTGGATGGTTGACAGTGAATCACTTGCTACAGTGATTGACCACAATGGTCTCATTCAACATAGTCCTAATATCTTAACAAGACACCCTTTTTCATGTTCAAATTCTGTGTGTATCTTAAGCAACAATCTTATATTCACCTGGGAGCAAGCCTCCCTGAATTCAGTCAAACTTACTTCTGAATAGATGTGCGTAAGATTGTGTTGTTACTCGTCTGCATTGCTATTTGGTGATAACAACAGCAGAAAATTGCCTGAAAGTTACAATTTGGCACAAAACTTCTCAGTACAATGCACACGGAACTGGCCAACCTATGTTGCAATTACAATATCGGGCTGATTAATCTTTACCTACAGACATTGATGTCTTCACAGAGACCAGCTGGACGGGAAACAAGATTTGTAAGTAATGTCATAAATGGACTTTAAATTTCTTGCCTGCACTCAGCCTTTGTATCTATTGGCAAGAGCACAGCACAGCCTTGGAACATATAAATGCAGAGTGCATTTTCTCATCACTGACTGGCTACAGCAAGTCGCTACAGATTAGGAAGAACAACTTCCAGACCTGGGAAAGGTGTTTCCAGAGAGATCTGAACTCTGGCATCTGCGCGCTCTCTCTCTCTCTCTCTCTCTCTCTCACACACACACACACATTAAGCACTGATCATAATACCTTTACAAGAATGCCACGTTCAAAATCACATTATTCGCTTGTAATCTTAATCATCTTTAGTCTATCAAACTGAATGACAGAAGCCCATCTCTGGGGAACTGAAAATAAGTGGCTTGAAGGCATTAGCATTTAATGAAGCATTAAATGGCATTATCCATCTCTTCACCTAGCAGCAGCTCCTTACAGAACAGGTACCTGGAACAGAAATCTTGAAGCCTACTTGGATTTTTTTCATTAGCTCCAATGAGGAGCTATAACAGGGCACCAACTGTATTTTCTCTTATGATGATGATGATGATGATGATGATAGTAATAATAGTTGCCCCAGCCACTCTGGGTGGCTTCCAACATATATCCGGCATTCCAGGATCAAATTAAAAATTGGGACATCTTCTGTAAATCCCAGACTGTCCCGGGAAAATAGGGAAACTTGAAGGGTCTGGAACATAAATATTGTGCCCAATAGCCACTGGTGGCCTTTATCGAATCCTCTTTTAAAGCCATCACTTCCTCTTGCAGGGACAAATTTTATAGTTTAACTATTTTCCTCTGTGTAAAGTTGCTGATGTCGCTTACAATTTCAGGTTTGGGGTGTATTGCAAATCTTGCTCTTCTGTGTGTATATATTTTGGAATGAACGAACCGCTTACAGACATAGACTCTGCTTGGATAAATATGACAATATTTGGAATGAAACGTTGTAATTTTGAAAAGAATTTGTAAGAAAAATCACGAATGATTCCAACTAAGATGTTACTTTCTCACTGCAAAATGTATTCGTTTCTCCTGTCATACCATGGATATTTTGTTATAAGGTGGTGGTGAAGCGCAGAGATTTTGATGAAAACATAGGTGGGTTTTTCCTTCTATGCACAATTAACTGAGGGAGGGAGGGAGGGAGAGAACATTTATTATCCAGGGAAAGGTATTTATTTCAAGACAGGTTGATGTTGCAGTTTAAGTCTACATGAGAATACATATTCATGGTTCCTCCTACAATTTGTTTTATTTCCTCAGAAGGCTCACTGTAGGAGGTAAAGGAATAAAAATTCCCAGTTTATTTTTTATTTATATTTCTAAATCAGTGCAATAGATAGCTAGAGAGGTGATGGGGTTTTTTATCATGTGCTGGCCCATAATGATTTGAAAAGGGAGTAGAAGTGATCATTCACTCTTCTGAAATTGTCAAACATGTTAAACTATGTTTGGGGCATTGTTCCACTGGTAACTGCCTGGGGGCTTTCCAAAAGATCAGTTTATTTAGTGCAACAAATATGCAGTTGATATTCATTTGCCACAAGTGCTAATAATGCAGTGTTGAAACAGGACTCAAATATACGGTAACATGCCTACAATTAGGGAGAGGAGAATCTGTCAGTTTTTGTTCCTCTCAGTTTCTCATTTGTCTAGTCTTCAGTCATCATGAATATTCACCAGCATTTGCTTCCAAATCCCTCCTAATATACAAATTTTATACAATTTTCCAAATATACACATTTATGCAAGCAATTTTCCCCAATATAATGCATTGCTGAGTATGTAATTATCATTAATATACGGATTTTAGTGAACAATTTATCCTAGTGAATATGTTTTTGTGTTCATTACTTGTCTGCAGAACTGAATTGCAAAAATCAGAGAAGTGCAAAATTTAAAATATACCTGTGTTTTGGTTCACGCATTAATTAAGTTCATTTTTAAATGTGAACTGAAGTGAACTTTCCCCTCCCTCTATCTCTGGATAAGCTGCTGCTATGAGCATTTTGATTTTTGTGCAATTCATTTTGTTGCTTGTAGAAACAGATTTCATTTGGACTACCTTTCTCCTTTTCTTAGTTCTGCAATTATTATGCACTATTGTGATGCTTAGTCTCATTTAAAAAAATAAAAATCTAATACATCATTTGTTTTCGGGTTGTAAAGCCTCATACGTTCATACTTTTCCCAAAGAAAAACAAGACACTCTTAACATGATGGAAAACAATGTATGCTTCTAGTTGAACTGATATCACATGTATTTTATTTCAGGCTAACCTTCGTTCATTGCAATCTGTGGCACCTGAGAAGCAAAAGGTATGTTTCATGTCTAAACTAACACTCCCCACTACAATAAAATAAAATAAAATAGGTTATGGAGCTGGAAATGATTGCATTTAAAACACATCACTGGAGTGAAGGTAGTTTTATTTATTTATCGTTTCATGGCGTTTAAACCTAAATATGTGACCAACAAATTAAATAATAAAAATGCGGTGTCAGAGCAGCCCATCGCTCAAGATGAAATTAAGTTACAGGGCTCTAAACAAAACCTACAGGCATGGAATTATTCTATCTAGGGCCAAACTGCATGTTGCATATAGCAGAGCTGTAGCTTCAGTGGGGTTAACTGGGTTTTTTTGACCCGGGTGAAGTCTCCAGAGGGCACCATTGAGGCTCCCAGCCTTTGTGAGTGTATGATGCAAATGTGCATGGGTGTGTGTGCCAAACTTGGTCTTTGACCTGGGTGAAACAAAAATTAGTTTCACTCCTTCATATAGTGCACTTAAAAAACCCCAACTGCTTAGAAGTGGGTAGATCAACTTATGTTGGCATGTGCAAAACAAAATCTTGGAAGTGCCTCTTTCTAGAAGTAAAAATGAAGTTGTTATGTACTGAAGTTCTCACCCTGGGCCAGCAGGGGGATACTGTAGATAGTTATGCAAATAAGGGATCGAAAGTGACGTTCAGTGATTGGATAGTTTGTATGCAAATAAGGGATCAAAAGTGACGTTCAGTGATTGGATAATTACAGAAAATGGTTACTGTTGTGTTCTAGTGGAGCTCTATATAAGCAGGCTGACTGAACCCTTCAGTTCAGTTCTGTTCTGGCCTATGAATAAACAAGAGCTGTTTGAAGAATCGCTGTGTTGTCTGATATGTTCACCCACAACTTAACAGAAGTGATAATAAATTAAATGCTTAAGCATTTGCTGCTCTGTCTCCCTGCCTGTGGGAGATGCAGCTATGCATCTGAGAGAGTTTCGCAGAACAGTGCCCAGCATTCAGAATAGATCCGCATGTTGCTTGAAGCTGGGATGTGATTTGTCAAGCAAAATAACTTTGGCCAAGCGGCTGACAAAGAGGCTTGCCAAATATATTGCTTTGTTAGGAGCAATATCAATGCAGCGGATTGCTAATACCATTGTATTCGAAGCTGCTTTGCAGTTATCTTCCATTGAATAAATCAAACGCTTGAGATGTCGTGTTTTCAGTCTGGTGCTGAGCCTCAGGCCTTCATCATTTTATTAACTGCAAAGCAATATTCAGCAGGCTGCTTATTATGATGTCAAGAAAGCAATGTGCTTATTTGGAACTCTAAAACGGATTCCTCACTATTTTTGAAATGCTTTGCTTTCATTTACAGATCATGAGCATTAAGTAACAACTTGAACTTCATAGTACTGTTGGACAGGAAGGGGTTTGGGAAAACCTAGTCCCGTAGCCCTATCTAACCATTGACATGCAATGTAGCATGGAAGCCTAGAAACTGGGAAAGCTTTCGTGCTCCTCTTTTTCAATATGAGTGATGAATTGTTGTGCCACCCACAATGACTCTTGTGATGTGTTGGGGAAAATGGGAATGATCAGCAACAGGACACAAGCAAATACAAATAAATATTTTCTTATTGGTTATGTATCTGGCTGATGTTTCCTATAGAACAATGCAATACAGAGAAAGTATAGAGTGCTAAAAGTGAGTTCAAAATATTTAAGTTATATGTTTTACATGTACAAAACAAGTAACTTGTATCTCGTGAATGTTCATGAGATTTGTTGCTCCATAAACATGGGCTCAAATAAAAGAATTTGCATTTTCCTCTTAGGCATTTCTGGAGAGCAGTAATTTAGTTGCCAGTGGGAGGGCAAAAATTAGACTTCTTAAATCCAAGGCTTGCCTCCTGTTCTTCTGATACATACATGAAAAGGAATTTTTATTACCCTTACGTGGGTTGTATGAGACCGCTGACTGTCATTGCTTTAATTTTTTAAAGTATTGATAGAATAGAAAATGCTCTATTAATATTTTCCAGAGTGAAATATAGCCCTGGTAGGAGAATGACAGAAAAAGCATTGAAAGTAATTTTTCTTTCCCTTCCTTCCTTCCTTCCTTCCTTCCTTCCTTCCTTCCTTCCTTCCTTCTCTTTCTCCTTCTCCGTCTCCTTCTCCTTCTCTTTCTCTTTCTTTCTCTCTCTCTCTTTTTCCCTTTCTCTTTCCCTTTCTCTTTCTCCACCTTTTAAAAATTCCAATACATATGCAAACTTTTCCTTCCTCTCTCTTACCTTGTTGGTAGTAGGTAGGTACAACAGGTGGTCTGGGGTGGGTCTGTGAAACTGCAGTTAAAAATCATCCAGCATCTATCACAGTGTATTACAATTGCTACAACAGGCAGAAAAACCATTAAGAGATCTTCCAAGACCCCCATCAATTTTCAAGGTGTCCAGAGGTGGGGGTTCAGAACCACGGCACTAAGTGAAAGGTATTCCACTAGTGGAGCTTGAGAAAAAGCTTATCTATCTGGGACAGTGAAACAGATGACTTACCTGTCATGCCACAGTTCACTTTTAGTAGGCTATATCCAGTTTCCTAGGTACCACAGCCTGCCTGAGTCTTCTTCTGATCTTCCACTGAGGCCCTGCCCCTGGTGCCTTCCATTTTTGGGCTGTGATGCTACAAAGGACAGAACTTTTCAGGGGGGGGCACCTGGTTTTGGAATCCCCTGGTAAAGAGGTTCCACTGGTGCCTACTTTGCAAGCCTTTAGATTCCAGGTTAAGGCATTTTTATTTACCTGGATGTGTATGCGTGTGTGAATAAGATAATTAATAAATAAATAATGCCTTGGCATGCCTTATGGGTTGGGTTTTATACACGATCTTAAAAAGAAAAAGAAAAAAGAAGTTTTGACTCTCCAGTTGCTGCAGCAACCGCTGAGGGATGATGGGAGTTGTAGTCCAGCAATGTCTCCTGTGCCAAAGGCTATCATTTATACTGGTTGTGCCACAAATGCATCAGAGTGGACGAGTGCAGCAGTTTCCCTTTCATACTTAACCGTTCTTGGCTTCGGCAAGAAGGGATACTCATTGAAAAGTAACGAATGTATCTTTATACTTTATAACATGTAAGGGTGGCAAGTTAATATCTAAGAATGTACAGTGGTACCTCGGGTTAAGTACTTAATTTGTTCCGGAGGTCCGTTCTTAAGCTGAAACTGTTCTTAACCTGAAGCGCCACTTTAGCTAATGGGGCCTCTCGCTGCTGCTGCGCCGCCAGAGCACAATTTCTGTTCTCATCCTGAAGCAAAGTTCTTAACCCGAGGTAATATTTCTGGGTTAGTAGCGTCTGCAACCTGAAGCGTATGTAACCTGAAGTGTATGTGACCTGAGGTACCAGTGTATGCAGTTTTCCAAGACATACACACAATTCAAACACACAATCGTACCTCTCTACTTCTCTTTCCTGAAAACTAGACAAAGCCTGGTGTCATTCGTCCAACAATGGTGAAAGCAAAAATAATAACGTTAAAGGAAGAGGAACCTGCCCAACCAAACCCGTTCAGAAAGTACCTAGAAGAAACCGGTGGCCTCCAAACTGAACAGGTAAAGCTTCTTTCTTTTCCTAATTCAGCTGAGATTTTCTTACTGGAACACTGTAGCTGAATTTGTCTTAAGTATGCAGGTGGATATTTTTAACTATGGAAATAACAAACCATCTCTGAACCAAACCCTCTTCCCACTCACCCCCAATATCTAATAAGAACTACCCCTCTCCTATGCTGTTGTCATTGCGCTGTGTGCCTCCCCACTTTTGTGTCACGGGTTGGTAAGAATGGGGAGACTTGGGCTCCAAACCCCACTTAGCCACCAGGCTCCTGGGTAACTCTGGGAGAATATTTGCTATCTCTCAGATGAACCCGCCTCACAGGGTTGCCGTGAGGATAGCATGGGAAGGTATCCATTTATGCCACCCTCGGATGAAGCAAATCAGACATCCACCAGCTACTCCTTGTCCCGCTACATTAACTATTTTTTCTTCCTTATCCAAACAACTTGTGAACAATTGTGTCCAATCCGACAGGAGCATGAGGCAACATAGTAGATTCTCCCTTGCTGATATGAGCCCATCTTTCATATTATAATAAACTGCCATTTACTGTATCTGCTGCAGTAACCGTATTAACAACCACAAAACCATACAGAAATAACAAGTGAATTCTTAATTGTACAAAGTCAAGCAAACTGGGCATCCCCTCTGGGCCTCTTGGCTTGTCCTTTAACCAGTCTCTTTGTCTGCTTCTCTTTCTTCCAGGATTCATCTCTTTCCCATCCTTATTTATATACTAAACTGAGCTCTCCTACTAAGTCCCCATTGCACCCACAGGGGCTCTCTCATGCTGACTTGCTAACTCCTGGTCCATTCAATCATTTGGGTTCCATCTTTGGCGACATCCATGACAGTTCTTATAGTCCTTACCGTCGCAATACTTTGTATAACAAGGTGAGAAATGTCCCTTCCCCGTGTTTCTGTTGTGTTAATGAAGGACAAAGGTTTTTGAGGCAGCAATTCTAAAGACAAAGTAATTCTATATACGAATGCATTGATATAGTGCCCTTTGGCCAAATGGTTTCATAAGAACATAAAAGTAGCCTGACTGGACCAGACCAAAGGCCTGGGGTCAGACGCAGACGGCCTTTATTGGCTCCCAAACCCTGCCCACTAGCCTGGCCAGATTGGCCAGGATTCAGATAAACAGATGGCAGGAAAACCCAGTACTCCCTAGCGGCTGGCCTAGGAGTTCTCCAATGACTGACCGCCTAAACCAGGCACTGCTCCCAGGGGGTAGGTATTTGGAGCTGCCTATGCTGTGCAGGGACGCGGGTGGTGCTGTGGGTAAAACCTCAGCGCCTAGGACTTGCCGATCACATGGTTGGCGGTTCGAATCCCCGCGGCGGGGTGTGCTCCCGTCATTCGGTCCCAGCGCCTGCCAACCTAGCAGTTCGAAAGCACCCCCGGGTGCAAATAGATAAATAGGGACCGCTTACCAGTGGGAAGGTAAATGGCGTTCCGTGTGCTGCGCTGGCTCACCAGATGCAGCTTGTCACGCTGGCCACGTGACCCGGAAGTGTCTGCGGACAGCGCTGGCTCTCAGCCTATAGAGTGAGATGAGCGCACAACCCTAGAGTCTGGCAAGACTGGCCTGTACGGGCAGGGGTACCTTTACTTTTACCTTTATGCTGTGACCAGGTAAGCAGCCATTTATGAACCAGATGCCTGTGTGAACCAGATGCCCATCAGCAGAGCCAATAGCCCTCTCCTGATGCTGTTCCCCAGAAACTGGTATTCAGAACCATACCTGTATGCTTCACAACAAATCAGGGCAGTTTCAAAAACATAGCACTTTTAAGCACATAAGAACGCGGGTGGCGCTGTGGTCTAAACCACTGAGCCTTGGACTTGCCAATCAGAAGGCCAGCAGTTTGAATCCCTGCAACGGGGTGAGCTTCCGTTGCTCGGTCTCAGCTCCTGCCAACCTAGCAGTTCGAAAGCACACCAAAAAGTACAAGTAGATTAATAGGTACCGCTCCAGTGGGAAGGTAAACGGCATTTCTGTGTGCTGCTCTGGTTCGCCAGAAGCAGCTTAGTCATGCTGGCCACATAACCTGGAAAAACTGTCTGCGGAGCAGACAAACGCCGGCTCCCTCGGTCTGTAAAGTGAGATGAGCGCTGCAACCCCAGAGTCGTTCGCAGCTGGACTTAACTGCCAGGGGTACCTTTACCTTTAAGGACACTTACTTGGCAGGTACTTGACATCAATAGGTTATATGTGGCCTCTAATAAGCATCTTCAAATATTGTGAAATAATGCAAATGAAAAAGCATTAAAACAAGCGTCCCTGTGTTGTGAATTTCACTGCCTTCCTCAAGGCAGCCTCATTGGCTGACAGGGATGTGGAAAATGCCCTATCATGTGGGGAGCATTGCTAAATATTATGGGGTGGGAGGAGAAGTTACCACGAGGATGCTATTTCCAGAAGCATCTTTGTGGAGTATATAATATGATCAGATTCAATACTAAGTCAAATTCTGGACCACATAGACCAGAATTAAAAATTATGTGAGTGTCCCAGAAAAGCTTGGTTGCTCTTATGTTGTCGTTTTTAAATTCACGTGCTATGATTCCATTCTTCGGGTGGTATTCACTCAAGTTTTACTCAGAGTAGGCTTACTAGATCTAACTTAGTCTTTTTCATTAATTTCTGTGTAATTTCTGCATAAAACATAATTGAATACCACCCCATTCCTTTTCAGAAACTGTAGATATCCTAGCACGGCAGAGCTAAATTTCATTGGTCTTGATCTAAATTTCACTTGATCTCTGATTAGCTTTAGAGATTTTTTTTTCAATAGAAAGTGCAGTCTTTCCAGCATCATTCAAAATATATCCTAGGCATTTTCTCAAACTATCTCACATGAGTTGAATTTTAAATTAACCTTCTGCTGTGTCTACAATGAAATCTGAATTAACTAGGTAAGTTGTACTGTGGTCATTCTACCACTAGAGAGCAAGATTCACTGAGCAAAATGACCTTCAGCGTTCATGAAGAATTAATACACCTGCTTAAGCTGAATGGATTCAGGTATTTTTCATTTGCTTTTGAAAAAGCAATTCTTCATTTAGAAAGAATATATAATCTCCCTGGTGAGTGCCATTGTAAATTAACCTGGTGAGAAAGAGTCTTTTTATGCCTTGTATCAGGGACATCTTAAGCATATCCGGCGCCATGGTGCAAAGATCCCTCTTGTGCCCCCCACCTTTCCCAGAGTTGTTGACCTTTTCCCAAGCCTCTGCTGGGATCGCTCTCCTCCCACAGAGGCTTGGGAAGGAAGCTGCACGCCTACCAGCCATATGGTCGACGGGGCACAGCTGATGGGTGTGCAAGGAAAGGGGAGGCCAGCAGCAAAGCCACGCAGCTCCCTCACTCGCTGGGGTGCCCGAGAGGCCGGCAGTAGCACCTCGACTTACGTAACCCTCAGGTAATGTAAACTTCGGGTTGTGAAAGCAGCAAACCCGGAAGTGTTTTGCCATGCACGCATGTGCGGAAGTGGCCTACCGTCTACCGCCGTGGGTGCATGAGCAGAAGCGGTCTAACGCTTCTCCTCCAGTTGTGAAAACCTCAGGATCCGGCCGGACCTCCAGAATGGAACCCGTTCCGGAGGTACCACTGTACTATAATGTAAAAAGAAGTGCTTCTCATCATCATGATTAAGGCTGTGACCTCATGACCAGATCGTACTGACTGACTGTTGATGGGCAGCTTCGAAGTCTCCCTTAAGATGGTTCTTTCTTTTGAAAAGGACTTGAACAGGACAGCTTTCAAACAAAGGACTGCTTTCTGTAAGACAGGACACACAGCCTGAAAGAATTGGGGGGTGGGGCGGTTTACCTTAGAAATAAATTGGATTTGTGTGTAAACTTTAAGTGCTTCTGTATGTTTTTGCATTCCTTTCACATCAGGACAAAACAGATCTGCATGTCTTAAACGCCTAGGGAGAACGAAAGTTTGAAAGAGATGTTAGCCTCACTAAATAGCACAGAAAATATGTGGGAAACAGAAGATGTTGGAAACAGTCTTGTTGCTATGGCATTTGCCAGTTGCCAACTGGTAGAATTTGATGTCAAGGGCACACAGTTCCTATTGGGAATGAAAAAAACCTCCCACAGCTAAAAAGACAGTCGTTCAAAAAGCCCCACGCTTCTGCCGTGAGTGATAGCAGGTGATCTACCATACCATTAAAAATATGGAAAGTAAACATGACTCATTCTCTCATGCAAGAGGAATAAAGGTTTAAATAATCTATTTTGTGATCTTCTGGCGCTGCAGCTTAAGTGTCAAGTGTTCTGACATGGAATTGCTGGTCTAGAGAGAACAGCGTCAGAAAGCCTTTTAAGATGCCCGAAGAGTAGAAGGAACACTTGGGTTTATTGGGGCAGGTGTGGGAGGTCAGAGAGAGAGAGGAGCCACTGGTGACATACCTACACTCATATTACTCTCAGCATGGTCCTTAGCTGCATACAAATGGTATGTGTATAGGTTCTACTCTAACTCCAACAATTTGGAGTTAGAGCTGACAGTGGGTGTTCCCTGACTCTTCCCCCCATTTTTTGGTGGGATTCAGTGACATGTTGGCAAATTCAGGTAGAGAAATTAAAGTTGATTTGGCATTCTTGCAAGCACCCCCTCCTTCCCTCCCCTCCAAAATCAGACCTTTGTGAAAAGGAAAAGGCGCTGGAAAGTATGGGTCAATGTTTCCTTGATGGAACATCATCTAACCTCCCTGGAAACAAATGAGGATAACTGCTCAATAAATCGGTTGTTTGCATATGAAGAAAAACTAAGTATTTCAAGCTGGCATTTTCTGGATATAGGGTTTTATTCTTTTGGGGGAATTGCAACTAAACATCTAAATTAGCATCCTATTTCTAGCAGGGGACAAAACAGCTGGTTATGGAAAGCCCCAAAAGTGAAAGCTCTAAACATGAGGATTCCATGTAGGCAAGAAGACCCTCAGCTACAGACCAGCCTTTCCCATCCTTGGTTCCTCCAGATGTTGCTGAGCTCTCATCATCCTTGATCATTGACCATGTTGGCTGATGGTAGTTGATACCCAACAACATCCAGAGACATCCTAAGTCTAGGGAAGGCTGTTATAGACAGAGGAGCTGATCTGATTCCCTTTTAAATTAATCTAAGCTATTGGTGATCACTATACAGCTAGCACTCTCTGGGGCTATGTGGGTAGCAGCAAACGTAAGGCTCAGTGGCTGAGGTCACCAGAGACTGAAAACTGGTTTAGCACCCATCCTCCAACAGTCTCCACAAGTGAATATTTTCCTTTATTTAATCCTGTGGAAAGGGTGAAGCACAGCTTTTAAGGCTATTGTTACAGTGGGGGGGGGGCTCACCTTCATCACCACCCCAAACAGCATTTGGAAGATTGTCCACCACTGATGGAAATCTTGCAAAGTATCGGGGTGTGTCTGAGTGCCTGTACACAGTGCACATTGAGATGCACTGCAGACACACACTTTCAAAATCTTCAAAGTACACAGACCCGCACATGCATGCTGTCTGTCTTAATGATGGGCCTTCTGCTAACAATGCAGTGAGAGGAGTTTTTCAGACATCAAACTGTCATGCAGGGTTCATGGGCATTTATCTGAACATTTATCTTCAGTGTATTGGCGTCCCATTTGCAATACGCCAGGTGTTTCGCCCTCATGAAATGCCATTAAGTGCCATTGCAGTGTCTGCTTTGTAACGCTCTTGACATTTCCTCTCTTTGCAGCCCACTCATCCGATAGTGCCCATTCCAGAAAATGAAGCACTTAGCTCCAAAGAGGTATTGGTAAAGCATTCTGCATTTCTAAATGCATGCAGGGTTATGACCGCTCACTCAGATTTGTTCTTGTTGATGCAATGTAAGAATGAAAATTAGGAGAGGGTGTAGATGGGAAAAGGTTGTTTTGTATGACAGGTTCACATGCATGGGTTAAATCCTTTAATCTGTTTATTTATTTTACTTTTTTATAAAGGCATTCAAATACTTCCTATGACAATCGAGCTCAAGGAAGTGTACATATTTAAAAATATAAATGAACACAACAGGGAAACCGCAATGTTATAAGTAAAATGCAGCTGATAACCCGAATGACACAATTAATTAACTTTTGACAATAAAACACCAGGAAATGCTTTAGTGCACAGGTATGTTTTTAATGGGGGACGCGGGTGGTGCTGTGGGTTAAACCACAGAGCCTAGGATTTGCCGATCAGAAGATTTCAAATCCCTGTGACGGGGTGAGCTCCCGTTGCTCGGTCCCTGCTCCTGCCAACCTAGCAGTTCGAAAGCAAGTCAAAGTGCAAGTAGATAAATAGGTGCCGCTCCGGCGGGAAGGCATTTCTGTGCGCTACTCTGGTTTGCCAGAATCGGCTTAGTCATGCTGGCCACATGACCTGGAAGCTGTACGCTGGCTCCATCAGCCAATAAAGCGAGATGAGCGCCGCAAACCCAGAGTGGACCTAATGGTCGGGGTCCCTTTACCTTTACCTATGTTTTTAACAAGTGCTGTGTTTAACAAGTGTTGGCACTTGTTGGAGCTGCAAGGGAGGCAATTCTATATAGAAAGGGGGCCACCACAGAGAAGGCCCTCCCCCTGGTTTCCTCCAACCAAGATAGTGACACAGCCAAGAGTGCAATGCTTGGACAGGACAGTAGGGGCAGAGGCACTCCTCCAGGTATCCTGGTCACAAGTTGTTTTATAGGTTAAAGTCAAAACCTTGACTTTCACCCATTAGCTTATCGGAAGCCAGTGGAGTAGCTTCAGGAACTGTGTAATATGTGTGAAAGAGAGCACTAAATGGCGCACAAATTACACACTTGTGCCTACAAATGAAAATAATGGTGATCACGGCATGGCGATAGGTGGGATAGAATTTATCATATAGAAGGGGAAGGGGAAATCCTGCCTGTACCTTTTTTGTGGCTGAACAAGGAGACTGAAGCCAACACTCTTGTTGCTGAGTGGATTGTTGGCCTGATGTAGACACAGGATTCTAATGTTATTCTCATGCCATGGCTGTCAGGAGCCTCACCTACCAAACTTCTTCCTCAGCTATGGCTGGTGTGGGGGCAGGAGGGGGAAGCTTGTTCTAGAGTGAAGCCTTTATTCTGTTTCCCCAAATTTAAAACTTCTAAAACTTCTAAAAGCTATGTTGTTTTTTTGAAGAGGAAAAAGAGAGAGGCAAGCATACCTGTGTTGTGTTCAGAATAGCAATATTCTTTCTAACTGGAAACTTTTACAGCTTTGTTCTGCTAGAGCACAAAACAAGCTGGATTTGCTGCCCTACCAGGAAAACAAAGATCTAAGCAGAGGAAATGTTCCAGACAATGGCAGTCCTCACAGCAGAGCTCACTGTCTACCCAGAGGAGACTTTGAGAACGTTTTTGCAAAAACCACCTAAGGTAGATTTGTTTATTATCCTACCTTCCCCCAATGAGCTCAAGGTGGCATGCATTGTACTCACAGTGGTCTGTGAGGTAGATGAGGCTGAGTATGACTTACCCCAAGGTCACCTAGTGTGCTTTGTGGCTAAGTGGGGATTTGAACCCTGATCTCCAGGAACCAGAATAGTGTTTCCCAAACCTGGGTCTCCAGCTGCATTTGGACTACAATTCCCATCATCCCTGACCACTGGTCCTGCTAGCTAGGGATGATGGGAGCTGTAGTCCAAAAACAGCTAGAGACCCAAGTTTGGGAAACACTGTTCTAGACCAACACTTTATCCTAGCCTTTCTCAACCTTGGTCTCCAGATGTTCTTGAACAACAACTCCCATCATAATTGACCACTGGTCATGCTGGCTAGGAATGATGGGAGTTGTAGTCCAACAACATCTAGGGACCCAAGGTTGAGAAAACCTTCTCTGACCACTGCAATACACTGCTATTTCCTGTTCATGACCCACCTTTTCGATATGTAAAGCATGCAAGGCACATGGCAGGAGGTCCAGCAGCAGGGTCTAGCCATCTTGCCCTCTGCACTCAGAACAGAAACATTGATGACCCTCCAAATGGGTTGCAGAAGTTGCCTAATAAAGACCTCTTAAGTTCTCATCAATGAATTAGTGCATCAGTCTTTAGCCTCCAGGATCTCTGAAATAATTATAGGCTGTCTGTGTAAAATAATACCCTTTATTAACAAAAAGGGACATCATCACAGCTGGATGTTTCATGCGATGTTAACAACTCAGCACTGTAGACATGCTCTACTAAAGCCCAATAATGGATCAAAATTATTTATTCATATGAGCATGTTTGCACTCTGGTCAACACACCCCTGTTTTGGTTAAGATGTGTTGCTTCAGTTGCAATTCCTAGGGTAGACTGTAAGGAGGCATCCTGTTTTGTGTTCATTACAGTCGGCACTGATTCTGACAGCTGGGATAGCTCAGTCAGTAGAGCATGAGACTCCTAATATCAGGGTTGTGGGTTTGAGCCCCATGCTAGGCGAAAGATTCCTGCATTGCAGGGAGGTTGGACTAGATGACCCTCGTGGTCCCTTCCAACTCTACAGTTCTATGATCCACTACAATTTGACTTCCACTAAAAGCTATGTTGTTTGTCTCACTATCCACGATGGCCAAAAGTAATGAAAGGGAAACAATGCAGAAAACAATGTCAATGGCAAACTAAAAAACCTATGGCTAATGCTGCTTGTATTCATTTGCTTGATCTCTGTTCCTGACCTCAGATGAGCATGTGAATTGCAGCCATTTCCACTCCTGATTCCAGATGAATTCCCTGACATCCCTACTTATCAGCCATCACAGCATCCTACAGTAATAAATTCCACAAGGAAAATTAGGCATTGTGTACTTAGGTTTTTTTCTTGTCTTCTGTTTCCTACCAGGGCTGTCACTTGTGGGATGTTCTGTCTGGGAGCTGGAACAGGTATTATGTTTTCCTCCTTAATCTCATAATTGCTCTTTTGTCACTTCTGTGTCTAATGAGCACAACAGGGAATTTAATACTGCTGAATACATGCTATGTGGTACCTATTAAGCTTCAAAGTCACCAGCTATTATAAATTTTATTTATCTATTTATTAAAAATATTTGTATGATGCTAGTTCATTAAAAGAAACCCAAAGTGGTGTGCAGCAATATTGTAGATAATCAGCTACAGAAAGATGATTTCTTAACTTCCTGCATTATCTTGACAGCCTAGAAAAGTTTTCATCCGAAATTTAAAGGTTAAAACAGAAGTTGCCTCCTGAATTGCCATTGGACTGAGCCAATGATACAAAAGTCTGAGATTCTTGTCACTGTCAGATGAATCTCACCAACTTGATCTCAGTGATAAAGCTGTGCTGTAAATTGCCCTGTGATCTTCAGATGAAGGGCTGTACAGTCGTACCTTGGTTTTTGAACAGCTTAGTTCTTGAACGTTTTGGCTCCCGAACACCACAAACCCGGAAGTGACTGTTCCAGTTTGTGAGCTATTTTTGGAAACCAAACATCCAACGGGGCTTCAGTGGCTTCCGATTGGCTGCAGGAGCTTCCTGCAGCCAATCAGAAGCTACGCTTTAGTTTCTGAACTTTTTGGAAGTTGAACGGACTTCTGGAATGGATTCCTTTCAACTTCCAAGGCATGACTGTATATAAAGTTAATATATAATAATAATAATACAATTAGTAATAATAATACAATAATACAATTAAGCTGGGATATAAGGGTTCAGGTGGTCCCTAAGGTATGCTGGACCTGAGCTGTATTAATTTACAAAGCCCTGAACAAGGACTTTGAAAAGGAGCATAAAATGCTTTCAAGTGCATCATTTTAGGATGAAGACAGGTGTAAGGCTACAATACTGTGCATTCTTACTTCAGACTAAGCCCAATTTAATTCCATTGGACTTACATCTGAGAAAATATATGCAGAGAGGATTATGGTGCCTAAATGATGGAATTTATTTGAAAATACATTTGAAGCATTCCAAGACGTAATTTTTTAGGGTAGCGAATATATATTCAGATCACTTTCCACTACACTTAAAATGTTAATGTGCCTTCAATTTCAGGTTTTTATAGTGAATTTAACATCCTTTTCACAAATATCCAATGGCTTGTGTACATGACTATCTGTATGTTAGTGGCTTAGTAAAATCTTAAGTGGTAATCCAATTCTAATTGTTTATAAATTGGAACATCAATTGATGGAGATTATTAGATACAATTTCAGTCTATGGCATTTATTTCTCTCTCTCTCTCTTTTCAGACATGATTTCAGATTAAAAGTTAATTGTAGGGAATGCTACTTCCCAGTCTGCTGCGATGCTGACATGAGATCTATGCTGAAGTGAGCTGAAGTGTTGCAGCTTAAAAATGGCCTCTCTCTGTATTCGTTGTAAAATATCAGTAGCATACCACAAGTAATCAGGAACTCAACAGTGAATATACAGTGAAATGATTGTTGAAAAATTCTGTATAACTTCCTGAAGTGTTTTTAACGCATGTTGCCTAGAAAATCAGCTTCGGCTGATCAGAAAACGATTTACATTTTGAAATGAAATAAAGTTGAGTTGTATATTGTATAAAGCAATTTTCGTGTGTGACTCATTTATGCCTGCTGAATAGTGGTCAGAAGGATTTGTTAGTTGTGTTAGTCTATTTATTATTCTTTTTATTTATTATTCTATTTATTATAATACTATTCATTAAATTTATATACAGTACAGTGGTACCTCGGGTTACATACGCTTCAGGTTACAGACTCCACTAACCCAAAAATAGTGCTTCAGGTTAAGAACTTTGCTTCAGAATGAGAACAGAAGTTGTGCTATGGCGGCGCGGCGGCAGCGGGAGGCCCCATTAGCTAAAGTGGTGCTTCAGGTTAAGAACAGTTTCAGGTTAAGAACGGACCTCTAGAACAAATTAAGTACTTAACCCGAGGTACAACTGTACTGCCTTTCATCCAAAGATCTCAGGTAGGTTCACAGCATAAAAATACAAAATGAGAAAACCAAATACATAATAAAACAAAAATAAACCGCTAACCCCTTTCCCACAAACACATTTAAAAACTTTAGAATGTTCAATCAACCAAAGGCCTAGTTATTGAGAAACATTTTTGCCAGGAGCCTGAAGATATGTAATGAAGGTACCAGGCAAGCCACCCTGGGGAGAGCATTCCACAAGTGGGGAGCCACTGCAGAGAAGGCCCATTCTTGTGTTGCCAGCCTCCTAGCTGCTTCAGAAACATCCAGGTGGTGACAAGGTTTGTACACAATAATTTCTACAAGCAGATTCAGGTGCCCAACCTTTTCCTCTTTCTATTCAAGGACTGTTTTTTCCTGACAGTATCAGAAAATGAAGAGAGAGAGAGAGAGAGAGAATTGGTTTTGATAAGCTTCTAAAGACATGTAAGCCTTTAATTTTATTGTTTTCTTTCATTTATATCCCTGCACCTTTTGTCTGACATGGGGTCCAAGGCATCATCCATGTTGTTCCAGGCACCAACTTACTGATATTCAGGAAAGTGCTACACTCACCTGCTTTCAGACTATACCTTTGGAAGCTGATTATTACAGTATGTCACAAATAATTTCTTAATTTCCAGACAGCTCTAAGCCTACACAAAACTGACTGAACAATATGAAATGGTACAAGACAAGACAAACCCAAGACAGGTGATTGTCAAAACTACTGTATGATGGAAAATGAGAAATGTGTAGTAGTCTGACCTCAGTTGGAAAATGATAAACAGAGGATTGCATTCACTGACATTCTACTCAGCATATGCCCATTGAAATGAATGGATCTGAGTTAGTCATAATCACTGGGCGCAACCTAGAATGTCCCAGTCATTTGAGAGAGGCTTCATTAGGCCCAATGAACAAGATTTTCTTGCATTGTACCTGTTCAGGTTACAGGTCTATTTCTGAATGTATCCCAAGGATAGGTGGAGAATTGGTGGAAGCAAAAACCTTCCTGCACATGGAAAAATACTGGCTGATCCTTACTGTGCCAGTTTTGTATTTCCCCTGCAAAAGAAAAAGAAAAAGACGTTTAATGGGGTAGTATTCAAACATCAATTTCCCCAGCTGTACCTGACATAGTTCTCCCTAGGAAAATCATTATCACTTGTTTTCATTGAATGTATAAGGTAAGCAGTGCAAGACAGATTCTGGGAGCAAAATGTCAAAGGTGATAAGATGTGTAGCCATTCATCAACCTAACACCCATTGTATGCTCAGAGGAACTGGTGGAATTCAGGCTCTGTACATGACACACGTTTAAAGCACACCTCCTCCTTCCAGAGAATGCTGGGGACTGTAGTTTACCCATCACAAAGCTATAATCCCCAGCATCCTTAAACTACAGTTTACAAGACTCTTTGGGGTGGAAATGTGCTTTAAATGAATGGTGTTTATGTAGAGCAGAGACAGTGCAATTGTTGATTTTCTAGCCCAGTTGTAGGAGTCATTATTTATGCAAACAGCCCTCCAACAGTCAGTATTCTGAAACAAAACACCATTGGAAATGAGAAATATTGCAAGGGTTATGTTTGATGTGTCAATGTGCAGGTGCTTCAGTAGCTAATAGGTGCTTCACCGCTGAAAATGTAGAAATATGTGTCATTACATTTTATGGCAATTGCTTAAGCGGTAAAGTCTCAGTGAGAATCCATGTAATATACTCCTAAAGCTAATGTAAAAATAACGAGGCTTCAATTAAACTACATGTGATTTTAATGGGCATTTAGCATGCTTAATTAGGTTGTGGCACAATGTTTGCAACGACTTGGATTTTTGGCTGCTGGCTGGCACATCTGAAAGTCCTTATTTGCACGAGAACATTTGTATGATATAAAATTTATGGTTGTTTTCCTTTTACTGGATTTATGGAGCTGTGGCATTACATAAGTTCCCTGGGCAGCTCACAGAACAAAATGCAGTGCAGAATGAGGTAGACGCACATTCGCAGTCTTATTTGAAGAGGAAAAACTTCTTCCAGAGGGTATTAGCACAAGACGAGGTAATGAATCATTTCTTGCTGCCTGTCACTTATCCACTCAGTGTTGCCAGGTATATCAGAATTGTCAAGGAATGCTGTACAAGGTATGAGATGCTCTGTCAGGGATGTGGAACTTATGGACCTCCAGATGTTGTTGGACTCTAACTCCCATCATTCCCAGGCAGCATGGTCAAATGTTAATGGATGGTGGGCTTTGTAGTATACACACGAGGCAGGTTCCTCATCCCCACTGCAGCACTAACCTTGGGCAGTACAGTAGTTCCTTGAGGGCCCTCCAAACAGGCGAAAATGCCAAGTGGGAGGCTGCTGGATGGGCTAGATAAGGGGCAGGTTTTCTCTGTTTTGATTGCCCCAACCTGAGGTATTTGCTCTGCAAAAGAGGAGCTCACGTTTCCTTCACCTGCCCTTCCGCATGCACCCGGGGACAGCAAATATGCTTGGGGTGTTCCCATACATGTTCTTGGCTTGCATTGCTGCTGTGAGAAAAAGAAGCCATTTGCCAGGAGAGGCCCTTTTGGCTGCTCCATGAGAGTTTGAACAAAAACTGGATAAATTTTGAGTTTGTAATATGAGGATTCGAAGCTGATCCCATGATGACACAACCTTATCACCCTAAATGTGGCTTTCTCTCTCTCAGAATGGCTATGGGCCTAGAGTTGCATGCATTTGTGTGTAACATGTAGTTTGGCCAGTAAGCAACAAGTAAGACTGGTGGAATATTAAGCTAGAAGTATACTAACCAAGTGCTATTTTTTTCTAGAAAAAGAGGTGCTGGAACTCACCATGAACGCCTCCCTCATTCTCTTAGAATGGCAATGGCGCCCACCTGAGAGGTGCTGGAACTGGGTTCCGGCGAGTTCCGGCTGGAAAAAGCCCTGACAGTATCTAAGAATAGTAGGCATTAGAACCTCAGGTCCATCCAACATAAGAGTGCATGTATTGTGCTACTGATGTTGACTGTGATTAAGACTGGGTTATAATTGCCTGCCTTGAGGGTGACAGTAATCTGAGAAGTGTGCCTCAAAGTCAATAGGTTCACGGTAGGTATTCCTCTCCCTTTGGCAGGTAATCCAATATAGCAATAATGATCAGCATTAAAATGGTGATGGACATGCAGAACTGCCAAATATTAGTAGCAGATCTTATTCTATGTTCATGTAGCTTCGCTTTAAGCTCTAAAACAGTTACCGGTAACTTCTATGTTCTTGGGCAAAAAGCATTATTGTGAAAAATCAACAGGATCTGGGTTTGGTGGTTAAAAATAATGTTGTCTGACGTGATGAAATGCTCTTCAATCAATTTTTGTTTCCTGTGCTTTCCCAGACACAGTTTTTCTGACTCATACAGCCATGTGAAATTTCAATTTCCATTGAATCTTTCCATGCCTAGCGAAGACTGTTTTCCTGCTGCTATATTTGAAGTTGCCTCAGGCAACTGATTCTGGGGTGTTCTAAAAGGGCAAGATATTATTTATTTAATTGGCTGTATTTTTACTCCTGGGGAGGGGAGGGGTATGTGTGAGAGATTTTCTGCCTCAACTGTCAAAACATTTAGGTCAGCCTTGGGTAGTATCCACCTTGATTTGTTGTATATGTGTAGAGATTTCCTAACCGGCCTCAGGCATAAAAAATGCTGAGTAGGAGTATTTTCATGTATTTCAAGATGTAATGGCATCAGTGCAGCATTTAATCTTGCCAGAGATAGACCCATAAACTTTCAAAGATACTTTATACATAACAGTGATGAGATCAGATGTAGTTTTCTAGAAAAGTATTTTACAGCTCAGCTCTATTGATGTGCCTAGTTGTTTATCGTTCCCATTATCTGAAAGGATTTCTGTTTATTTCTTCGGACCTTGTGTCCAGTATTTATGCGATACTAAGCAGCTTGTGTAAAAATCTTGTGTAAACAGGGCATTTTATAACATCTCTGACTAATGGTTAAAGTCCAAATGTTTTCCACATCACAGAGAACATTATTTTCCAAGCTTCTGTGTGGACTTCTTGCTCGAATCATGAGCATTTTGGGGGGGGGGGCTTTGTTTTGACCTGCACACTTGGTAGAGAGCCATTCTGAAAGAGTCCTGCTCAGGGAGACCTAGAAAATCGACCATTGGGAAACAAACACCCCAGAATGGAGATCTATACCTGCCTTTTTGTTTTTTGTTGCTTTGCAGTCATGCTTTGCATGGACAGACTATATGCCTCCAAGAATAATATTCTGCTGAAAGACTATTCGACGGAAAACAGAGCCAAAAGGACGTTATCCGGGGGAAGTTACTGTAGGCTACGAGGCTGCTGTCCAGGCAGAGATGATGGCTGCACCTTTCTGTACTATGCCAGGAATGCCACATGCTACTGTGATGCTTTCTGTTCCTCAGGCCCTCCTGGCTCTGTAGACTGCTGCCCTGATTTCTGGACTGTTTGCCGGGGCCACCCTATTACAGCTTCATCAGTGCTAGCGGGTGAGTGTTGAATATATCTCCAGCTGCATTTGGCGTAAAACCTATGTGTCCCCCTGAATGTATACTGGCCAAATGCTACAACGTTATTTATTTTTTTAGAAACTGTTATTGGCAAGTTAGGAGGTGTGTCCTCTACTTGGAGATGACAGAGATGGAATCTGGGACCTTCTGCATCAAAAGCAGACGCTCTATGACTGAGCTAAGAACCTTCCCCACAGATAGAATCTGTGAACTTGCAAAATTAAGCAATACATTTGGTAGCATTGCTCATTTTAAACACATTTTAATAGAAATCAAAATGTATTGCAACTGACATTTCTCAAATTTCATCGGAAGTTATTAACAAAACACGCTCTTGGATTTCACACACTGCGCTGTGACAGATACCGTGAAGTAATTTAGCACGCAAAATTATTTTATGCTTTTACCACCTGTAATCGTAGAGGCTAACATAAGCTCTACTCAGATTAGACCAGTTGAAATCAATGGACTTCAGTTAGTCATAGATTTGAAGATGAATTCAAATAATGCTTGGAAAGTCGATACCTGTTTCAGAAAAAAATATTTAAAGGCATCCTCTGAGATCTAATAAGGAAAACCTCCCTGGCAAATCTGGATTCCCCCTCTCATCTCTGAAGATGAGTCAGGGCTCTAGATTTATAGACAGGAATGTACAGCAAAGCAGCAACAAACAAGTGGCTTTGCTCCTATTTAGATGGAATCTGATCCTCCTTTTTTTTTCATTTGTCTTTTCGGTTCTGGACCTGGTGTTTTTGCTTCTAGATTCTAAAACCCTTGTGTAATTCATGGGAACAACAATGTAGGAAGCTGTCAGTCAGGCCATTGGTCCATCAAGTTAAGTACTGCACACACTGCATACTGCATACACTGACGTGGGTGGTGCTGTGGGCTAAACCACTGAGCCTCTTGGGCTTGCTGATCAGAAGGTCGGGGGTTCGAATCCTCACAACCGGTGAGCTCACATTGCCCTGTCCCAGCTCCTGCCAACCTAGCAGTTCGAAAGCACACCAGTGCAAGTAGGTAAATAGGTACTGCTGTGGCGGGAAGGTAAACAGCGTTTCCATGCACTCTGGCTTCCGTCATGGTGTTCCATTGCCCCAGAAGGGGTTTAGTCATGGGTCACATGACCCAGAAAGCTGTCTGTGGACAAACACCGGCTCCCTCGGCCTGAAAGCAAGATGAGCGCCGCAACCCCATAGTCACCTTTGACTGGACTTAACCATCCAGGGGTCCGTTACCTTTACCTTTTTTTTTACAATGACTTGCAGAATCGCTCCAAGGATTTCAGATATCTGGAGATGCTTGGAATTGAACCTGTGACCTTCTGCATGCAAAGCCAATGTTCTACCACTGAGCTAAGGCCCAAAATCACTGGTAGACTTTAAGAGAGCTATACCAATTTTACACCAGCTGCTTCTCCTCTCCTACTCCAAACCAAACCAGACTCAAATAATATTAAGGACTATAGTAGCAAGAGTATCACCAGAACATGGATTACACATGGGACCAAAGGTCTACAAATTTCTGATATTGCATGTGTTCTTCATGGAATCCATTGCCAACTAGGTTGGGAGAGGGGGAACTGATGTCCCTCTTGGTATTGCTGGACTACAACTCCCATTATCCCTGACAATTGACCACGCTGGCTGAGGCTGATGGACGTTGGAGTCCAACAACATCACTAGCCCTGAATTAAGCAAGGCTATCCACGGAAATAATGCAAGCACTAACCTGGCTCTAGTTCCAGCAGAAAAGCATGAAAAGGAAATGCTGAAAGGGACAGGGCTCCGTTCTTGCCCTCCAATTTCCACACAGCTCTGAAAGAAAAGAGAATCTCTGCTGAGTACCAATAGCAAGTTGGCTCCTTTCAGTTAAATTGCTGGCAAACAATTCTTCCAGCTGGTAGCCTGGCGTGGAGCTGTATTTGCCAAGGAAACCCCATGGAGGAGAATATCTATTCTCTGCTAATGATGACAGAGGCTCCCTCGTTTGAGGCAGCGCAGATCAGAAGGACTTTCTGTGAAGCGGCTGTGAAGAGTGGAATTCAGTGAGGCTTGTTCCTCCAGGAAGCTGGAGGAAGAGAAAGACACTTGGCATCTTCCCACCTCAGGCACCATTCTCTTTGCTGCAGTGAGCTGTGCACATCAGCCCATTAAAGCCTGTTACAGATACAAACATCTATATCTATCTATCTATCTATCTATCTACCTATCTATCTATCTATCTATCTATCCATCTATCATCTATCTATCTATCTATCATCTATCTATCTATCTATCTATCTATCTATCTATCATCTATTTCTGCCTCTATGAACTGAAAAATAATACTAAATCTATCTCCTACTTAGAAAAGAGAGGGGTGATTGTCTCCTGATCACAAAAAAGGTCTGTGTAATTTTTTCGCCTGGTGGATTGGAGGCACCTTATTAACTATTAGTGGCCTCGATTCATAAATATTATCTAAAGCTGCAAGTCTCTGCAGTTCTATTGATTCAGTATCTATCAGTTGTATATGGTACTTTAGAGAATACAAGAGGACAGGTCCCTGCCCTGATGAGCTTACAATCTAAAATGAAAACTTGGGGGAACAACGGAAGAGTGGTAGAAACATGTTTTGGGGTAAACAAGGGAGTTGGGGTAAACATGGTTACATGTGAGAAGGGCTGTAGCTCAGTGGCTTAGCTGATGCACCAAGCTGAACTATAAAAAGACCAGGGAGGAGCAAAATGGCCATGATCCTCTCCTCAGGAACCTGTGTATTTGTGTGTTAATGCCAAGCCAAGCCCTGGTTTGGCTTAGCGTTACTTCCAAAAGTGGCCACGGAGTTAGAGAAGATGACTCTGAAATATCAGAGATATGCCACTGGGAATAAGCCCTATCAAGCAGACTTGCTCCTAAGTAAACATGCACAGGATTGGCCTACACATTAAATAGAGGATGTTAGTTGTGACTAGTGTAAGTCTGTTGCTCTCAACAGGACTGTATCACACAATTATCTTTAGTAGGGTTTTGCCTAATATTCATGACTTCTTTTTCTTTCTTTTTTGGAGACATTCCAGACCCATTAGTTTTTCAACTATACTGTGTTCAGAATTAGCTGACAGGAAAATGCATGTTTCATTCCATGTTTATATGAATCTAATGATGCTTATGTACTCTGCTTAAAGTGAGTACACAGCATAAATTTTTCAGACAGGGGAAACAAAGGAATGATCATTAAACCTTTTTAGGAATGTGAATAATTATGCTGGAAGCAGAGGGATATGTAAACAGCATTACAAGAATATATAATGAAATCTTTTCTCAGTTTGTACGGGCATGATTCGCTTATTCATCGAGTTCACTGATGCAGAAAATTAAAATGTCTACTTGGCAGAAACTGGGCGGTGGGACAGAATGCTATCCTCTGTCTTTAGGCAAATTATGTACAATCAATTACCTCGCTGGCATTTGGCTAATTATGGCCTCCTTTTTTCTATGTACTGCATTGGCAGGATGCTTCAAAGGTGGTCGGTACTATGAAGAAGGAGCAACGATTCAAGACAACTGCAATTCCTGGTAATTGAGAGAAACAAATGAAACGTCTTCACTCTTGAGATCAGCCTTAAGAAACCAGCTCAGATCTTGTCTATCTCACAAACTCACTAGCTGGTTTTAGGCAACCCATTCATCTCCCACCTGCAATATAGACAGAATATGTGGCAAGGATTCCAACAAGATAATGGATGTGAAACATTTCATGCATTTTAAGTCGCTGTATAGAGTCCTGCCAACCTAGCAGTTCGAAAGCACGTCAAAGTGCAAGTAGATAACTAGGTAGCGCAAGATAAATGGTGGGAAGATAAAAGGTGTTTCTGTGCGCTGCTCTGGTTTGCCAGAAGCGGCTTAGTCATGCTGGCCACATGACCCAGAAGCTGTACGCCGGGTCCCTCGGCCAATAAAGCAAGATGAGCGCCGCAACCCCAGAGTCGGCCATGACTGGATCTGATGATCAGGGGTCCCTTTACCTTTACCTATAGATACTGAGACTATTTGAAATAGGAGTTGGTTATTATTGCACCCATATTGTTTGGCTGATAGGTGATTCACCAAATTTATTAATTAGAGACTGTGAAGTAGGAGATCACAGGCTCCAGTTGCCCTTTCAAATTCAGCTAAGGAATTTAGATGGTGTGGAGGTTTCTTTTGAAAGGGAAAAGAATACTGGAATCTCTGTCAGAAAAGCTGCTGGTGCGTTAAAATCCATAATTAAAAGCTTGCTTAGTTCTTAGTCATTGACCTTATACAGATCAATGTGATTGAAGAGGAGTAAAAAAGAAAGAGAACTGAAATATTCTCTCCTCCCTGCCCCTTAAATGTAATTCTTGATTACATCTTAAGTTAGGGCAACTAACAGGGTGAGCCTATCCATGTCTATGTGGAAGTAAGTCCTATTGAGTTCAGTGGGGGCTTATTACCAGGCGAGTGGGTTTAGGATTGCAGACTGAGGCAGCAGAAGCATATTTAAACTAAAATCCCACAGCATTTGCCAAGCAATACAGGACGGACAGAGGGAGGGATTGAGAGAAAGAGAGAGAGCCATCTACACCTTATTTTGAATGCATTAACAAGCCCATTAACCTCTCTTTCAAATGGATATTAATTGGGCAATTTTCATTGCATGACTGCATGCATTACAGAGAGAGCAAAGCACTAACATGACTAATTTCTTTATTAGATAAAATGGTCTGTTGTATCTGAGGACCCAGCTGCTGGTCTTGGCCAGATTCCAATCCCAAATCCATCCTAACAATTCTGCAGCAGCATTTGGACTGTGAATGGTCTGGAAAGCAGAATGTACAACCCTAGAATGAATTCCATTTCTATCTGGGGAACAGGTCTGCAGGCGTGTGACAGTTTATGATTCTTCACTTTAAGGACATTGTCACAAACGCGAAAAAGGTAAAGGACCCCTGGACAGTTAGGTCCAGTCAAATTTGACTATGGGGTGTGGTGCTCATCTCCACTTTCAGGACACCATGACAGAAGCCAGAGCTCACAGAAACACTGTATATCTTCCTGCCACAGTGGTACCTATTTATCTACTCCTGCTGGTATGCTTTCAAACTGTTAGATTGGCAGGAGCTGAGACAAAGCAACAGGAGCTCACCCCTTCATGCGGATTTGAACTGCTTCAGCAAGCTCAAGAGGCTTGGTGGGTTCAGACCACGTTAAGAAGCTCGGATGAACGTGGTGTGGAAGATTTTTCTGAGATAGGGCAGGGATCTGTTCCAAAGAACAGCTATATTCTGGGGGACAACTGTAAATCATAAACTAGATTTAGAAGAACCCATTCTTTTGTTACTGAACAAAAGGGTTACTGAATACCCACTAATCTTGATTATTGATAAAAAAAAAACCTGTCACCAAGCAGATAAAACAAAGAAGGAATATATGACAGAAGCCCAAATTTTCTTCACCAGATACACACAGAGAGAGGGAGAGATGAAAAGAGGATTATAAGATCATTGTTTCAGGACAACGTACTATGTGTTTGTAATTATTCTCCACAAACTCTTCCTATGTAAGTCTAACTCTCTCCTTTTATTCCTTTCAGCAAATGCACGAGCAGCAAGTGGAACTGCCTAGAAGAAATGTGCCTCGTGCAGCCCAACTTAATTAAGCAAATCAACGATGGTAACTATGGGTGAGAAAAGTCCTGTTCCGCAGCACTAAGATGGAAAGAGCTCCCATTTTATTAACAGATGAAAAGATCACTTGAGCCTTACGCAATTGCCTTGATATCTTTTTTTCCCCAAGCACCATGCCCACAGATGTGTGTGTATGCATTTGTTATTACACCTCCTCTGTGAGCACAGCGCAAGATATGTGATTTTCTTCTTTTGAAATAACTCTATGCAGCTATTCCTCTACACAGCATAGAGAAGCAACCTCTCTCCGAAGCTTCAAACATTATTCCCCCGACGATTTCGATATCGAGAGTAACAGCTTCACACACACAAATTGAATGCTGAGTGCCCCCATGAAGTTAGTTTCCATTTTCAAGAAGGAGCGCGTTGATTTTTATAACTTTATGATTTGATGACTCTTTATATTGAACATATAGGCCACTTAATCCACTAAGGATTTCTGCTCTGTGCAGCGCATCCTTGATACAGCAAAGTGCACTAAGATACAGCAAAATGTCACCAAGATTTTTTCATCTTAACTGATCCCATGGGAGACAAAATGCAGAAACAGTATTACTTTCTGCTGCAATTCCCATATCTTGCTGCCTGGGCCTGGCAGGTCTATGCATCACAAGCAGCAGAAATGTCACAATTAAAAGGTGACTAAATTGAAACCCTGGTTTCACTTTGTAATAACTCCCCCTGTTCCAAAAATGTATGTTTGTATCCATGATCACACACACACTACAGGAGGATAGCCATGCATAAAGTAGACCCTGTCCCATAATAACATTTCTTAATGTAAAATGACTGTGTTTGTTAGTGGGGCATTTTAAGTAATGTTCTTGAGCAGTCGCCGGATGAAACCCTCAATAAATTGGATCCTATTTCTTAAGATAGAAGGACTCCTGGATGGTTAAGTCCAGTCAAAGGCGACTATGGGGTGTGGCGCTCATCTCACTTCAGGTTGAGGGAGATAGCGTTTGTCCACATAAAGCTTTCCAGGTCATGTGGTACAAACCACTTCTAAACCACTTCTGGTACAATGGGACACCGTGATGAATACCAGAGCACACAAAAACGCTGTTTACCTTCCCGCTGCAGTGGTACCTATTTATCTACTTGCACTGGTGTGCTTTCGAACTGCTAGGTTGGTAGGAGCTGGGACAGAGCAATAGGAGCTCACCACCGTTACACTGACTCGAACTGCTGACCTTCCAATGGGCAACCCCAAGAGGGTTGGTGCTTTAGACCACAGTGCCACCCTCTCCCAGTAGATAAGACAAAAAAGGGATGTGTGTGTCTCACACTATGTATGTGTGTATGTGTAAGTACTGTTGCAGCAAAAGACGACCCCTTGCATTTCAACTGTAGGTGAGATTACCATGATCACCGTTCCACCACCATTTTTGTGTCAGCAAAGGTTCATGTGATAAACATGATCTTGGAAGTCTAAATCATCATGGTTCCTGGAAATGGGTTTGCTGTGGGTGATACCTAGTGTTAGCTGTAGAGTAGACCATTGAAACCCATTGATTTCAATAGGTCTTCTGTGAATATGACTAGCCTTGGATATCACCACATATGGATCAGGCATTTCAACACTACAGGGAAAAGAATACCGATGGTGGATGCAAGGGGGACATTTTAAACAAACAAACAAGCAAACAAACAAACAAATGTGAAAGAAACCAAGATAAAATCTGAGTGATAAATCTTGAGACCGGATGCACAGAAATAAATATTGTGGTTGTGCATATCTATAGCAAAGCTCTATCTTCTGTGATTAACTCACTGCAATTTTGCACATAGTATTAGCTGATAAGCAATATGACTAAGCTATAGCATGATAGTGCACTGAATGATGTGAATTTGTGTGAATGATGAAACTCAGGAATACCATATTTATGTTGAAAGGAGGGAAATTGCCCAGAATTATCAAAGTATTATCTTAAAAGGAATGGGCAATGTATTCCTTTTTATTGTACGAATGCAGACCTTGAATGGCAAGTTTAAATGCTACCATTTCCAACATCAGTGGAAGATCGTTTCCTATGGAGGAAAATCTTATGAAGGCTTCATTCAAAACTTTTTTTAAATGGCAACATCTATGATGAACTGCCCATAGAGCTAAACATGCATGACTAACACACTATTTTTTATTTTTTTATCACTGAGACAGCTGGAAAGCTAAGAACTACAGCCAGTTCTGGGGAATGAGTTTGAAAGAAGGTTTCTATTATCGTCTTGGCACGTTTCCCCCATCTGCTGCCCTGCTGGACACAAGACAAGTCACGGTAGGCTTTCATTTTCTCTCCTCTCTTCAAACAGCAAACTTCAATGGAGCCTTTCCCCACAGTTATCCTCAAGCTATGCTTCAAATGGATTTGTCCATCATCCTGGGCATGACACTGAGAGAATGTGTCAAGCACAGGCAATTGGCTAACCAGGTGAAAATCGTGATTCTCTTATATGTGAAAATGAAATCTTCCTCTGATGGAAAGCTGCTCACTCAGATTAGCACAAAGAATCACAGAATCATAAAACTATAGAATTGGAAAGAACCCCAAGGATCATCTGGTCCAACCTCCTGCAATGCAGGAATCTCAACTAAAGCATCCATGACAGATGACCACCCAACCTCTGCTTAAAAACCTCCAAGGAAGGAGAGTCCACCACCTTCTGAGGGAAGGTCTGTTCTATTGTCGAACAACTCTTGCCATCAGAAAGTTTTTCCTGATGTTTAGTCAGAATCTCCTTTCTTGTAACCTGAATCCATTTGTTCAGATCATACCCTGCAGTACAGAAGAAAACAAGCTTGCTCCATCTTCCATGTGACAGCCCTTTAGATATCTGAAGTTGGCTACCAAATCTCCTCTTTTCTAAGCTAAGCATACCAAACTCCCCCAACCATTCCTCATACGGCTTGGTTTCCAGACCCTTGATCATTTCAGTTGCCCTCCTCTGCACAGCTTGTCAATGTCCTTAAATTGTGGTACCCAGAACTGGACACAATATTCCAGGTGTGGTATGTCCAAGGCAGAAAAGGGTGGTCCTATGACTTCCCTTGATCTGACACTGGACTTCTGTTGATGCAGCCTAGAATAGCATTAGCCTGAAATAACATGTAACAATTAGAAAACATATAACACTTGGAAAAAGTGGTCCTTAGAAATCCACCCATATGGGGTCAAATGGGGAAAGGCTGTGGCTCAGTGGCAAAGCATCTCCTTTGGATGCAGAAGGTCCCCAGGTACAATCCCCAGCATCTCTAGGTTGGTCTGGGAGATCCTGCCATCTGAAACCCTAGGGAGTCACTATTGGTCATAATATGTATGTTTGAATATAGTTATCCAGTCAAATGCCTTGGGTTTCTTGCAGGAAAACCTGATCACAGAAACAGATTTCCCCGAATTTTTTGTGGCCTCGTATGAATGGCCTGGGTGGATTCATGACCCACTGGATCAGAGAAACTGTGCAGCATCCTGGGCCTTTTCAACTGCAAGTAATGTGTCCCTCCCCTCTTTTTCTTGCACCCTAAACATAGGAGAGAGGCTGTCCATGCTTGCAATAGAATATTTCAGTTAGTAGTTCACTGCTTGCTAGAGAAGGTTTGTGCATCTCTTTACTTTTCCAAAAGTTTCAAAAGGGTTTACTATTTTATCTGTTTAGGGTAGTCTTTTTCCCTTTGGGATTATCCTTCTCTTATTTATTGCCTCCCCTCTAATGCCCCTTAAATGGGAAGGTGGATCGTAAGCTAGAATAAAAGACAGACCCAGACTGGACTTTGGGGTGCAGAGTAACATGCAAATGCAATCTTCCCTAACCACATCAATAGAGTAAACAGCATGTCTATCATATGCAGCCAGGCATCCTCCTTAGATGGGAACTCTCTGTGTACACAGGTGCCCATGCAAGAGATCAGTATAAGACAGGGGTCAGTCAACCCTTTAGAAAGTAGGATACTTCTTTCAAGCCTAATTTCAGTGTGGAGGGAGGAACCCTGTGGGTGCCAGGGAAAGGCTCTGTGGATACATGTGACCCTTGTTGGAAGAGAATGGACTACTCTTCTGATCTACAGGAAGTTGTGGATTTTTTGCAAACCAATGAACTAATGCCTGGTTGATTTGGATAACATAGCAATATAGAAATCGGTGGGGGTGGGAAGATAGAATTTGATGCTCAGAGGTCTCTTTCCCTCATCAGCACCAGAAAGTGGAAGAGCAGCTTGGCCCTAGCCATTGGCTGGGGACCAACCACGCACTGGAGTTGTCTGCTTTTCCTTCCCATCTATTTCTCTAGGAAAAAACCTATCTGTAGCTATGATTAGTTGCCCTCTGGCAGCAGGAAGGAGTGGCAGGATGCTCTGGGTGGAATCCATCATTCCGCTTGCTTCATGGCTTTTGAACCAGCAGATGGCTCTGGCAATATGGGAGGAAGAGAGAGGAGTGTTGACCATTTCATCTTCCCTCTAGTGCCTCCTGTACCTCTCTCTCTCACACACACACACAAAAATTGTCTCAGACCCTCCACAACACCATGGAAGTTGGCTTGGGGGGCCTCCAGGACGAAGGGCGGAATTGGGGGCAATCCCATCTCCTCTTCCATTAGTGGAGGAATCTGCTGGATCAAAGGTTGTTATGGGAGTGGAATAGCAGCACTGGAGTCTGCTCTTTGGCTCCAGTCACCATCCAAAACAACCTGGGTACTAACCTAGAGAAGGGCTTCTCCCACAAAGTCACCAGTGGAAACTCTGGCACTGGTGGGACACAGAGAAGGAGAAAGGTCATAGCTCAGTGGTAGAGCATCTGCTTTGTAAACAGAAGGTCCCAGTTTCAATCCCTGGCATCTCCAGGTAGGACTGGGAATGCCTCCTATCTGAAACCCTGGAATGTGGCTGCAGGTTAATGTGGGGAAATCTGAGCTAGACGGACCAATTGTCCGACTAGATATGGAGCAGCTTCCTGTGTTCCTAAGGGTCACTCTCAGAAGTGGATGCACACGTTTGTGTGGGAAGAAATCCCAGGTCCCAAGCCATACAGGGACTTCTCAGGTACGCTTTAGGTAGGATATACCCTGTAGGCAAGCAAATTGGGGCATCTTGAGTTTCTCAACTTGCCTTCCAGCTGGCCAAAGGGATTGATCACATTTGAAGATGCAACCTATCAAAGTCCTAGGAAGTGCATCTCCAATTGTGTGGGAATGTGAAACCTTAAAGTTGAGGGCATTCCCTCATAGCAATTTGCTAGAATTAAAGGACACTCTGTGGTTCCATACATATTCTGTGACACAGATTTATTATGTCTGGCACGGAGAAAATTCTAACCGTCCAAACAATATAGATTACTTAGTAATCCAACTGTTTCCCATAAAACAGGTGTTGCGGCAGACAGAATAGCAATTGGGTCCAAAGGCCGTTTCACAGACAACCTTTCCCCTCAAAATTTGATCTCTTGTGACACCAGAAACCAGCTTGGATGCAGAGGAGGAAGCATAAATGGTGCTTGGTCTTACCTCAAAAAATATGGGTAAATAAATCATTTACTTACTATGCTTTTAGAGCTTAAAATAATCAACAGCAATAATGTTTAAGAAAAGCAACTTATATATGTGAACATCCTGAAGCAAAACAAAAACAAAGTCACCAAACTGACATATTTTAAATTTATGCAAAGCATAAGTGCAAACCTGATAAGATTTCCCAATAATTTTCTCAGTATCAATGAGAAGTGCCATATGAATTGCAGATCTATTGTCCAGAGAGTGCAATGTTAATGTATTCATATACTTAAGCCATGCCATTCATATGCAAGAAAGTGTACGAAAGAGATGTGAGTGCAAATATGACTTCCCTCATTGACTCAAGGATGGCCTTAGGACCCAGCTACATTAGTAAAGAACCAGTGATCTGAATGTGCTATAAACATGCAACACCAGATGGCGCCAGAGAGCAGGAAATTTTAAAACGTGATTTTCCATAGAGATTTTCCCCCTTTTGTTAAAACGATCTAATTTCTGACATATTTATGGGGGGGGGATTTCTGTGTTTAGATCCACCCACAGTTTCTTGGACCAGTTACAGTGCGCCATCTGTAACATTTAAAAAGTAGCAACCTCCTTAGATTGTTACAAAGATGAACGCTATAATACTGACGCCACCTTAGAAATAGGACAGGTGCATATATAATAGGATTGATTCCTGGGACGTGTCATGGTCATCAAGCTCTCTAATAACTGTCATAAGCAAATTTCAAAACTAATTTTGAATCAGATTTGACATTTGACCAACAATTCCTTGATTGTCAGGGTCTGTTTATTTGAATGTGGTAGCTAAATCCAGAGGGGAAGCTGTACTGGCCTGTTGCAACAAAAACAACTTCTGGTTATGCAAGTAGTGGCTGGATTCCTTGGTGGCTGGATCTGCTGCCTCGGTAGATCCTGCTGCCCAAAGTGTTTGCCTCACCTTGCCTCATGGTGGGGCAGTCCTGATTGTACTGTAAGTTGCTGAAACAACAGTGAGGTCTGTAGCACCTTGTTGTTTAGTCGTTTAGTCGTGTCTGACTCTTCGTGACCCCATGGACCAGAGCACGCCAGGCACTCCTGTCTTCCACTGCCTCCCGCAGTTTGGTCAGACTCATGTTTGTAGCTTCAAAGACACTATCCAACCATCTCGTCCTCTGTCATCTCCTTCTCCTTGTGCCCTCCATCTTTCCCAACATCAGGGTCTTTTCCAGGGAGTCTTCTCTTCTCATGAGGTGGCCAAAGTATTGGAGCCTCAGCTTCAGGATCTGTCCTTCCAGTGAGCACTCAGGGCTGATTTCCTTCAGAATGGATAGGTTTGATCTTCTTGCAGTCCATGGGACTCTCAAGAGTCTCCTCCAGCACCATAATTCAAAAGCATCAATTCTTCGGCGATCAGCCTTCTTTATGGTCCAGCTCTCACTTCCATACATCACTCTTGGGAAAACCATACCTTTTACTATACGGACCTTTGTTGGCAAGGTGTAGCACCTTAAAGGCAAGCAAATATATTACAACATACATTTTCATTTACTAGAGTTTACCTCAACTCTATGATTCTGTGATTCATTGGATATGTCAGCTACAGCGGTCCAAAACTGAGGGCCTTTTGGCAGTTCCCTCATGGTGAGAACAGAAGCTACAGGCAGCCAGGCAGAAGGCCTTTTCAGTAGACACACCTGCCTTGTGGAATGCCCTCCTGACAGATGTTGAAGAGTTAAACACAGCAACTCTCCCTTTCTTTCTTTCTCTCTCTCTCTCTCTGTTTGTAACCATCTGAAGACAGCCCTATTTCAGGAAGCTTTTTTATTGTTGTTGTTGTTCAAAGCTTTGCTAACTTCAACTTCTTCAAAAACAGTTCCAAAATGTTCAAAATGATACATCCAAATAATTCCATAAGACATATGCCTGTCCAAGACATAGGCTCATCTACTTAGAAATAAAATGACTTATAATCACAGCTGACAAGCATAGTGCGCTCTCTCTCTCTCTCTCTTTTTATTAGATGATGATTTTATTTTGACAAAGTAAGGATCATAAATAAATAAGAACAAAAATGTGCACTCCACCACCCTTTTCATTTTAACAGTACAAATTCTACAAACACCTTCCATATTTCCAGAAAATCATTTCTCCTGCATGTTCCCCATTGGGAAGCTTTTAATGTTTGTTGTTTTGTTTTTCCTGTATTTTTGTTGGAAGCCACCCAGAGTGGCTGGGGCAACCCAGTCAGATGAGCGTGTTGTTGCTGTTGTTGTTTTTGTTGTTGCTGCTGCTGCTGTTAAACAATGTATACCCTAGTCCACAAAAGCTTTGTCAGAATAAATTTGTTAGTTATTTAGATGCCACTGGATTCTTTGTTATCTTAGCAATTTAAAGCACAATCCTATATACCCCGCCCCCATTCAGAAGTAAGCCCTGTGAGGTTCAGTGAAACTTAATGCCCTGATTAAGTGCATCTTACACTTACCTAATTGGGAGAAAGCCCAGTTGACCTCAGCAAGACTTACTTCTGTGTAGACATGTATGGGTTTATAAATGGCTCATTGCTGATTCATACATCAAAACCAGAATGTCACACGAAAGTGACTTTTACCTGTTGCATATTCTTTTTGGAATGAAGGGTGTGATGGTTCCCTCAGGGCCTACCATGGAGACTTCTTTACATTAGGTGTGTCTGTCACCTCTCAGCCTACTCTGCCCAGGCTTGCTCCCTTCAAGTTTGAGGCTATGCATCTCCATTCTGGAGGCAGCACCACAGTGCAGTAATGAACTTCTCATGTTCCTAAGATACACCCTAGTCTCTTAAAGGGAAGAGCCATAGCTCAGTGGCAGAGCATCTCATTTGTACACAGAAACTCCAGGTACAATCCCTGGTACCTCCAGGCAGGAGTAGGAGAGACCCTCATCTGAAACCCTGTAGGGCTGCTGTCAGTCACTGTAGATGGCGCTGATCAGGATCTGAAATCCTTAAAGATGGCTAAGTAAGAGCTCAAATAACATTCATTCTACACCTTCCTTGTTCCCTAATGAGCCCGAAATGACAGCCAAAAGGGTGTTGCCGGTTTTCTTAAATAAAGGATTTGCGTAAGCGCAAGTTCTTTGCTCACTCACAGCTCAATATGAGTGGATCGTAGTCACCGAAAGTCATTCTCCTTGAGAAAATGAGAGTATGAAAGCTCAGTCTGCAGTGGATGTTTCTGAACATACAAATCATCACTTGCCATTATAGCACTTGAGGAGGGAAGAAGCTGGCATGGCCTCTCTTAAAGACAGCTCACCTGCCCAGCAGATCCTATCTTTAGGCCCTCGTAGCTCCGGCAACTCTACTTCTCTTATTTTCTCGCTTCCACCCAACTATAATAATGCTGCAAGATTCAGAGACTGCACTCCATACACAGGTATAGCAGGGCAAGACACCAGCTAGTAGAAAGTGGAATGGGTGTGGAAGCCTGCATTCAGCAGCCCCCAAACAGATGTGTAGGATCATGTGTCTTGTACTACAAGTCTGTGCAAGTGGTTCTGCGTCTGAGCAATTTAAGGGACATGTGCTGAGCATTCGGTTACTCCCAGAGTTCTACAGATTTAGGCACATGTTGCAGTGTTTCCTCCAAATCAACATGGTGCCCTCCAGATCTTATTGGACACCAGCTCCCAGCAGCCCCAGACAACAAGGCCAGCAGGATGGAGGCTGGAACCCGGCAACGCTGGGAGGGCACCAGGTTGACTATCCCTGAACTAAGGAACTTTAAAGCGAGTGCCATATTCCATTTGTAATTAAAAGCACCTTCTAAATTTCCCCTCTCTAGCTTCACTACCAGACCTCTTCCTTCTACCATTCCTTCCTGCCACCAGTCCTTCAGAGTAGAAAATAATTCTACCTACTGAGTTAAGTAATCCCCTATAATTCTCCTTTAGAAATTTGTCAGAATGCTTAAAAGAATATTTAGAAGGAAAGTGCATTTTAAAAGAAGAAGCACGTTAGGCCGTTCTCCCTGCCCCCTTATTTTTATCTCAAGGGGGAAATGTTGTCGCTTTTGTAGGATTTAAATGTAAAGTAATCCTGTGTTAGTAACAAAGTCTCATCAGCACTAGTTGTGGCGATGTGACAGATCTCAGAGATGAAAATTAGGACTCCCTTTCACTGGAGAAACCTAAAATTTTACCTGCTTGTTCACTGCGGTTTAAACGTCCTATTTACTTAAATGTGACTGATGCAAGACTCATTTGTCAGTATTGCACTAACTGTAGTTATTCTATGCCAGCGGGATGCTAACTTTCTAAATTGATTTGACAAGGCTCTTAAGAAAATGTAATAGGCTCTCACACAAATTTAAACATCTCTAAGCAGCTCCCTATATCAATATTTAATTATCTGTGGTGGGTATCCTATACCAATAAACCTGGAAGGGAATAAGCCTCATTGACTTCAATGGGACTTGCTTCTGAATAGATATGTATAAGATTATGCTGTAAGTCTGCCATCCTGCAGGTACAGATTTGGCTGCAGAGCTTACACGCTTAAGAAGTCAGAGTGGTGTCCCATCTGGCACCTTAGGACATTACCATAGCTAGTGGACCACTGTTGAGCTGAGCATTTTGGAAGGCCCATCCTACTAAATGGAAGGCATCTCTCCATGGTTTAGATTTAAGGCACCCAACAGCTCATTATTCTCCTGTTTCAGTAGCAGGGACGTGGATGGGGACCTGGATAAGAACTGCCTGTTGAGATACCTGTCAGGGAACTGCCATCAGAGCTAGAGGCGGAGGGAAGGCTCCAAAGGGATGCAGGAGAGGGTCTCAGTAGGGAGAGAGGCAGCCCATCTGCTGGGGAAGGAAATCAACACCAGTGGAGAAGGGGGGCAGGTGGGGGAATCGGGGAGGAGGCTCCAAGACTCTTCGCTGGAGACCAGCGGGGAGAGTACGGGTACTCCGCTGCCCACACCCTCTCTGCGCAGAAGACTTCCGCGCAGGGAGAGTAGGAGGAGACTTGGCGTTAAACAACTTTTATGCTGGAAAAGGTTTAAGAAACGCCCACTGACGGATTCTGCCAGCGACTGAGACAGTCACGATGCTGGAGGCTGTTCAGTCAGAAAGGGTTAACCAGGTAACCTAGCCAGGAGTAGCGGCAACTTACGCACGAGCAACCCCTAAACCCATTACAATACCCTATTGAGAGAGACGAAGGGCCTCCAATTAGAACAGTGATGGCTAACCTGTGGCCCTAGAGATGTTGATGGACTACAGCTCCCATCATCACTTACCATTGACCATGCTGGCTGGAGCTGATGGGAATTGGAGAGTAACACCTTGAGGGCCACAGGTTCTCCACCCGATTTAGAAGGCAGTAAACCTGCTGAGATGCAGACAGCTTAACACTGCTTAACACAACATGGATGCACCTACAATGGCTTCTTATGAGAGAATTTTCCACGCCCTGCACCATTCATTCAGCATGTAAGGTGGACTCTAAGATACCTGTTGATCCCATAGATCTCTGCTGAATTTTGGTCACAGCCCATGTGGTGTAGCAGGGAGAGTTAATAAACTAGGACCTGGGAGAAGAAGAGTACAATGCCACATTCTTGAGGAAGCTCAATGGATGACTTTGTGCTAGTCATTGTCTCTTAGCCTAACCTACCACACAGGGTTATTGTGAGGATAAAATGCATAGGGGGAAGGGGCAGAGAACCATGTGTGCCACCCCGAGCTCTTTTGAGGAACGGTATAAACAAGTACAATTTTAATGAGTGGATAAGCCACAACATGGAGCTCTTTTTCTCCGCCCCTTCTATGCTACCTTGTCTAGCATTATTTTCAATGACTTCCAGTCATTGAGAACTTCTGCACAGAATGAGCAGTTCAAGCATACTGCTTTTCTAACTGAACAGCTGTGCTGACTAATACTTTAAAGTCTTTTAGAAGCACACTGGAAGCCTTAGAAGATATCTCAAATCCTGGAAAAGAAGAATCAGTAATTGACCTTTCTTAATGTCTGCTCTGGGCCTTTGTTGGCAAGGTGATGTCTCTGCTTTTTTTGTTGCAGCGTAGTATTTTGTTATTAGAGGTTTTGGAGCACTGCATGATTGTTGTGCTGATGATGCTCAGCTCTTTCCCTGAAATACCTAAATCAGGTGCGGCTATGAAAGTATCGTGCAAGACCAGTGTCTAGATGGGTGAGGGTCATCAGACTGAGCTCGACTCATGAGGCTCCAGGTTGTATACAAAGTTAGAGCTACTCAGAGTATAATGGGCATGGTTAACTTCAGTCCATTAATTTCAGTGGGTCTTCTCTGAATAGGACCCAGCTGAATGCAATCTTTTCAGCCTGATTCTAGTCTTTTTTGAATTCAATAACTTGCCTTCCAGTCCCAGCTGCATTTCTAAATCGAATTAACTAGATGAAAGCCATAATACAGAAAATGATTTGGCATATTATTTGACAATCTTCTTTTGCCCTGAAAGGATCAAATGTCCTTACCGTGCCTTATTATTTGATTTAATGTATTATGCAGGTATTCTTCAGCAACTCTAAAATAATAGATGAGCCTCCCTCCTCCTGCTTTGCACCGGGCATCTTCTACCCTGCCTTTGGCACTTTAATCTTTTCTGCCGCCTTTTGCTCTCTCCACCCCACACTCATTCACCATTTATCGTCAATGACATGCCAAGGAATTAACACAAATGCCTTGCATAGAAATAAAATGATGTGCAGTCTGTCCATGTGTCAAATGAAAAAGAAAGATCCAGCTGTAGCAAAGGGATATACAGAATAAACCTGAATTGCCAGGAGGCTGCTTGGCCTAAAAAAACCCCTGTAAACCAATATAAGGAAGATCAAAGAGGTGTATGTCCAGTAATAGATGCCCACAGGCTCCAACTGAATCTTTAAACTCACCACCACCACCTCAAACAGCATTACAGCACACCTGCCATTACCAGCGGCAATGGGAGTCTCATGTGTTCATCTCATAGTTCTTAGTAGCATCCACTGGTGTCATCTGCTGCAAGTAGGCTGTTCATATTACAAACAGCCTGTTTGTGAGGATGTTGCATGCCACTCTGGCAGGGATGGGAGACCAGTTGGACCACAAGTCAGTGGTGTAGTGCGGGGGACACAGGGATGATTGCTCCAGGTGCAAAATTGTTAGGGATACAACATCTCAGCCCCTGGTGCTACCTCAGTACAGCTGTGTGCTGGCAACCAATGCTACGCTACTGCTACAAGTCCCATTAGATCCCTGACCATTTGCCATGCTGGCTGGGGCCAAGGAGAGTTGGAGTCCAACAACATCTGGATTCATCCATACCCAATAGGAAGTGTGCATAGGTTTCCCTTTCCATGCCTGATGTGTTCCTGTGCGTGAGCAGGAAGGAAGCGAAGGAAAGAACTTTCCAAATCAATCAGACTTTATTCAGTAAAAGTCTATATTGACCTTGAATGTGTATAATTTGTTGTTCATTATTGCTAGAGGCAGCCTATATCTCTTTTCTACAGCACATTTGAAAACCAATGGAACAAATTATTCTTTACTGCTCTTTTCACATGGCAGAAATTAATTGACACAAAAAAGAATTAAATACAAAACCATGTTTCCTACAAGCATTTAACAGATAAGCATTCCTTCAGCAGATGCACACACATAACTCATATATATATAAAAAATTTTGCCATAAAATGGACTTCTAAGTGATTAAGGGGCAACAGAGCATGCTTATAAAATGTTTAATATAATGTGGGAATTCAGAGCAAAATGTCAACAGGATGCCAAGTGGTCCTTCCTGGATGACTCACGGAGGGGAACAAAACAGGGTGATGAGTATATACGGAATTGTAAAATCAAGATAGTGAAAAATAGCAACCCTCAGAAGGTCGTGCAGAAGGGGATGTGGACCTCAGACTGAAAAGGTTCGCCAACCCTGTCCTAAAAGCATCTGATTGACCAAGGTGGGAATAATCCTAACCCTACTATTTCTATTTATTTATTTATTTATTTATTTATTGCCACTCAGAATCATTGAATTGTAGAGTTGGAAGCGACCACAAGTTCATCACCATTACTTCATTACTGCTTCATATCTACTTCGTTAACTCTGTCTTTATTGTGCCACAAGGCTCTTTGTTGGTTTAGCTGCAATGGGGCTTCCCCTCTGGAAAGGCAACACACAGGGAATATTTGTAAATGGTTGATGGCTGAGATATGTGCGTCTATCGTTGGCTCAATATATGTTTTTAAAAACATATGTTTCTGTATTGGCGGATGACAAAATAGAATAAAATAGAATTTATTATTTATACCCCGCCCATCTGGCTGGGTTCCCCAGTCACTCTGGGCGGCTTCCAACAAAGTATTAAAATACAGTAGTCTGTTAAACATTAAAAGCTTCCTGAAAGAGGGCTGCCTTCAAATGTCTTCTAAAAGTCTAGTAGTTGTTTTTCTCTTTGACATCTGGACGAGGAGGAGGAGTTTGGATTTGATATCCTGCTTTATCACTACCCGAAGGAGTCTCAAAGCGGCTAACATTCTCTTTTGCCTTCCTCCCCCACAACAAACACTATGTGAGATGAATGAGGCTGAGAGACTTCAGAGAAGTGTGACTGGCCCAAGGTCACCCAGCAGCTGCATGTGGAGGAGCGGGGAAGCGAACCCAGTTCACCAGATTACGAGTACACCGCTCCTAACCACTACACCACACTGGTGGGAGGGTGTTCCACAGGGCAGATGCCACTACCGAGAAGGCCCTCTGCCTGGTTCCCTGTAACTTGGCTTCTCGCAGTGAGGGAACCGCCAGAAGGCCCTCAGCGCTGGACCTCAGTGTCCAGGCAGAACGATGGAGGTGGAGACGCTCCTTCAGGAAGACCTGTGCAAAATAAGCCAATTGCAGTGGAATGGGAAATGGTGGATAAAAGTACAAGTGGACTAAGGTGCAGTCACATGATGGCACATTCACACATCCTTAGACCCTTTAGATGTTGTCCTTCAACTCTCCTTTGCCATAGCCAATATGGCCAACAGTCAGGGATGATGTTAGTTATAGCACAAAAACATCTGAAGGGTCATAGATTCTCCATCATTACTCCAAAGCAATTGCTTCCAAACTATGTGCAGGATTCAACTAACGACTCCCATCAACCCAAACCCTGTGCAAGGATTTCTACTTGTGCAACAGGGGATTTCCCCCTCTCCCCATGAACTCCCAAAATTTGGCTCTGGTAGGTTCAAGAGGAATTAAAAATTAAAACACAGAATTGAAAAATAATAATAAAAAATAATGTGTTGTCTGATCCCAATAGGCTGGTGTCTCATGCTTGCTACCCATTATTCTGGAATCAATCTGACCCGGCTGCTTGTGGGGTTTCAAGTGTGGCTGATGCTGCTGGGAAAAGGCAGGCTACGCGACCATGTCCAAATGCCTTAGAACCATCCAACCGCATTTATCAGTGCGGTTCTCCCTACAGAATCTCCTCACAGGTAAGTGCAGACAACAGGGACTCAGCTGCAAATAAAACGTTTTAAGTGTATTTTAAGTGCAATATACAATGTGACACTAGATGGCGATGGTGAGCCAAGGAAAATTCAATGTATTTTTTAAAACGCTTTTTTTTTAAATAAAAGTGTTTTCAAAGTGGTTTTTATATGTGTCTAGATTCCACCTAGGTGTCTGGTACCTTTCTTGAACTATGGAATGAACCATAAAGTTAAAAACAGATATATGATAATAAAATACATTACTGCATTACAGGACTGCTATAATATATGTGAAAGTTCTTTCAAAACTTTACAGCACTGGATAAAAGTTTGTTATTATATCATCACTGTGAAAGTAAACTTTGTGTCCCCTGAGAGGAAGCATTCAGGTAAATTTCCTTTAAAACAAGACAATAAACAAAACCCAATGAAATTCTAGAGATAAAATCTTTAGTTTGAAACAACAGTTGAGGCACTTAGAAATTTACTAATGCACCAATAAGTATGGAAATTGAAAAAGCATTAAGTGGCAGCTAGTCATTCACATTAGCCTGTGCAGCCGGAAGATCAGACCATTTATCACAATAGTTAAATTCAGCCCGTTGTAAAAGCTTTATATCCAACTCATTCTGAAATGTTAAATGTGGAGAAATATATGCAAAAATAGTATATGTCTCTTCCCTCCACTTTTAGGAGACGGACATAATGAAAGAAATTAAGGAGAACGGGCCAGTGCAAGGTAAAGAAAACAAATGCTCTTGACTGCAAAACCAAAACCAAATTATTGCATCCTGCCCACACATAAAAGCAAGCACTGTGTAAGGTCCTTTGTGCCAACACCACACGTCACACCAAGCATCAAACAGATGTCTGTATCACTGATAGGGCTGCTTACCTCTGTTTAGAGGGAGGGCTCTGATAACATCCCCACCAGTACTATAATGGCAATGTCTTCCCTGCACATGTTGTCTTCCTTCCCCTGGTCCTTAGGAACATAGGAAGGTGTCTCAGACAGTCAGGTCGTTGGTCCGTCGAACTCATTGTCTACACTGATTGGCAGCTGTCAACCAGGATTTCAGAAAAGGCATCTTTCTTGACCCTATTTGGAGAGGCTAGGAATGGAGAAATGAAAGAAGCTGCAGGAAACACCAGGAATGGGAAGGCAGAACTGCTTTGCTTCCACTTACACCAATGTTTTACACTTACCTTATTTGCTTATGTTTCATACTTCGGACGTAAGCTGGGTTCCTTGTTAGTCTATGACCTGTCAGCGATGAGCCATAGGTAAAATTGGAAGAATAAGGAAAATGAACATTGACTTTGCTTGCTGGTTCCTTTTTTAAATCCAGCTGTCATGCACGTGTATCGTGATTTCTTCCTTTACAAGAGCGGGATCTATAAGCACATTCGGAGGACAGGTGGGCAGCTGCAACATGAGAATCACAGGAGAACCCATTCTGTCAAGATTGTTGGGTAAGTGATGTCTGAAAGCTGAGCAGCATGGATTCCTGCTGAAACTCTGCTGGATGAGTATCCTGCCACATGGGACCATGGACACTAAATGGCAGACTTATAGTTGAAGTCATTTCGGCTTCTGAAACACAGGGGCGGGGAATATAATATACACACCTTGTTTTGCTTCCCCTTCCGCTTCGGAGCTATAGTCCATAAAGTGGACACAGTGGCTGAGCATAGACATAGGCTACATCCACACCATATATTGAAAGCACTTATTTTTAAAATATTTTAAAATAGTTTTTACTCTTACGCTACTTTAATAGCTATGATGTTCCCCCCAAAATCATGGGAATTGTAGTTTTTAAGGGTGCTAGGTATTGTAGTTCTGTGAGGGGTTTCCTAACCACTCTCAGCATCCTTAACATGCGACGGTTCCTAGCATTCTTTGGGGGAAGCCACAACTGTTAAAGTGGTATAAGAGAGCTTTAAATGTATGGTGCGGTTATGATTCTTCAACATCTCCTCCTTTCCATTGTTTTGCACAACAACTTCTATTGCCCATGTTGATGCTTACTCTTAGGACTTGAGAGTCTTCCAGTGAATAAATTAAATGTATAAAACTCTACTTTAAAAGTAATTGCTTCTCGCCATTATTGATATGCGATAGAAGTGGAGGTTTACGGATCACTGAGTGGATCGTTAACGCTACAAGCTTGCAATTAAAATACATTTCCAGCACCTTACGTTTCTACACACTTGCACTTTAATAAGTGATGTTTCATGATCTTATGTATGAGTGGGTATCAGCTTCCCAAGAAATTGTCTTCTCTGTCTTTTTTAGCTGCCAGAAGGCCAAGAGAGGCTTTGTGCTGCTACAGCAGCTAAAACAGCATCTTCTGTGAGGGCAAGAACTTCACAGCCATGCCTTGCCTCCCTGGTAGTTTTTATGAATTCCCACAACTTTCTTGCCACTATTTCTCTGGTGCCAACTTGTTCCAGCACTAGGGGGAGTTATCCCAACACATCTTGGGATAAGATTGTTGGAGGCCAGGCCACTCCGGTCAACCTCCATCCCTTCTGAAGCCCATGGTGGTTTGTGATGGAGTTGCACAGATGCTGCTTGGATGTGCTGCGAGGTTGCTAGTGTTTTACATAACTGAGCAAGCATCTAAGTCTGGTCCTTAGTGAAACTAGATTTTCTAAAGGGGGTTGTCACAAACTGGCTGCTATGGACACTGTAGTCAGGAAAATCAGGAAACTGAGCTTTGCTGAAATTATGGAGTCTATTGAACTGGAACCCTTCATGCAACCAATTTCAAGAGGGATTCATCTGGTCAATGACAGCAGAAGGTACCAAGATACCTGCATAGCTGGTTATTTAATCCTTTGTTCCCCTAACAGTCGCTCCTTTATAGTTAGATGCTGGTGATAATCCATTCTGTAGTCTAATCAGTATCTGTAAAGGTCTGTAGTCCCAGTTCTGCTAATTTTATCCCGAGCCAAGGAATGGGTAGCTTTGGAACTGAAATAGACATGCAGAGGGCAGAAACTCAGGGGAAATGTCTTCACATTTACTTACTCTCGTTCTGTTTAACTTTGGTTCAGTGAGCTGGCAACTTCCCCACAGAAGAAAGCCCATTAAAGAAAATAAGAAGCTATTTCACTGACAAGAAGTCTAAGCTCTAACATTGCCTGCAATTTCCATGTTGACGCTGAAAATACACTTCTCATCAGCATAGCAATGAGCAATATACTTTCAGATTCACTCTTCTGTTATGATTTATATTGATTGCTCACCATTAAAAAAAAACATATCAGAGGGTGTATACAGACACACACAGCAGTAAAGTGCCTTCTCTGCCTTGTGGAGACACATTTTTTGGCCAGAGTTCACACATTGTAGTCTTCATATTGTTGGCTTTGGTGTTTATAAAGTGTCTTTTGCTATAATTTTGCAATGCATTCTGAAGTACTTGTGGAAACTGAGAGTGCCTTCTCTTGGGTTGGCAGTCTTCTGGACAACTTTTCTTTAAAAGGAGTGTCAGTGGGTGTTGAAAGGGGAGGGAGCAAAGAAACTAATCTGTGCTAGACACACCTTCTGTGTGTACAGATGACTGTGTTTCAACAGCTTCTCATGCTGCCTGCATAGTGTGCAGGTGTAGACAGTTGCAAAATGATGTCTGCAAAAGTGATTTAGAAAACACCAAACTGCAGTGCTTCAAAGCTTGTATGCAAAGGTGTACACAGTCAAAAGCTCCTCCTTTGATTATTTCATCACCCCCACCCTGATGTACGGGGGAGGTAGAGAAAAAATATATAGCATGTCTGATGAATGCCATCTCTTTGGATAGGTGGGGTGCGCTGCCAGATGCAGATGGACAAAAGCAGAAATTCTGGGTAAGTGTACTTGGGCAGTAAGATAGAGCAAAGACAGAGGAGCCCAACCAGAAAAAGTTGCTTGTGCTTAAGTCCCACTGAAAATGAATGGGTCAACTTGCAAATTAACTAACCATCCCTTTCAGTGGAACTTACTTGAGCATGACTATCTTTCTCTAGATTGGGGTCATAGCCTTCTTTGCTCATGTAAATTATCTAAATTTGTCTTTCCCTCCTCCCATTTTACTGTTTCACATTCATTGGTTGCATCAAGTCCATGTGATCTTCCATGGCTACCAAAACTGCGGGCTCACATTGTGCTTGGGTTGCCCATAATGCCAGTTGTTCCTAGCAAAATGTCGTGGTTTTCCTTCTGCTTTCTCACCTTATATTAGTATACCAATGTTTGGTGGCAGAATGAGTGAAAGTTCTGCTGACTGTTTCCAGTGACTATCAATGGCTGCTAGTCACAAGGCCTAAATTCTTCCTCTACAGCTGGAGGCACAAATGCTTCTGAATACCAATTGCTGTAAACCACAAGAAGGGAGAGAATTCTTGTGCTCTAATCTCACAGGCATCTGGTGGACCACTGTGAGAACAGGATGCTGGACTAGATGGGCCACTGGCCTGATTCCGGTTTGAGATATGGCAAACTAAGAGATCAGCTGCTTTAACCTTCTCATACCACAAATATGCATGCCAACCATACCTATTGTCATGACCTTCAAGGTCTAAAACATCAGTGTTTTTTAATAATATCAATTCCCTTAGCTAGCATAAACAGGATGCCTCATAATACCTTTCTCAAAAAGCAACAGGATAGATATGGATAACATTGTAAGTGAACTGCTTCCCAAACCAGCTGTGGGAGTGCACTGGATACAGTGTGTACACAGCCTTAGACTACCACATGTCAAAGAGAGTTCAGGGTGTGTGTGTGTGTGTGTGTGTGTGTGTTGGAGGTTAGCCAGGAAAGACTGCAAGTTGGATTGGATAGAGAGAAGCTGCTTAAGCCCTCCCTCCAGCCATTCCCCAGCTCAAAATAACCATTGACAGCCCCATTGGACAGTGGACAAGAAACCACCCAGAGCAGGGAGTATTAGGTTACAAGAATGAGACACAGAACAACTTCAGCTCATGACTTTTATAGCATTTAGTCTACTCTTGTAATGTCTGGGTGCTGTCAGTGTATGCTAATGGGCTAGATATACTACAAGTTTCACTCCATATAAAGTAGTTCTTTATAAGATATGGGGGCAAGTGGCAGACCTTTTGGAAGAGGACAGTACTATTATTGCCACTGGCGATATGACTCCTTTTCTCCTTTCACTACATCCCTGCTTCACTACAATCTGGCCATTCACAGTAATAAAAAGTTATTTCTTTCCCCTCCTGTAGATTGCTGCAAATTCCTGGGGGAGCTCCTGGGGAGAAAATGGCTATTTCAGGATTTTACGTGGAGAAAACGAATGTGATATTGAAAAGCTGATTATAGCTACTAAGTGTCACCTTTAGTTGATTTTCATTTATATCATTATTACACTCCAAAAGCTTTTTATATACCCAGAATGTACCATCTATAATGTCTTTGTGCATCCTTATGTTTTATTTGTGTGACTGTTTTACCTTCACTTAAATGTACTGCATTTCTGTGTGAATTAAAACATGGCTGTACATCCAGCATGATCAAATTCTGTTACTTGCTTTGCTTGCAGCTCCAGGGATATTGGCGGTCTGTCTATCTTTTTCTTCATTAATGGCACAAATGAAAGGTAGCATATGTGTATAACAGCCAGTTCTCATGACCTTCTCCTTCTGTAGCAGATGTCATTACTCAATGGGTGCCAATAATGACTGTGATGCTTCAGGCTGCGCATGGCATATATATGCCAATATACCCGCTGCTTGTCTACATGGTACCCAATTAAGGCTGTAATCCTATGCACTCCTACCTGAGAATAAGGTAAAAGGTAAAGGTAAAGGTAAAGGACCCCTGGATGGTTAAGTACAGTCAAAGGCGACTAGGGGTACAACGCTCATCTCGCTTTTCAGGCTGAGGGAGACGGCGTTTGTCCGCAGACAGCTTTCTGGGTCATGTGGCCAGCATGACTAAGCCGCTTCTGGTAAAATGGGACACCATGATGATTGCCAGAGCGCACGGAAATGCTGTTTACTTTCCTGTCACAATGGTACCTATTTATCTACTTGCAGTGGTGTGCTTCTGAACTTCTAGGTTGGCAGAAGCTGGGACAGAGCAACGGGAGCTCACCACCGGCGTACGGATTCAAACTGCCCACCTTCCAATAGGCAAGCCCAAAGGCCCAGTGGTTTAGACAACAGTGCCACGTGTGTCCCTTACTGGAGAGTAAGTCTCATTGAACCCAGTGGTTATTTATGAGTAGACGTGTATATGATTGCACCGGGGTGCCAACTTGAATAAAATATTGTAGGGTCCAGGTAAGCCAGTCCCCTCCCCCATAACTGCTCATAAGATCCTGCACACAAATACTATTTGAATGACAATGCTTGTCAAATTTTGGTGGGGCCTGGCCCCCTCAAATATTTTACTTGGGGGCCCAAGGGAACTTGGCTCCTAGGAATTGGCTCCTATGTAAATCCCATAGATTTCAATGGGATGAAAAAATCAAACATGTCTATTTTTTCTCCTGAATTGTGACCACTGGCTCCCATCCAGCTCTTGAAAGCAACTGGTTGTAAGGAGTGGTGGTTCTAGATATATCTACTTAAAAAACAAACAAACGCAGCCAGTCTGCTCTTTCTGACCCAATGAGCATCCCAATGCAAATGTAGCCGTGATTCTAAATCCTAATACGCTTGCAGAAAGCTACTTTACATGGCCCTCTCTTGGAAAGGCAGGGAACATGTAATCAAATGATTCCACTCTCTGTTCTCCATATGCCATATTAGCAGCACATGCATATAGGGACTTGCGCAGAAGTAAGTCCTGTTGCATTCAGTAACACCCCCAAATAAGTGTGCTTATGATTGTCGCCTAATTCTCTGGGTCTGCAAAAGAATCTACAATGTTCCAATAGCATCTTGCCAAAATGGTATTGATAACTACAGATGCTTTTATGCAAGGACTAATCTGTTCACATTACATGTCTCTGGGTGAGAGCAATTATTTTCTTGAAGTAGACATGCTGGAAAACAGGTGTGTTTTCACACACACAAATGAACACACTGATTATCAGGCCTTGCGACACACACACAGTTAACAGTTACAAAACTGCAGTATAGTCATATAATTATTACCTTAAGTTGGAACAAAAACCCTCTATCTTACTTCCAGAAGTACTGTTCAAATTCCAAGCCAGTAAGAAGGAAGTATCCAGTCCATTCCAGGGTGCAAAATCCTTGCCACACTTTTGTGGCTGCAAGCCTATTCAAATGACTTACTAGGTCATCAGAAGCAGGTGCATAAGAGGCTGTTGTTGAATTTCCTGTGAATTTCCCCACCTAGTGGGGTGGATTTTGGCCTTAATCTTTCCATCTTTTGAGGAGTGGCCATAATGGCCAAACTTCTGGTTTGTTTTCTTTCTTTGCACATAATGGCATCATAATTTTTATAAGAACCACTTGCAAATGCTGATTCAGTGTGATAGAGTTGTTATTGTGCATGCCGATGGCACAGTTATAATAAACAGTGGAGAATGATAGGTTTAGAAAGAACCTTGTATTTTGTATCAGGGATTTCTGATCCCAGCACCTTTTCCTAACTATTACCTTACACACTATCTCTCAAAACAGCCTTTCCCTTCGAAACAAACAGATAAGGAGCAACAACAAATCTTGCCATTTGTGGACCCAAATGCATGCCATATTGACTTGAATCAAGTTGCTCTAGAGTCTAGACATTATCAGGATACTTCTTTACCAATCATTCTTAAATCGCATTTCAGGCATCATGAAGTGAAAATTGGCTGTTGTCAGTGTGAGGCAACCTTTGGAATAATTGCATATGTCAGTTTGAGTTTTACCTCTTCAAGCTTCTCAACTGCTTGAAACCAAATAGGCTCATTTCCTTCAGATGTTTTCAAATCCAATTGCATTCATATGCTTTATTTGGGAATATGCCTGAGTTAAACCTCTGCTTATATAACCTTCCCCTAAGCTTTTACTGATATATTTGAAGGCTGAATGGCCAGAAACATCACTATAATACAAAAGTCTGCCAAGTGAGGGGGGAGGGAATAAATGGAACTGCACACTTGGAAAGTAAAGAAATAAGACTAGCTCATCATTTCAAGAAAATGGAAAACTCTATCACTCAGAGGTGGGTGTTAAATTGATCAATAAAACTGTCTGTTACAAATAGTTGCAAGATTAAGGTTGCAAACTTCCCAAGTGCCAGAATGAATGTTATAGGAAGCCCTGTTTGTTTGTTCACGTATCTACCCCATTCATAAAGCAGAAATCGTCATCTAACTATTATTATTATTTATTAAATCTATACTATCCTTCCTCCAAAGATCACGGGGTGGTTTACAATATACAAACACAAAAATACACACCATAGCAACAAACAAAAACAATAATTCCACACACAATAGTTTACAAGTCCATAGAATGTTAGTCAGCCAGAGGCCTGGTTGAAGAGAAACACTTTTGACTGTTACCTAAAGAAACACAATGAAGGTGCCAGGCAAGCCTCCTTGGGGAGAGCATTCAACAAGCAGGGAACCACCAGAGGAAAGGCCCATTCTCATGTTGCTGCCCTCCAGAGCTCTCATGGAGGAGGCACACGGAGAAGGGCCTCAGATTATGTGGGTCAGTTCATGCGGTGTGAGGTAGTCCTTGACAGTGCCACATCACCACATAGGCAGAGCACCAGCCTATGGGCCCCACGCCTTTGAAGGGCCCTGAGACAATGATCAAAATAATATTGATTTGATCTTGAAAGAAAATTACAATCGAGCTTTCTTAGTTCATTATTATCCCACTAGAGCGCATGCACAAATCGTCCCCGTTCCCTGTCCCGCCCCCCAAGATTTTGTCTGGCTAGGAGCCTCCACAGGATTTAATCAGGGCTGCCATATGTCTGGGATTTCAAAGGCGAAATTGATGTCCAAGGGGAATTTCCTAAAGGCGGCATTAAAAAAAGGAAAAATCTCAACAATTTTGGGGTCTTCCTAAAAAATGTTCAGCAACTTTCGGGGTGTCCTGGTTTTTACTTTTTGAAATACGGCAACCCTAAGCTCCCTGAGGTATTGCAGTCCTGAGCCATTTAAGGCTTGGTATCTAATTTTTATAACAAATAAATGGGTGACTAAGAGAACCCTTGCCTGAGAGCTGGACTGGAAGAAATGGGGCACAGAGAAGAAGCAAGGGAAGGGGGTGAATTTGGCACCTCTTTGGGTGGAAAATCAAATGCCTCCCCACATCAACAAGAAACATGTTTGCCTCTAGCACATTTAGTTTCTCAACGAGTTTCAATGTCTCCATTAAGTACAAGCAGGCTGAAGATCACGACCATTGATCAAGGGGTGGAGAACTGGTGGTGTCTGAGAAGGAGTTGTACTCTGTCTCCCATCACTCCCAGTCAGCATGACCAAAGATAAGGGATGATGGGTGTTGCAGTGCAGTAGCATCTAGAAGGCTACAGTTCCTCACCTTTGCCTTATGTTAAGCAGTGCTGCCTATTAAAATTCAACAATGATGTACAAATGTATTACGTATTTCTGTACCTAGTACTTTCTCTTTTTAAGCAGGTGGCTGTGATGAGTCACTGCAGTGAACTGTGCCCTGTGAGCTGGGCTAAATGAGGGGCATTTTGTCAAAAGCATACATACAAATGAATAAATAAGCAGGCACCTTCCTGGAGCCAATTTTGATGTACTTTGATTGCTAAGTAAAGAAAAGTGTGTGTCTGTGTTTGTGAACACTTATGCAAAAAGCATAGCAATTAGTGCCTATGCAAGTCGATGCGAGAGACAGGTACTGCTGGAAACAATAATTACAGAAAAGAGATGATGAATAGCTGTGCTGTGACATTTATAGACAGCACCTGCCTTCATGTGAATATCATAGGGAAGCTTATGCTACGAGAGAAGAACATGGAAATTATGTATTCCCCCCACATTCACCCCTGATTGAGAGCACCTCCAGATTGTTAATATTCTGTGGGAGTATTTAATTTGCATACTAGAACATTGGGTTTGGACAGTTAGAGTGGATTAAAGCGCTCTGTTGCCTAGCACAACAAATGTGCATGTGTGCACACACACAGCAATTTGGAAAGTTGTAGGGAGATGCATTGAAAAGTGTGGGATGAATGGCTGGCTCAAGGGCAGATGTGTAAAAACATTAAGGACATTTCCAGTCCTTAATGTTTGAAACCCCTTTTATAGAGTAACTTTGCAGTCTGAGCAAGAGGAGTCAAACATTTGTTCAAAACATTCTGAGACATTATCTGAGGCCCTTCTTCATGTGCCCCCTCTGTAAGAGGCCTGGAGGGCGGCAACACGAGAATGGTCCTTTCCTGCAGTGGCTAC